TTTTATAAAATGGTTGGAATTTATTTATTTATTTATGGAATTTAATTTAATTTGTTTTTTTTACAAATTTTTTGTAGTAATTCCCAACCAGTTGGGATTCGCTTATGGGTTAGTCATTTAATTTTTCTTAGCTAATTAAGCAGTGTCGGCGGTGTGCTCCAGTTAATGGGTGCTAGAAGCAAGCCCCTGTTGTGGATGGATGGTGGTTTTCACCAATCCAATTCCAGATGGGAGGAAGTCCCTGAAATTATATGGTCATGACTCGGACCATTGCAACTAGTACAGGCGGAGGTAAGCCGAAAAGTCCATCTCCTCCACCTCGGGTACAGCAGTAAAGTCCACATCCATCCGGAGTTAGGATGGCTGCCAAACGTCTTATCAAGACAAATGGCTTGCAGACTGCAGCAGCCATACTGCAAAAGAAACTTCACCACTCTGGGGACGTCCCCTGATATCCGGAAGAATGGTATCAGTAAGTGTGAAAATTCTACCGGATACCATTAAACCAGCGATCCCGATCCCAAAAATAGAGAGATCGACGGAAGTAGCTTCCACAGCCGCTAAATTGATCCTACGCCGAGAAGGGAGTCCTAGACATGGCCATGGCGTGGGTAAAAAAAAATAGGTAACGGATCGCTTCGTGGCTGAGCTGGATATCAGTGGAGAACCACCACCAAAATCCTACTGCTCAGATGCAACAAATGCAAAACCAACCAAATACCAGAGGATGTGGAGGCGCTTCGTAAGTGCTCGCGATGCTAGGCAACGAAGACGAAGTCCTCATTTAGGAGCTTTGGCTTTGCATAGGCAAGGTTTCCGGACTGAGGACGAAAGATTGTAAGCCAATACGTAGAAATTTAGTAATCACATTAAAAATTTGAAGCTATTTCAATTCTCAGGAATTATTCATCGAAAAGATGGCGAATGATGTGGCAGCTCAGACAGTGTGTTTATATTTAGAATGAGTAGATGGAGTTGCGAGAGTGTTTTCTGGTGAATGTAGACGACACTGCAGGGGAGCAGAGGTCGCCTGATGATACTGATGATGGCTTGTGTTAGCAGGAGTGCTGTGGGTAAATTTTTGTAGAGCCAATCAACGGATTGTCAACGTTAAAATGCCAGTTTTGGCTTCACTTCCGCAAATGTCATGTCAAAAGCGAGATAGAGGAAGACCCCTGGAAGCCTTGAACTATGCTATATATTGCTATATGCGTTTGTACTTGTATATGATTGTGTATGTGAGCATTAAGTGGTTTTTGTTTTTCCTTTTTTGCGCTCAATGACAGACACTGATACCCACACTTACAAGCACGCACAGCAACGAATGCCACAGAACATTTAACATTGTAAATCTGTTCTTAAGCATTTAGCCCCGGGTCCCCCCCATTTACCATCAATTCCAAAGCCAACGGTGACGCCGGCGCTGACGTCGACGCCGCCAAAGTGTACTAGACACTTGGCTGCGGCGCCCCGCTTGGTGTTCCTGCTCAAGGACTCGGCGCTCTATTATTCTATGCTCAACATTATTACGCATTCTCTTTTGGTTGTTTTAGCCACTGATTTCTCTCGTTTCGTGCCCTTTTTGTTGTTTATGTTTTTGTTTCACATTACATTTGACAAGTGTGTGTGTGCCTGTTGTATTTTTTCTTGTTTTTTTTTTTTTGCTATGTTTTGTGTTCACTGATTTTGGCAAATCCTTGCCCTTGTCTTGTCTTGGTCGGGTCGGGTCCTCCAAATGGCGCGCTCACACACGCTTGTTGTTCTTTCTGCTGGATTCCTTGTCTTCCTTATGGTGACCTAGTTGCTTTCATTCGCATTAGCCGCAGCTGTTCTACACAATTTCTGTTCATCATTTCATTAACTTGTGCCATTCTTTTTTTTTTTTGCGCTTCCTACAAAAAACAGTTTTTAAAGCATTTTTTATGCGCTGCGAAAGCAGCCGTTGTTGTGTTCAAATACTATTTAAAAAACGTTTAAGTACTATTTGTCGAACTTAAGTTCTCTTTACTAATTCTCTAATTTACTTAAAAACAAACAAAATTCTGTTATTGAGAATGGCTCGCGTTTAAGGGACTGTTTGATTTGATTTTGTTGGCAAGATTAATCAGGTGGACCAACATAGATACATTTCGGTCCTTCGGTTTGGCTCTCATTGGAGTTTCGTTTGGAGACAGATTTATTAAGCCTATCTGTGAGTAGATTCTTTCTTTAGAATTCCAGGATGAACATTGAGGTACAATTTAAAAAACGTTTAAGTACGATTTGTTCAAATTAAGTTCTCTCCAAATATGGGAATTTATCCTAATTCACTATCTTACTAAAAGACGAACAAAACACTACTATTGAGAATGATTTTCGTGTAAGAAGCTGTTTGTTTGCTTTTGTTGGTAAGATTAATTCGATGGATCACCTTTGGCAGCCCTACATAGACACGATTTGGCCCTTCGGGTTGGCGCACATTGGAGATTAGGGGAGTGATTATTAAGCCAGTGATCCAGGAGCAGGTTGTTTTTTTTTTTGTTTTATATATTAATATGAATCGTCGTACAGATTTAGGCCATAACATAACATTTAGGGGACCAAATTTTAAAATTGTGCATTGCATTATATACAAGTATGTACATTTATAGCGAAAACATTTCACTATAACTTAGTTAATAGGATGAGCCAGTTGTCTTATCTTTAGGCGGGTAATTGAGCGAGCTGCGCAGAGGGGCCTGCTAAGTTTATTGCGACTGGTTTACAGGCTTATTAGGAATTCCACGGTCTCCAGATTCATGGTGCAGAGTGGAATCGCGGTATCGTGATAAGTCGCAATGTTTTATTCTGAGCATCTGGACTCGTCTTCGGTTCACGCTGTAGCCAGTCCTCAAATGTGGATTGTGTTAGCAAGTTGTGAGTCTGTATATCTTCTTTGTAATTGGAGAAGGAACATTTGGATATGCAAATATATTTTTTTTTATACACAAAGGTGTTTACATTAGTTCTCACAAATGTTGGCACTTGCAGACATTTTAAATTTGCTCCTCCCATAATATGAGGAACCTGGCCATGGCCCATGGCAGCACAAATGTCAAACGCCTGCAAATTGAAATTGACGTTCAGGCAACTGGAGGTCATGAAGCTGCTGTTGACTGTTCTTGGAAACAGGGCACTAGGGTCTTTTGTCTCCAACATTGGCCTTTGCTCGGAGCCAACAAGTCAAACAGCTAATGGCAACGACTTTGAGTTCTCGTCCTTGGCACTGGCATTGCCTCCTCTGTAGCCACTGGAAGCCACGCCCCCGCCCACTGCCCGTGTGACGACTTCGGCGACTATTCCGTTCGTAATGAAGCTGCATTGCATGAACCCACAAACCTTCATTTTAGAACGCTTATCAGCTCAAGCCCTTTTTTGTGCAGCTGCTAGCTTGTTAGTTTTTTTTTTGCGATTATTTTTTTGCATTGTTCGCTGCTGGTGACGTTGCAAATCTGCTTAAATGGTTAGAATGCTGCCAGCAATTTATTTTCGCGCTTTTTTTGCGGCCTCACCGAGAACATTTTCATTGTCTGCGCGCTGCTGGATGGGCGTGTTGCATTGTGCAGCAAATGCATTGAAAATATTATGCTTTGTGCTCCAGGCGCTGCTTAAACATATTTTTGATAAATCGCAGCTATTTTCCTGTGTACCACATTTAATCATATAATGCGTTTAATATGAAATATTTTTCAACATAACACTTAAGTATTGCAGCGGAGGCAAGAACACTTCAGATTCGTGCAACCAGCAATCACAACGTCAAGTCATCATTAAGATAAAGAGCTCATGTCTGGCGCTCAATAAAATATATAGTATTCCATATGGGTCGCATTGATACACAGACTTACTGCAGAAAATTTCACATTTTACGTGCGGCTTAGAATTTACAGTAAATCTCCCTGACCAGTACGTATACGTAATGCATGATAAGATGAACTGGCAACGTTACGTATACGCAACGTAAGCCACAAACTGCAATAAAATTGCGCACATTTCCTGCATTTGTTCAAATTTTGTTGAAGTCGTCGCCATTGTCCTCGTCAATGCGGTTAAGCTTTCAATTGGCAATTGAGGCAAAAATCAGCAACTTTCATTGTCTTTCTGCTGCACTTGCTGTTTCATTGTTGCTCGTAATTGCAACTGCTGTGCCAGTGAATAAAAATCAGTAACTCGATTACAATAGAAATCGCTCTGCTTCAATGTCCGGCTGCCACTTGAACAAAACTTTTACATTATTAGGAAGCACTAAGTCGTTAAAAGTTTTCAATTTCTTTTTATTTTCTTAATTATTTGTGTACTATTTGTTTTGTTACAAACAAGAAGAGCGTGCACATTAATGAATTGATTCGTGCGAGGATATATTTTGGCTCTTATTGGTTGCAAACGGATGCTATAAAATATATTCCCAACATTCTGGCCATTCAATATTTGGGAATTATATGTTAACAGTATTTTGAATGTAGTATTTAAAAGGAATAAATTTCATATCTACTCACCGGTTTCAAAAAATACATAAATAATTTTTTGGAGTTTTCTCAATTTATAAATTCTTTTACAATCCCGCTTAGTAGCTATACAATTCTTTGATTAAATCCATGTCTAGCTATTTAAATACTTTAAGCAATTGCTAAAAAATTGATTTTAAAAATGTATCCTCTATGTTGGAGATGAAACTCTTAAAATGGACGCACGTTTTTTCTTTTAATTATCTACATTTGTGTTATTTATTTTATTATAATTGTACTGTCACTTCATCTATAGAAAATCAAATATAATTAACATGAATTGAATATGAATTTTTTCTGCTGCTTCTAAATAGAGAAGAAGGAAGAAATTCAATTAGAAGAAAAAAAGGAGAAGCACTCAGCTTCAACGAATCAATTCTGAATAAAGCAGCCGCGACTCATTTAATTGATTTGTCGCGACAATGTTTAATTTAACGCGGCCTGATGTTTGCGTTCTCCTCTCTCTTTTCTTTGCAGTTAAAATCGAAAAGTCTCACGCACTTGGATGGCCTCGATACTGTGGTCGCCTGTCAGCATGGAACGGCAACCACCGCATCCAGCTCGGGTGCTCCAGTGATGGCGTCGGCGATGATGGCGGAATGTCTGGGCAGGCAAGCGAATATGGTAAGTAGATGTGCAAAGGTGTATGTACCTCACACATGTATTTTTGTGTATGACATTGCAACAATTGCAAAACAAAAGATCCGGATTGTGTCTCCAGGATACATAGATTAAGCAAATGTATCTGCACTTGTCATTCTATTGTTAGACAGTCTTAGACAGGGCTGCTGCATGATTTTCATTTCTCAGCACTGTTAGTGATGTGGAAAATTGCACAGATTGATGGCAAACAATTGTGTTAACTGTTTTTCTTTGATTTTGGTTTTTCCTCCCCCTCTCTGCTTTTATCTTGGTTTTTGTTGCTGTTGCTGTTTTTGTCATTAATTTGAGCGTCATCATTTTTTTGATTTGCTTTAACTGGTATCTATTACAAAGGCAACTACAAAAGCACCATCTACAAAAGAGAAATCAATTTTTTATTTTTTTCTGTGCCTGTTTCTGAGCATTCACATCCGGCTATATAATTTGTTGCCCTTTTCCCCGCCCCAGTACGTGACTTTTCTTCGATTTTTCTAGCCTTGTTTTTGCTTGGCTTGGATTTTTTTTTTTTTTTTTTTGTTATGTTTGAGTTTCTGCCAGAAGCTAGAAATTAAAACGCATCGTTGTCTATGTTTGTGACTGACTCATAATAGATGACAGACGTGTCTATTAAGCATTGGAGAACAGGAAACTGCCAATTAGTTGCAAGCATCCACAAACGTGTCCCTTCACGCACACTGCCACCCACATTTATACGCAGCCAACGAGCATTTAGCATATTGTGTATGACACGACCTAAGGATGGTCGCAGCAGTTGAACCTTCAAATGAATTATGTATACATGTTAATTGTTGGGTCATCCGTATGATAAGAGGTTTATTTTCTATTTATAGTAAAAGTGCTTAAGTGCGTGAAGATTCAAAACTGTAACTTATCGAATAATTGATTCGTGTCACACATTAATAGCGGTTTTTTTTTTTACTTTTACTTTTAACTAGGCTTATCCGATGCTATCATTTCAGTCAATGGTAGACCTTTCTAATGTTTTTTTTCAACTCTACGGATGCAAATAAAGTAGTAGGACACCCTAGATTTTAGGTCAGTCAATGGTAGACCTTTCTAATGTTTTTTCAACTCTCCGGATGCAAATAAAGTAGTAGAACACCCTAGATTTTAGATGGCTAGTGGAAGCCTACATTCTAACGCTAATATTTTATATTTTCGAGTAGTTGTTCATGATGGGCAGTAGTGGTCGGGGTAATTCTTGGGTATAAATTAGACATGTACAAGATTAAGATACAACAAAATAAAATCTTAAAATATTTTGGATTAGGAATTCATTCTACAAATGAAAGGAACGCTCTTGAAAGTCTTCTATAAAGAAGAATTTATAGACTGCAAAGAATTTAAGTTCAATGGCCAATGATAGGGATAAGTTAGGTACATACTTCTATATATGTATAATTTATTCGATTGAATTTCGACCAATTATTTATTACTTACTTTCTTTTATTTGTAATGCCTTGCCTGAGCTTTTGTGTTGTGATCTCTTACAGTCGGCACAGTATTGTACAAATAGTCACAACAGTACTAGCTACTTGTAGTAATGCTGTAGTCGCACCTCTTTCTATTGCAAATATCACTCTTACTCTTCTTCTATTCCCTGTATATTTCTCTGTCTCGCTGCTCCCTGCTTTAAAACTGCGCTCTCACGTAATCACACAACCTTCCACCCCCACCTCACGACCCGCCTAAAATGCCGCACCCGACCCCGAACCCCGCGCCTTCACTCGACAACCGATCGTAGACGCAGAAAATAGTCCAATCAAAGACCCCAACACACACACAAGATCCCTATCCCGTACACCTCAAGCCCCGTGCGCCCACGATATATACACAAGCGGCGCAGCAGCAGCCACAACAACAACAACAACAGCAACAGCTTATGCGGCGAACGCCTTCGCTGATGCTCTCACCAACGCTTGCGACTACGGCCACGGGCACAACCACATCCTGTTGCCACAGCGCACACATTAGTAGTAGCTCCAACACCCACCTGCAGCAATCGTTCTTGCCTTCGAGCCATGTAACAACAACAACAACTTCGGCAACTACAACCACAACAACAGCAATTACAACAAGCACAGCAACAACGATGACAACTCATTCCAAACATTTTCAGTGCTCTGTCAGCGAGACGATGGCCGGTTCTTCGGGAACGGGCAGCTCGCTGAGTCCGGCCTTAGCCTATAGTGCCACACCCACTGGAGGGGGCGTTTTTTATTATGGTAGTGCTGCTGCTGGTGGTAGTGGTGGCGCTGGTGCTGGTGCTGGTGCTATGACGCCCACCTCAACGGCATCTAAGAAGAAATCGTCGTTTATGCAACGCAAGAAACCATTATTGACACGCAGCGAGGTGAGTCAGTCAAGTCTCCCGTTAGACCCCATGTGTGTGTATATGATACATTAGTGTGCGTGTGTGCATGAAAGGAAGAAAGACAGAAAGAAATAAATAAGAAAAAACCTTCATTTTAATTAAGCCTGAAAGCCCAAGGGCCGCAAAGCAACAAGCGCCACTCCCCCTCGCCCATTATTCGGATGATGGCGATAAAAATAATAAAGATGATAAAGATGATGAAAAGAAAAACACTTTGTAAAATGAATAACATAATACTCAAGAACTTTTGATTTTGATTTCTTCCGCTCAGCGCCCCAATCAGAAAACAAATAACGCGGCACACAAGTCATGAGAGCAGCACAAAAACACCAACAACTCTCACCTTTCACCGTTCACAAGTCACCTTTTCATATCCGACTCTTTCTTTCTTTACATCTCTCGAGACCCAAGCGAGGAAAAGAGAGAGAGGGATAGTTTTTATAACCCGTGTGTATCTCTCCCCATCGTCTTCCAGCTGCTTGAGTCCGCTGTGACTGGCATTGAAATTTCTTTTCAAATATTTACTGCATTTTTTATTCGTCATAGTTCCCTGTGGCCATTTATGTCCAGCACCTTATGGTCTGATACCTTCTCTACCTCCGTGCCACCCCCCGTATCTCTCTCTCCCACTTCTTTATTTGCAATGTGCTCGCAATGACACCCTAGACACTTCGTTTGCTTGCACTTGCTGCCGGCTTAACACAATTTTCCAGCCATTCAAGTATATACTTATACTATGTACGAGTATACAAGTATATAAATATATACGTAGCTAGTTCCTTCGACTCGGTAGACCATGCCGATGCCTGAGCCCGCGGCACTTGACGCACTGCTTCTCTTTTTTCCATTTTTCATAACTTCTGTCGTCGGTCTTCCTTATTTTTATTTTTAAATATCTACTATATACTACCAACGGCTTGCCAACCGTCTGTTGTAGCTCCTCCCGGCAATTGTGTTGCGCCTGCTTCCTATGCTACTTTCGCTTTCAACTAAGTATTTAGTATATCTTGTTGATTTTCAATTAAGGAAATATAACGAATCCTTGAGAAATCTGCTTCCCTAAGTGATATTAACTACTTATAGCACGGTACTTGTGTTAACTACCTTAATATTTATACTGTAGCGTATTTATATTTTTATTCAGATAAAGTAAAGTACATATATAGTATACATTTGCATTTAATATGGATATCTAAAAGTCATATCGTCTATAATATCCATTAAAATTGTATTTGCTGTTGCTATCTTATCCCAGCATTGAGAACCTTGCTTTATTCTCTATGCGTATTAACTAAATAATGGTCATTAAATAAATTATAATACTGAACCATTTCCAATTTACTATTCAGTACATTTAATAAATAGATGTTCTTGGATCATTAATTAGTTTAATCCAATATCTAAGTGAAGGCCTATATGAAGAGTTTTGTGTAGGATTCAAAGTAACTAGAAACTCTAGTCTATTAATATTAATATTAAGACCCCACAGGCGTCGAGTAAATTCGACATCTGACGCGTTGACATCTGACGTATCTATAATTAACGTGTAAATATGTACTTCATTTGTACAAAATCTAACTTAATGGGATTCGAAACTGTTTGAAAAAGGTTCACCCTATCCCTTCAATTATTAAGGAAAAGTAATGTGGAGTGAATAGGAAATCGCGCCTACCTTTCCCAGTTTAAGAAAAACAGATATTAAATTTAATCACGCTCTACCATTTATTGGTAAACTTTAGTGAACTTGTAGATTGCGGCAAATTGGTTTCCAAATTACTTACAATATACTGCCAAAAGGTTTTAAAATGCTGTGTTGAGAATACAAATATTTCGTAAGTAATTTCTAAATTTAAACCTGTCTTATAACAAATCCATCTACTATAGTATATAAGTCCTTCTAAATGTGTAGTCGATTTAAAGCATAGCAACACAACGAATATTGTAACTCAACTCAGGTGCAGCTTTGCAGTTATGGAACCCATCAATCGAATTCCATTAAGCTCTGCTCCTTTCATAGCAGCAAATTCAGTTTTTAATCCACACCTTTTAGTCGAGCTTGCAATCAGTTTTGACGGCATTCGCAAATCATGAAACCAAATGACAAATGTCTAAAGCCAACTGATAAATCACTTTCAATGCCAACAAATCAACAGCAACAGTTGCGTTTCCTGCCAAAGGGGACAAAACTACATTTTGCTCTTCGCAAAAAGCGCGGAATCCATTCAGAAATGCAAGTCACTTGTTCATCCCATTTGGTCAGATGTCAAAAGATTTTCGACTCAACGGGACCCATGCTGGGCACAGGTCATATGGATTTGCATAAATGTGTACAACGAGGGCGGTTCGAAAAGTCTGCGTTTGAGTTTGAAGACTAACCTTTTCCTTGTAAAATCAATGTGTGTATATATTCTTGTATGGAACAGGATATGATTGTGCTTTTGGTAATGTTTTCGTTGATTTTATCTATTGAAATATGTGCTCTGACACTAACTTACTATTTGAAAAGAATCTATTGAAATGGTTAGAGGGCTTTTGAAAATTCAACCCGCAAGTGGGTAAAACTTTTTTATTGAAATGCGATGAAATTATCTCACAGATATTTCTTGGTAGCCAAGGAGGTAAACTAAGCATTCCTTTTATTAATATTGCTTTCATATTCTCTATTCTATCTGATTTATGATAACACGCAGGTATCCAGTTCCGAATACTTTTCCGTTTGCTTTAACTCAGACACTTCGCATCCACCGGACGAGGAATTTATAAGAGCGGCAAAGGGTGTGACGTTGTTGTAAGTGGCACGCAAATGTGTAATTTCCTTATTTTAGATTTATTGTATTCCGCTTTATGTTTCATCATTGTACAGCAATGCGCTAAACCAGTCTTTACGAAGGCGAAACCTTAGTTTCTCCCAAATAACCATAACGGACAACAATCCTACGCCCAGTTTTTTAGACGCAGGTAAGTGTGACTTCTGACATAATTGATAGGCCAATGGCATTCGAAACGAAATGTGAATACATACAGGCCCCACGCCGTTGACAAGCTCATTGGATGAGAATACTGACGTAGAGAACTTGGCCGGTCATCACCTTATTATCACGGAACGCGATAGTAGTCGGAAAACATTGCAGAAGGCTGCATCCTTTGTAAGTCTCATTTTTTGAGTTTTTGCTTTCTATCTGTTTCTAAATTTGTTGTCCAATCAATTGGTTCTTTTCTCTGCCTTATTTCTGTTTAACTCAAAGTTAAGATATTTTGTTCAGTTGATCTGTAATATTTCCTTTCCATTAGGGTTCCCGCCAACGTCCACCCCGTCTGCTCTCTTCGGCTTCGACGGAAGAGACCAGCGAATCAGCGAATGTGGCAAGCAAGCAGATCAAACCCCGATGGTCGTCCATTTTTGGCGTTAAGAACCCGCAACAAAGTCAGCTTTGCGAGCTGCTCAACAGCTACTCGAAGAGTGGCGTGCCACAACAGCCGGACGCACTAAACTTCCAACATCCCGACCTGCCTGCCGCTCTCGACTATCTGAATCACATGCACAAGTCCTGGCGAGATATTGTGGACAGTGACGGGATGAGCGACAACGAAATCAAGATACAAACTGCAATATGGGAGCTGGTCACCACGGAAGTTTACTACATCCATGCACTGCAAACGGTTACAGATGTAAGTGTGAACCCATGAATGCATCCCTCAGTCACGCCCTTCTCACACATCCATGTGTGCACAGCTCTTTCTCGCCTGCCTGGCAGCCGTGCAGGAGGAACGCCTGCTGGCCGACGTCGATCAGCATCGACTGTTCTCGAATGTGCGCGCTGTTTGCGAGGCGAACATCCGGTTCTGGACGTTGTGGCTCTATCCAATGGTGCGGCATAGCGAGGTAACCCGCGAGCCACTACGTTGTGCCTTCTTTCAGGAGGGCTTTATAGCGTTCGCCTCGATATTTGCCCCATACAAGATCTACTGTGCCGAGCAGAGCACCTGCCAGTTCTATTGCAAGGAGCTGAATCAAAACAATCCGCTCTTTACCTCCTACTTGGCATGGTGTGAGTCTCAAAAGAAATGCAATCGACTGCGTCTGGCCGACATCGTTGTCCGACCCATGCAGCGACTCACCAAATACAGCCTGCTCCTGGCAGCCATAAAAAAGCATATGTCCGATGTGGACGAGATCGAGGCTATTGACACCATGATACACAGCGTGGAGAACTTTGTTGGCAGTGTGAATAATCATTTGACCATGCGGCAGGAGAACGAGCGTCTCAAGGGCGTTATGGCGCGCATTGAATCCTACGATGTTGTGGTGAGTGCCTTTCTAAAAGAATACTCCACAGATCTGTCTATAAACTAGCTTTCAAAACACTTCCTACGACCTAAAATGTAAAATGAAATTGGACATTTCAAATATTTAGTTTCAACTTCTCGTAGCAAGAGAGAAATTTAATATATTATATTTCTTCTTCGACAAATCGATTAAATTGTTTGAATTCAGTTCACGTATCTTTTTGCTGAGTTTTTAAGTTTAATTTATATATTGATTGAACAAATATTTTATAATTATTTAAAATAATATAAGTTTTTTAACTACATCGAAATCAACTAAACTATGGAATTAGAATTCAGAAAATATAATAAAATGACAGCCATATGGGAGGAATTGAAATCTGCTGCTATCAATAATAAAATGTTTAAGAATTAATTTTCAGAATTAAAAATTTCCAAACAGTCGATTCATTCTATATGGATGCCCCTTTATTTTAAGTATAAAAGAAAATATAAAATATATGTAATTTAAAAACTTTTTCAAGTGCCATTTTTAAGGATGCTAAAAAGCAATAGGATCGCTTGAAACCGAAGCTTTAAAGTGTTTGGATTATAAAATAAAATAGTTCTCTGCAGATTTAATTTAGGTAGGGAAAGCTTTGAGAATTAAAATAGATTTTCAGAATTATAAATTTCCAAAAAATGTATACAAGATTCAATTCTTCCCATATGGTTGTCTTTTTATTTTAAGTAAAAAAGAACAAAACCTTAAATCAATTTAAATACTTGTTCAAGTCGCATTTTTAAGGACGTTAAGTAATATTAGTAATATTTGCATTTGAAACCGAAGCTTAAGGTATTTGGATTACATTGAAATTTGTCCACATGCTCCTAAAATATTTCTCTTTTAGGTCTCTCTGCAGATTTTATTTAATTAGAAAAACACGAGTTTATTTTGTATTTCTAAACTATGACTCTTATTTAATATTGATTTCAGGACACCAACAACGAGTCGCTGGACAAGCTAATCAAACAGCACAGTCAAATGTTCGATTTGTGTGCACCGATGCGCGGCTGTCCCGTCCAGCATGTGCGGCATCTGTTCATGGAGGGCGATCACAGGTTCAAGGATAATTTGGGGAAGGTCGATGTGCACTGCTTCCTGCTGACAGACATGCTGCTCGTGTGCAAGACGATAGCCAAGAAGGGTCTGGGCGCATTGAAGGTCATACGCCAGCCATACCTGACTGATCACCTAATGGTGCACTTGGGGCCCAACAATACCCTGAACTGCGTCTACCTAAATGAGTTCCAAGTGGCCACCACAGCGTTTACGCTGCAATGCACCGAGGCGAAGAACTGGCATGATGCCCTGTGGCGGGCCAAGACTATCTATCAAAGACTGAAACGTGGAGTTGGAGGCGGTGCCGGCAGCGTGGGCGACAGTTTTAGGTTTGGCGGTAGTGGCGCCAGTGGCGGTACCGCCGACTCTTTAGGCGTTCGCAAATCGCCAATGAACTCATCGATATGCAGCCATGTGTCCAGCGCCAATAATAGTCACAGTGGGTCCGTGGAATGGAACGATTCCCGGAACATTTCCGTTGATTTCGAGAAGACAAACTCGCTGTCCAGCGACGAGGGCTCTAGTCTACTAACGGGTAAGTGGCTATAGACCCATTCACAGCGTTTTCTGATCAATATTTTCAATATACGTGTAGGTGGTCATGGCCAGATGGTGAAGATGAAGCAACAACAACAGCAGCAACTGCACAAACCCAAGATCGCAACGATCGCCACCGGATCGGGGAACACGTTGTTGGTGCAGCCGATCAATCATTTGGGCCAGAGCCTGCCGAATCTGAATTTGCATCACAGCCATACGTAAGTTGCTGATCATCATTCCAATCAACTCTTTCGTAAACATCACAAGCCAGCAAGCCACCACGCAATTCAGCACCACAATCCATCATCCGTATCAGCATCAGTATCAGCATTTGTCCAGTCCCATTGTGTGACCTTCCGAAGGTCACAAGCACCCTTGTGTATCGTAGTTTTTGTTGTATCATATTATACATATCCTATTGTTAGAGATCACATTTAGTTAGCATTACTAGTTGATTGTAATTTATAATTTTGTTTAAACATAAGACCAAAAGCGAAGAAATTTATTTACAACAAACAAATAAATTTAAAAATAAATCTTTTTTAATCAACATTAAATGCTGCCTGCTACAATAAAACAACAACAACAACAACAACATTGCAACGATGTGAAAACTCATCAACACCACTTCAACAATGATCATCTGCGCTAATCACTCTGCCCACCCAACCACACCCAACACCACCCACACTTAACAACTACTTCTCGCCGTTTATTTTGAAAATCTGTATATTTACAAAATGCTTCAACAATTATGTGTTTCGAACCACTGTTCTATAATCGGGGTGGGGTCTCTCCTCACTTGACTCGCTCCCCTTTCTTCCTTCAATATTTATTTGATTTGGCTTTGCTTCGCTTCGCTGCGTTTGATTTCGTTTCGTTTCTTCTGGCGATCCCTTGCTCTTTATAGTAACCTTTACCATACTTATAGTAACAATACACTGCTCGTGCCGGGCACGACATCTAGTCACTCGGGCAACTTACTGTTGTCGCCCAGTCATCGCGGCATTTCCTATCCACCGCCGAGCCCAACGAGGTGAGTCCGTAGATGAAGACCAAGACAGTATGTGTAGACCAGAAACATACGACTATGTGTAGTGTGAGAGAAGCGATCTAAACTGTACTCGAACATGAAGTACATATTGCGATTGCTGGAAACTGTCTTCTTTGTTCTTATTCTCCTTCATGCGCCCCATTTCTTACATCACTTCTGTTTCCGTTTCCCGTTCTGTGCTCCATCATTGTCAACATCATGCTTGTAACGACTGATTAACCACTAATCGGCCCTTCAAATTGAACGCATGTCTCTAGAGTGCCGCTGCGTCGGGGCAATGCCTTCTCCACGTCCACAAAGAATCCACCGCTACTGAAGACACGCAACATAACCTCACAAAACAGTATTAATTGGCACCAGATACCAGCCACACCCACCCCACCCAGTCCACAGTCGCAGCACAATTCGCCTGGCAATGTTGGTGGCGCCTCTAGTCTGCAGAAATCCTTACCAGCCCTCATCACCAATGACAGGGAAGCCCCGGGAGTGGCGAAGCCATCATCGAGCAGCCATCAAACGGTCATACCTTCTACATCGAATCACAATCTAGCACAGCTACAACGACCATTGAGTACTGAGACGGATGTTTGATGCGGGCACCTTATCAGCCACAACTACAACAACTACAACAACAACGACTACAACGGTTCCAACAACAAATATTTAGCATTTAGTGAATATAAAATTTAACGCTTATGGAGAATTATGATTCGGTAAATCAAACAATATATACTTTCCAACTAACATATACTTACCTACATATAAATGTTTATTATGAAGGAAAACTGCACTTTTGGGTCCAAACTTAAGTTTGTCTGCATCTGTGGCTTACAAGCCTGTCTCCAATCCATATGTCCTAATCCATAAGTATTCCTAAAGTCTTTATTCAAAATTTAATAATAATTGCGTGTGTCAGAGACACCAAACCACTTGAAAGTATTGAGTATGTGTATAAATATATACATAAATATTTTAATATCTGGATGTAAATAAATACTATAAATGTGCAATAGAATGTTTATCAACATATGTACTCCTTCCTACCATAAATGTAGTAGAAACATTTTAAGATTATATATATTTAATATTCGTAAATAAACCTAAAGACATACATACATACATATGTAATCAACACTTGTATTCGATTAGGCTAAGCTAATATTGACTCATTCTAGGGACAACTTGTACATGAAATACTGAAGTACTTAAGTATTAGAGCGCTGCATGAGTGAGTACACAAAAAATACGTTTTAATTTTTTTTGTTTACAGTTGCGTTTTACACTAAATGATATTTATAATTGAACATTTGTTGGAAACCATGTGCCATTTTATATCTACTCGTGCAGGGCTCTAATGCGGCAATAGCATTCATTATTTTGGCTGGCAGTGCGACCATTCTGCAGAAAACCCCCCATTTTGAAGAAGGGCTATCTAGTTCTAGTTGTAAGATATATTTGAAAACAGGCATAATTTAAATAAAATTTCAATAATTTATTTTGGAAGAGGTCACAAAAGTCAACCTATACTATTTTAGTCAAGTTAGTTGTGGTAAGTTTTAACCTAACAAACCGATATTGTGTATCTAGCATCAGAATTATATAACAAGCATACTAGATTTATGTCTAAATAATATTGGAATTTTTATTTTCAACACGAACTTCGTATGCTATATCTATATACTTTGTCAAGTCAAAGGGGTCCGTTATCGTTATCATTGTTTAGAAATATGCTGTGATCATAAAATGTGAGTGCAGGAACTCAAACCAGTTATGGTTTGGAAAGTCTTTAGAGCTACACGCAATATGCATAATTTCCCATTTCTTTTAGCCGCTAGCTATAGGAACTTGAAAAGGAATTATTAAAGTTCCTTGAAACATCTATTACTGTTCTTCCTGCAATTAACCTTACCACATACTTTTATTGAGTCAATAGTTAATAGGTATAGTAAGTAGAGTAGTCATGTATATGTATACAAGATTTATTAAAACACTGTAAAGCGAACATCAATTTTGAAATATATAGTATACTATATATTCGTATTATACAATTGTATCATGTATATAGATCTGTAAATATTCCTCATGAAAAAAGCGTGACATAAGTTCTAAATTATATATAGAAAATAAATTATATTGCGCGTATAAATACGTGAATGTAACTACAACTGTATATAAAATCTACGTTAAAGATTATATTAGACTCCAAATATTCATGCACATATTGAAGAATTATATAGTACTGCTTAAAGAGTTCATTTCAGCTGCAAGGCAAAGCAAAGCAATAAGAAATTAAATATAAAATTCACAGAAATACCAATACATGCTAATACTACAGTTACAAGAATTACATAGACGAGTGATATATAAATATTTATATATATTAAGCAGCCAGGATATATGAAACCGAAATAAATACATAAATACTAGGTTGTTTGCATGCTCCGCTTCAAATAAATTAATTCGTCTTCGTTAGCCAAATGGTCAAGAAAATTCCACCAAATTACAAGATTATAATAAAATATAAATAAGTATTATACCGAAGCTTTAATTACACGCTTATACTATAATAAACTATTGTTCAAAGCGCTACAGTTTGAGAGAAGCAAACTAAATAGGAACTGGGTTTTCGTTTAGTCGCTGCATAAACAAAAAGCCCGTTATTAATGCTTAGCTGCTTCAATGTTCAACTTTGATCAACTACTACTAAGAATTGTCTAATGATGTGCAAAGTTGGAATTAGAAAAGGTATAAAGGGTCTGGCTAAGTGTTAAAAAGTTTAATCTTTAAGCAGTTAAGCAACCAATAGTCAAACTTGTTGTTTCTTCAAATACACAGAAAATACATAACAAATTATCTTCTGGTAGCCATAGAATATACATACATATGTCTGTTATTTTATCCGATAACTGCTGTCTACGAGTTTAACGAAAATAAATCAAAAGCTTTTGATTTACACAATTACATCAATTGAATTTTTTGTGTATATACTATTGTACTATCCAATTGTTCAATAAAGGGCGCATGACTTCTGGAAATGACCCAAATCTTACTCTATAACTATGATGTTAACTCATTCATGGGAAACAGCAGAGCTCATTGAAATAGGAATTATGGAATGATGATTTACAAAACGATATATTGCAGAGGGATTTGTAAGCTGGCCTGATTTAACCGAACAGAAAGAAGCTTGATCGAATTTGAATCGATTCGAAAACAAGGAAAAACTTTATGTTTGAATGGCCAATAAGTGGTTCGTTTTATACCCTATACACCCAAAGGCTAAAAGGGTATAAACGTTTTTCGACTAATTGAGACTAAATTAAAGTATATGCACCAAAAGTCTAAACTATATATGTACATAAGTACATACATATGTGTGTACTCGCATATATCCGTATCTTATTGATCGGCGTAACGAGACGAATCGATCTAATCAAGTAGGACCAGTTTTTGTAAGCACAAAGCGATCAAACATGATACATGTACATGTATAGTAAGTATGTAGAGCCCCAAGAACGTATTTAATATTGTTTTCAAATATTTGTAACAGTTGAAAAACTTGAATCTTGTTTGTGTTGTTATGCATAATGTATACACACTGTATTGCTATCAACTGGTTAGATGCCGTTATTTAAGTGTGTCAACCCAACCCAAAGCTTTCGTCAAACCCAAATGGTGGGGCCAAGAGAGAGAGAGAGAGAGAGAAAGAGAGAGAGAGGCAAAGCACGAGTGTAAGCTTCTGATCATTTTTTTTTTTGTTCTCGCTGGGATAAGGCGTAGAAAGAAAACAGCTGCAGTCAAATAAACGACTCAAAAAAGCGAGTATAGAGTAGCGATTAGATTAGTTGTGCCATAGCTTTTGTCCGAGCTTCACCTTCAACGTGTGTCTTGCTCTGTTTTTAAGTTATGTTTTGTTTTTGATTAAGAATTGCATTAACCATGCTGAGTGTGCAACAAAATTGAAAAACTGCATTATCAAGTACAGAGTATGAGTCTCAAAAAGACCGTGTTGTGCGTCGGTTGCACCGTAATTGACTTTGTGACCATCAACGCCAGCTTTCCGGAGGAGGACTCCGATAGGCGCTGTCTCGATGGCTATTGGCAGCGCGGCGGCAATGCCTCAAATGTGTCAACGGTGTTGCAAGTGCTGGGTGCTCGAGTCGAGTTCTTTGGCATGCTGAGTCGGGCGGATGGCTTTCGAGTGCTGCTCGAGGACCTGCGAAAACGGGACATTGGGGTGCGATATTGTCCGCAGACGGACAAGGATCCTCCATTTTCGTCTGTCATACTGGCTCAGGACACTGGCTCACGCACTATTGTGCACTGTAACAAGAATTATCCGTACGTGACAGCGGAAGATTTTAAAAGGATCGATCTCAGCGCCTTCGGCTGGGTGCACTTCGAGGCACGCTGCCCCACGGAAACTATTAAGATGATCCAAGCCGTGGTAGATTATAGAAGCAAGTGTGGCGATGAGCTCATTATATCGTTAGACTTCGAAACGCTATATGAGGAGAATCTGAATTTGTGCGATTTGTGCGACTATGTTGTGCTGTCCAAGGATCTAGCACTCAAAAAGGGCTGGAAGGCAGCGCAGGAAGCTTGTCTAGGTCTAGAACGCGATCTTATTCAGCACCGACCGGCCATCATCTGTCCGTGGGGTAGCGACGGAGCGGGCTGTCTGGATTCCAACAAGAACTATCGCGATATGGGCGCCTATAAGGCAAATAAAATTGTGGATACTCTAGGGGCCGGCGACAGCTTTATGGCTGGCTTTATATACGCCACATTATACCGGCTCTATTCACTATCCGATGCCGTAGATTTCGCCAACCAGGTGGCCAGCCATAAGATAACGAATTTCGGCTACGATCATATTACCGAATTAAAATAAATGAATGAACAATGAACATGGTAACAAAACTTCATGTCGGAAATAACTGCTTCCTAAAAAATAAAAATTTCCAAAAATTACTGTGGAACCTTTTAGGCCAATCATTTAATAGACTTTGGACCAATGACGGAGACTGGAAACAAGCAGAGCTGGGCGGTCGGGAAGAAGACTGTGTTATGCGTGGGCAATACTGTCATCGACTACATTTCGGTTTGCAAAAAGTTTCCTAGGGAGAATGAGCCGAATAAATGCTATGCTTCCTACTGGCAACGGGGCGGCAATGCGTCCAACAATTGCACCGTGCTGCGTCTTCTGGGCGTTAAGGTCGAGTTCTTTGGGAAATTGAGTACATCCCCATTGTTTGGCATGTTGGTGGAGGACATGCGGAAAAGAGGCATCATTTTTGATCATTGTCCAAGAACAGAGGTGGATCCGCCGTTCTCCACAGTCATACTGGCTTCTTCGATCAAGTCGCGCAATATTATAAACTGCAATAAAGATTATCCGTATGTCACGTACGATGACTTCAAGAAACTGGACTTGAATGAGTACGGTTGGATACACTTTCAAGCACGCCATCCAACTGAAACGATACGTATGATGCAGCGTGTTACATCCTTTAATAAGAAAAAGGCTAAGGACGACCCAAAGATTGTTATTTCTTTAGACTTCGACAAGTCGCCCACTGAGATGTGGCCGTTGGTTAACTACTGCGATTATGTGGTTATATCCCGACAAATTGCCACGCTCAAGAAGTGGGAAACTCCGCTAGAGGCGTGCACTAGTGTTGGCGAATGGCTGCGCATGCGCTGGGGTGTGAATCTAAAGCGACCCTACGTCATATTTCTGTGGGGATCGGAGGGCGCTGCCATCCTAGATAAGCAGGAAAATTACTCATTTGCACCGAGTTACAAACTCAAGAAAGTCGTCGATTCGCTTGGGGCTGGAGATGTGTTTATGGCTTCTTTGATTTACGCCCTATATATACGCGAACGTCCGCTTTCCGTGGCCGTAGATTTTGGCAATCGTATGGGCAGCTATAAAGTCACAAACTTTGGATATGATCACCTTCCCAATATCTTAGTACCGCCAACTCTATAATGTGATTTCGGTTCTTTGGCTTGCAATAGAAAACAATGGGAAGGTATTTTGAGTGAAGGTATGCGAGGTGAAGGCAAATTGCGTAGTTTAATAATATTTAGGAACTTAGTGACAAAATATAGATAATAATTATGTGAAATGCAGAAGTTAAAAGTCCAAAATTAGTGGTGACCTACGATAACTCTTTTGTATTCTAACAATATGTAATTGACGAACAATCTGTTCTGATCCATCTGATCCGTCTGATTCCAATTAAATTTTGATCATTCCCATTTCGAACTAAGCTGGAGAGCCACAAAATTATTTTTAGGGAAATAGTTTACCTCACAGTTAGCTCTACCTAACAATTATTATACTTTCTTTGTCGATTTTACTTGCAGCTTTATTTTAATGCACAAATTTTATAAACTTGTCAAATGTTTGATTATGATAAATGACTTTAATATTACATATACATATAGTATGTGAAAGCAATGGGTTCTTAGGTAAATTTGGTAAAATCTCCCTTTTGATCATCGATGTCGGCGCCTGAGGAAGCTATGCCACTGGAGGCGCTGCCGCTTTGGGGTTGGCTATTTAGGTTTTCAATTAGCTGCCAAAGCAAATAGATATTAATTCAAAGGAGAAAACATCACACTTTCATTTACTTTACCTTGGTGCGTAAGAGCTTAAGCAAGCGCAATCTTTCCAGCCAATTGGATGCGTAAGGATTCTTCTTTTGCACACTCTGATAGACCAGCGACGCCAGCTGAAAAGTAACCAAAAGTAGTTGGGATTATTGGAATATTAAAGAGCTTAAATAAGACTTACATTGGCATGCAGAGCCATCTGACGCGCTAGCAGGGGAGCACTGCGATCTGAGACTATGCGCGGCTCCGGGTGACATACATATTTGGAAATTTCTGAGCGCGCCTTAACATAAACTCGATTGGAGTTCAGTTCCAGAGGCTCGACAATCACACAGGCATAGTTGAATTGACCCTTTTTGGTAAGCAGAGTGGAATTAGAGAAGAATAACTCTATTTAATGCAGCCTTACTTACCGACATGGTGGCTAAGTTACACTCCTCCCCGCTTTCGTTGTATAAGATTTTTACAAAGTCGTTGCCAATGTGTTTTTTCTTTTCATTGCAATTGGGATCGTCCTGCAGGTTGGTCGGCATCAGAGTGGCAACATGGAAGGTAACCTACAAGGATATGTTCGTCAAAATCAAGCCGTAATTATAAATGGAAAACGGCTGCCACAGACCTGCAGTATATCATCCTTCCAAATGTACGTGAACTTGCCATCGGCTCCACTCTTGTCCAGACCAATGAAGAGATTATTTTGCTCAGCCTCTTTAAGATTTACCAACGTGCCGATACTGCGTAAGAACTCCACATAGCGCGTGCTGCCATATGAGTTGCGCAGGATCTCCACCTCGTTGTTGCACTGCCCCTGGCCCACATAGAGCACCCCAATTCTGTGCGTCTCAAAAGGAGGCACCAAGTCGAGCAGTTTCAATAGGCTCACATGCTCGGAGCCTACCCTGAGCGGTGTTTCCGTCACCTCCAGCTGGCCGGTGCTGAACAATTGCAGGAAAACAAAGCTAGGATTCATGCACAGCTTGGCATTGATGGGCGGCTTGGCGGCACCAAAGCTACGAAAGTTACTGGCGGGCGAGGGACGGGCCTTCCCATTGTTGACTTCACGCACCACTGAAATGGTTTTGGATCGCACACGCATCTCGCCATTGTTGTAGTCGAAGTTAGCCGCCGCGCCAGCGCCCCCAGCATTGTTGCCGGAAACAGTACTGCCAGTGCTGCCGCTACTGCTCGATTTGGCTAAGCCCTGGTGGGTACGTGTCGTGAAGTTTGTGCCCATGGCAGCCGGAGCTGCCGACGGTACTTGTTTAATATCTAGACGCGGAGAAGGGGGCACTGCCCCTGGAGCAGGTGACAGAGGTGGCTTGCCGGCTGTTGTGCTCAGCTTGAGCGAATAAGTGGAGCTGGATTGTTGCACTACGTTGCCGACCACTACTTGACTGTTCACGTCGTCCGCCGAGTGTTGCTTGGGTGGCAAGCTGTTGGGCTCCGGTTCGAGCGCCTGCGGTGGCGTTGATCCTGCAATCTCCTCCGGTATGGCCTCGCAACTGACTCGCATGTCCTTCGTACTGTACTGCACACTTTTTTTCTTTTGCTGCTGTTGCATGAACTGCAGTTGCGGCTCTTCTGAGGCCATTTTAACTGGCTCTTGGGACAAGGGTGCTGGTTTTGCAGCCAAAAACGTCTGACGCCAGCTGGAACTCATTTCTGGACTGGAGTTCACGCGCCGCACAGGATTCCGTGCTCGAGCCTGGCCATCCTCAAAGGCCATAGTGTCATCATCGGCCTCACCATCGCTGACACTGCCGCAGAGCGCCTCCTTGCCACGCTTACAAGTCGCAGCCACGCGCGGTATATCAATCGCCGCCGTGCTCATGGATCCTCCATTGCCGCCGACCGAAGAGATCTCTTCCTGACGCTGTAGAGCGCGCGCCTTTGCTGCTATACGATGGCGCACAAGGTTGTCACCAGCCGTATTGTCTGTAACTTGGGTGGACGTCGGTACTGTTGTTGCATTTGCTTGCAACGGCGCTGCCTCCGCCTCCCGTTGGAAATCTACGCGCTCTGTCGACGATGTCGCCTGCAGCGTTGATTCTGGTCCAAAGACACCGCCATAAGCCGTAGGCAAAAATAGGGATACCATGCTATTGAAGGGCAAGTCCTGTCCGAAGCAATCATTGGTTATGGGATTTTGTAGGCGTGTTATCCAGGATATGTTTCCCGTCGGTCTTCGGATAAGCACCTCGCCCCAGCCCGTGCAGGATCGAACGCACACAGGCTGCTGCACAGCAGGTTGCGTTGAAGGACTCATGCTTGCCGAGGACAGAGACAGCGAGTTTCCCAACAGCGATGTATTGCTGCCGGTGGTGTTCATGACATCCCCAAACCCCCCACCGACACCTCCACCCATTGCCTCTGGATTGGAGCCGCGTCGTGAGAGCGCCTCCAGAGATGCTGTCGAACTGTTGGATATCTGACGATGTGTGGTGGCCGCCGAAGTGGACGACGATGAAGAAGTTAACTCTGTACTACCAGCCGACTCATTGCCACTGCTGTGCTGCAGACTGATCTTCGTGTATCGGCGATCTAATGGACCGGTGCCACCCACATTGCTGACCTCGGGCGACAATGGAGGCGCCGCATCGCTCATGCTCTTAGAATTCAAGCTAATGCCCGGCGTTTTTCCCAGTTGCGCACAACGCTCGCATAGACCATTACGTGTGGGCACCGACGGGCAGCCCGATGTGGTGATAGTGACCAGATTGTGGCCAACCAGCCAGGTTTGTGAGACGCCGTCCTTCAACAAATGCTCTACCGCTGGCAAGCTGTGAAATCAAATAATAATAATTGAGTTAGGAACGCACAAATTAATTCAGACACTACAGTTAAAATGATCGTTTTAGAAAGCTCTCAAAAAGTGTGTACACGATAGAGAAAACTTTGATAAAGGGACAAAGAGCGAAACAGCTTCGATTCCTAGCAGGTTTCACTGTTGAGAACGTTTTGCAAACGAAATGTAGAACATATTGAAAACGAATGCGACATTGACTATCGTGGATCAACTAACCAAAAGATGATATATTTTGAACACCTTGTTGCCCCAAATTTAACCAAATATAATCGGAATTATATATTTCATAGAGCGTACTAGATTTTTGTTGTCCATTTAATGTACAAAAAAAGAAATTGATGATTTCAAATGGAATAATCTAGGAAGGTCTTTGTAATTGTACCGTATTGGGACTTACCGCTTGGGTAACGACGGGCAGGGCGAAAACGTGTGCCTTGCCAAAAAGTCGAAGCAAGTCTCGGCCAGCTCGGCATGAAAGTAACGTAAACTGTTATTCAGCAGAGGCCTCATTTCAGAATCATTACGCGCAGCGGCGCTATTTCGACTGCCTCGTTCCGTAAGACTGGTGCTGCGTTTGCGGTTAGATGAGTCTTCATTCAACGAATTGATGTTTACAATGTCGTTGTACAGCATCTTGGCATTCGATTGCATGGACTGGAAAGGGATAAATTCTTTCAAGTTAGGGTAATATGATATAGGAACCAGCTAACTTACCGATTTTATGTAACCCACACAGTTCTTGCGCAACTCCAGCTTAATCTTCAAAAACCACCCTGCAATGACGTGATGCGCCAGAGACACTGTATAGTGATCGTACCGATGGGGCTTGGTGTATGGCAGTGATATGGCAAACACGTACATATTTTGCATGGGCGTGAAGTTGGTGAAGAGATGGTTGGACAAATGAATCAACACTATCAGATAGAAATAGATATACGTTAGAGTAACTCTCCCCAAGGCACTCGTTGCGCAGACTTACGCGAAAGAAACTCCAATACCGGTATAGCGACGGCATTTGTGTCCGACATTTTGCTCATTTGGAGGAGCACGTCGGGCAACTTACGCATGAGTGCCTCTGGCATTTCCAATATCAAAATAGTCATCGTACTTATGCAGACGGTGGCAATGGCGGTCGGAACACGAGCGTTCAAAACCGATATAATACTATTGTGTTGTGGTGGCTGCAAGCACTCGTGATAGATGACCAGCGAGGCAATCGCAGGCAAAACCAGGGCATGGAATTCGTCGGTTGGACGCTTGAATTTATTGTTGCTTAGGTTGATTTTGAGAAGGGTGTTGGCCAATTCCTCAATATCATTGCCCTGAATAAGTGCCTTGTTCTGCAACACCTTCGGAAGTTCCTTGATGACCAGCTGAAATATATGGTAGTCTGCGACGGCAGTTAAAATTAATGGATTGTGGAATTCAAGCCACTGTCATGCCTCACCATTGTCTTGTTCGAGACATCGCACGATCAGCTTGCAAGCGTTTCTTATGGAAATTGTAGTTGTATGCAATTGTGGCTGCAGCGGCGAGTCAATTCCAAGGTAATGACTAAACTTGGGCCCTTTATTCGGCCCATCCGGATAGCCAATGTGGTAAGATGCATTGGCGCGAGCCCTGAGCATCCAGTTGAAAATCTTTAAAAGAATATTGATTAATGTAGAACATTGTATTGTTTTAGGGATAGGAATCATTACCTTGTAGCGCACAACGCTGGCCTGTTCAAATATCTTTGGTCTATCGTAATGCATCTTCAAGTGATCGACCAGTATGTTGAATATCTTGATTGCATGTGTGGCGGGCAGACGATGCAGCTTAATAGCAAATACTTCGATTAGTCCATCGACCGCAGCCATGATGTCATTAATTTCCCCCTCACTCTTGATGACCATGCCACCAGCGATAGCTACTTCGGCGAGCGCGCCCTCCGTTGCCACATGCTGTCGCACCTGATCGAATGGTCGATTGATGAGCGACTCGAGTATGTCGAGTAGGTCTACGCATCGTTTAGTGTCGCAGTGTGCAGCAAACCCGGCAAGAGCGCTGGCTACGGCAGCACGAACCTCCACACTGGGCTCATGATGGATTTGAGCGAATTGTGTATTGACCACTCGATCGAGTATCTCATCCTCGTAGGTGGAGCGGTTCTGTTCCATGATCTCCACAACCGCACTAATCGTTTTGATGCGCACATTTATATTGGACATGCGATAATATCGACTCACGAATTGCGTCAATACCAGCAGCCATTCGGGGCGTGTGGCTCTTACACTTCTCGTGCGATAGTCGATCAGGGCCAGCACCGAAGCTTCTGGTCGTTGATCAGCCACACGTTCGATCAGGTCATAAATGCGATCGTTTCCCAATATTTGAGCACGCTCGTTCTGCAGTAGTTTCTCAATCCAATCAATGTTCTCATGGAAGTTTTTTTGCAAATCATCCAAACGATCTTTGTTCACACCCGAGATCTCTGAAACATTGAAAATACTAATTAAAATTGTCTCATTATCGTTACGATCGCTGTACTTACTATAATACTCGATGTTCTCTACAATTGTTGACATAATGTCACATATGAGGTCCCACACAATTTCGGATAGTTCAAATTTATATTTGTTTATCACCATTCGCACACTAAGTATCACCTCGAAGGTAACGATCACCTGTCGGCTGTCCAGGGCCTATGAAAGTTTTGTTTTTTTTATATATTTTTGTTCCTTTGTGGTACTTTTGTATACTTACGTGTAGGAAGCCGGTGAGAACATTCGTTGCATAGATCATGGGGGAGACTTGAAATATGACATTCGAACCGAAAATATTCATGTTCAGATGGAAGACAGCTCCGCGCAAAAGTTGGGCATCTTCATACAGACCCCGATCATTCAGAATGTTGCACATCATTTTCATGGAATGGTAGCCTAGTTGAGTGCCCAATAGGTTTTTCATTATCTTAAAAAGAGGAAAAATATAAATTATATTTTAACGGCAACTTTTCAGATCATATTTCTGAAATGGTTGATTGAATAACGACAGAAGAATATTATATTTTAAATTAATGTTTTGTTGCAAAAAACAATTTTAATTAATTTTCTTCCCTTTTTGCGTTAATAATAAAAGCCAAAAATGAAGTTGCTTAGATAACCGTCTAGTATTTCGACTCCGACTTCCAATGTTTGATTACAATTGTATATAGGCTACCCGATTATTATAAACATACATATATATGTTTATATATAGATTCAATTCAAAACTAAAAATGATGTATTTCCAGCCTGTCCTGGGAAAATAAACATTTTTGTTTGGCATATCATCAAAATTTGGAATTGAAGAGTACTAAAGGGTGCAGCCATGAAGAAGCAAATAGTAAAGGAGTTCATTACGGTGAAGAAAGTGCGATATTTGCCGCGCGAGCCGGAGCCGCCACCACCGCCCCCAAAGCGGCACATTCTCGTCGTGGGACGCTACACCCTGGACGTAATCACTGTCTGTGATACGTTCCCCAATCCTGGCGAGACACATCGCATCACTAAGGGCACTTGGCGGCGAGGCGGCAGCGCTTCAAACATTTGCACGGTGATTCGTCGATTGGGCGCTCAGTGTGAGTTTTTGGGTCATTTAAGCAATGCGCCCGCCTTCGAGGGTCTGATTTCGAGCTTCATTGCAATGGGCATTGACATATCCAGCTGCCCGCGCAGCCCAAAGGATCCGCCACATCAGTCCATTATCGTCGTTGCTAGTAACGGTACCCGCACCACCATCGAGCAGTCGACATCCACCAACGAGCTGACCTTTCAGCAGTTTCTGGGAGCGGTCGATTATCAGAAATATTCATGGATACACTTCGAGTGCCGCAACGCCAAGGAGACGAAACACATGATTACTGCCGTCCGTAATTATAATGCTCGATGCGGTGATCACATCATTATATCCGTTGATTTACCAAATCTACGCAATATGTGCTTGTTGCTGGCCGATCTGGCGGATTACGTGTTCGTGCGCAAACAAGTAATGCTCGCTAATGCCTATATAAATGGCCACGAGACGGTGTGCGCCATTCGCGAAATGTTGCGTTCCATCCGCTCTCGCTGGATGTCCCTTCAGCCGAAGAAGACGCCCTATCTGCCCGATGATGAGACCTCGCAGGAAACTAAAAAATGCGAGCCCGATACCAAAAGGGTCCCTATTATTATCTATGCGAACAACATTGAGGGCGCCAGCTGTCTGCTGGCCGATGACACGTATTTTAAGGTCAGTGGCCACGTACCAACGAGGGTTTTGGACACCGTGGGCGAGCATGACGCTTTCTGCGGAGCTGTAATCTATGCCATGCATGAGATTGAGTTGAGTCTGCGCGACGCCATGGAGTATGGAACGCGCGCCACTAGTGTCAAGGTAGCACAAAATGGTTTCGATGGATTGCGTTGCATTCCCAAGGACTTGAAGGGCTTCTATTATTTGTAGGTTCGTAGTTGGTTGTGATAGCAATCAAATAAATTATAGATCAATAAAATGACTATGTGTAGATTATTTTTTTCGGCACTCTTTCAAAACTAGTCCTGTTCCAACCAGAAGCAAAATCCCAGCCAGATCAATTTGAAATCATTTTGTGAAATTAAAAACTCGATTTTTGGACGGATACTTTCTATAGCAGTTATCTACATATATCAACTAATTAGTCACATAATAATAATAATTTTGGACAATTCTCAATGCGACCCCTATTAAATTAGAACCCTTTTAATGTTCCAATCCAATTTAAGTACAAATATTAAACAGATGCTCCATGTCTTGTTATATCACAATTTCTATGTTTTTAAAATGATCTCATTAGTCCCGCATGCCTAGATGTGTCATTCCAAAATCATTCGACCCTGAAACATTTTGGGTAAACAAACTCATTAATTGAGATAATTATTGTGGTACATATTTAGGATCAATTAATCACCATCAGCATGTCTGTGGGGGTGTCAGAAAAGCGCCCGAAGTATTTATCTGAACAGAAGATAAGATGCCCAGCTCGAGAAGCAATTCCCCAAAACACATCGACAATAAGAACACCAAGAAAAAATTCATTAGCTTTACCAAACGAATATTGTACCGCCATAATCGAAATCATCACAATGCTGCGCAATGTTGTCAGTACCATCATCTATGGAACTGATAAATCCACTACAATTGCTTGAAAGGTGACGGGCATAAAAAGCGCAACGATGTCAATAACATGCGTTAATTTTACGCAAAACGCTCAACACGTCTTACAGAATCAATTTGGCACCATAATGAAGAGTAGGTATTGCTATCTAGATAGCTTCCCATCTCACCGGATAATTTTCGAGTATTCTTACAGTGATTTTCTTGAGCCTGATGGCCTATGTCCTGGCATTACAGACTATCCGTATCCAGGCTCTCCACTTGCACACACTGCCTAGTCAAGTGGGTCTGGCGCAGGACTGTAAACAAGCAGCCATCTGGACACTGGTGCCGCACGCATACAAATGCCAAAATTTCTTTGTGTGCGATGGGCGTGGCAGCTATCAGGAATACAGCTGCGGAGCCGAATATCATTTCAACAGAACGAAAATGCATTGCATGCCAGGGCCCTGCAATGAAACTCCCCTGATCCCCCAGGCCAGCTGCACGCCAAACACCGTACTGCGAGTGCGTGAGGACTGCTCGCGTTATCGAAGCTGCACGAGTAATGGCTTCTACGAACTGACTCAATGCGCCAGCGGACAGTATTTTGATGTCGCAAAACGCAGCTGTATGCCGGTGAAGTTAACGCCAGATCATCAGTGCAGTTGCCTGCTGCCTGAGCACTCGACACTTCCCAATCCCGGCGACTGCGAGACCTACTTCAGCTGTCAGAACGGTCTGGCGGTGCTGCAGCAATGTCCTCGGGATCAGTACTACGATCAAAATGTGGGTTCGTGCCTTTTGGACACCACAGGCGTCTGTCTGGAGCATGCAACAAAGCCACCAGTATCGCTTAGCGAAGCTCTTGCCCTGGATGACTGCATAAGCACGGGAAGCCGCCTTGCGCCGCACAGCAGCGACTGCAGCCAGTTCTATTTATGTGTGCCCCGCCGTGTAGTGCTCATGTCTTGTCCCAGCGGAAAATCATTCGATCCTGTGCGTCGCTATTGTAGAAAAGATGCGAACAATGAGTGTAATGTCAATGTGGAGCCAAGTAAGGCTGACAAGCCTGTCCGCCCAAAGCCACCCACAAAACAGCTTGATGCTCACAAAGCCCCACCGGCAGAAGTTGACTCGCAGGCAGTGGCTAAGCAACCACCGCACACGATCGTAGTTAGTCCCGAGATGGCCAGCAACTACGATAAACTAACCTCCAAGTTCATGCCGTTTTAAATATGTAATGAAATCATCAAAAAACAAAGAAGTCAAGAAACGCGCTGAAATAATCACGATGGTTTTAATTGTACGCAAGGGATAATATTATTTTAGACATAAATGGGTAAAAGGGGATCTCACGTTACACATATTGTATGCAAAACTAGCCTGAACATATATCTGTATTCGGAGTTTTCATTTACTGCCTGGCAACTACTTGGGTCGATGTAATTTATTATAACATTCCGATCGAATAAAATGAATATTGTCATCTATATATGTATGTACTTAAATATTGTACTTGTGCTCATGTCCGCAAGGCTGGCACAAGCAATAGCAATGGATTCTGATTTAAAATCGCTAATGTAGTGTATTGCATTACAGAAACTACCCATCTACATAGCGGAAGAGTACCTTTTATTTTTTGTGTGGTGTTTTTTTCGGCACTCACCTTAAATGATGCTGGACAATAGCGCGAATGATTTACAGTGCGGCACAGTGTGACAATGCAAAGCGGGAGCGGTTCACTAGGAAATATGGTGTAGCCAATGACCATTTCCAAAATGGTCAAGCACTGGAGCCCAATTTCATCGTCTGTAACCGTACAGCTCAATTCACAAGCATTTCTAAAAGAAGAAAAAAAAACTAATTAGTCACAGGTCTTGGTAATAAAATGATTTATACCCACTGCACTATGCCGACCAGTATCTCTTTATCTAAGTGCGCAGCATTAAATTTGATTAAATTGACCAACATGTCCAAGTAGGGACACAAAAGTTCAGCATCTATTATTGCTGGTATCCATAACAGCATGAATTTGCCAATCTACAAAAGATGAGATCGTTATTGAAACACATTAGCTAGTTGAAAAGATTTTACGCCACCTTCTCCTCAAAGTTGGTAATATCCTTGCCGTTTTCGGTGAGTGTATCGAGCAGTTCCAGCAAGTGCCTCAGGTCCTCCCGGACCTCATGGTTTTGTATAACTAAAAAGAATTTTTCGCGCATTAGCGTAAGATTTTTATATTGTGTGAAGATGAGGCGCTTGTAGAAGCTCAATGCAATCTGGCGCGTGTCGGCTGGTTTGTTGGGCACAATGAGATCATTGGTTAATTGCCAGAGCTTTGTAATTGACGACTCTTCCAGGTTCATGTTGTGCAAGTGCAGGTCGCACAAGTCCTTCAACATTTTGCTACGTTGTGCCAGCGGCTGTTCTGGTCGTAGCTCCCGCTCGAATTCTGGCCGTAGAGTGCGCTCTCCTGTGTGGCCTACAATTTCGAGGAAGCGTGTAAATAAAATGTAGTGAGGGATTTGTATGTGTGCGTTTTTTCTTATTTACCTCCACCTGCTGTCTTCTTTACAAACATTTTCATTTTCGACTTGGTTATAATTTCTTTGTCCTTTGAACTCATCTTGAATGTGTGTAATAATGATAAGAGCCTTGTTTGTATATTTTTATGCACCTAATGTTGACTTTAAACCTAAAGTTAAACAATAATATGCAGCTGCAGTCCAACAGTAAAAACAGCTGGACACCAAGCACTGTGTGAGCGAAGGGTTGCCACCTTGTCCGAAAGTAAAACCATCGATGTATACTAATAAATATCGCTAGTTGTCAACAATCGCATTAGCTTCCACCCCTAACCTTGCATCATATCTTTCTGTGAGCGTCTATCAAGTGTGAGACCAAGCTGTATTAAAAGTAAATTGTATTTTTCGCTGAAATTGCATATACTTATTTTTTGTCGGTTTGCTTGAAGCGTTACTAAATTTTGTTGCGTGGGTGATTTAACTTTATTAAACAGCAATTCACGCTGTTGCTGATCGAGAAACTTTTCCTAATTGGCAAGTAAACGCCAAAGCAGAAAAGAGAGTAACGTAGTGCGGAACAGAGCAAAAAGAGAAAAACAACGGTTAACGTTAAATTGGTTAAGCACGTATTATATCGTGTTTTTCCATTTGTATACTATATCTCGTAAGTAAATATATAAATATATTTGTTTTTTTAAAACAATATTTACAAATATTATTATTACAATTAGTTTTACCCATTGCTGTAGCCCCTATATACATACATATATCTACATACATATGTACACACACTCGTATGATAGATCCCATGCACGACGTGTCCGTGTGTTTGCATTTCATCAATCATGTGTGTGTGCCTTAATATGTGCAACTTTTATCTGTCATTCTAGCGCGCCTCTGAAATTCGTTGCCCTTGTGACGTTTTATTATTTTTTTCATCTCTCTTATGGAAATTCAAAATTTTTCGCCATTTTATTGAGTTTCCATGTGTGTATGTACATATGCATGTACATATACATATGTAGATACCTATGTATGTATTCATGTGAGCTAAAAGTTCATTAGTTCTGGAATGTTTGTATAGTTTTTTTAAGTTTCTCAACATCGTCATTGGTTCACCTGTCATTTCTTTTTATCTGATTTCTTGCTTTTAGGAAGAGAGATCCCCATCAAACAACACTAGGGATTTATGATCATGAGCGCCACTGAGGAAAACAGCAGTCCGGCTACCACGCCACAAGAAAGCGAAGCTCCCGAAACAACAAATCCCAGAGATCTGGAGAAAATCGAGGAGGAGAAACTTAAATCAAAATATGCAACCGGCATGCGGGCGCCGGGAGGGCACTCGGCTTTCTTGCAGAAACGTCTGCAAAAGGGTGTAAGTGCCAATCAATCAACGATAAAGTTCATAATCGATTTTTTTTTATAAATTCCTTTGTCCAGCAAAAATTCTTCGATTCTGGTGACTATCAGATGGCAAAGCAGAAAGGTGGCGGTGTTAAACAAGTTTTCGCCAACAAGGTGACCACCGGAGATGCCATTCCTACTCCAGAGACTGTGCCGGCACGTAAGACCTCGATTATACAGCCGTGCAACAAGTTCCCTGCGACGAGTTAAGCTTTCGCTTCAATCGCGCCTTCTCAATGCTCTACCTATTGCTAAAATTAATATTAAGTTGGTTGATCCACGGCGCAGAGCTGTGCCGGTCTATCTGCATTTCATGCGTTTTCTTTTTAAATTGATTTAGTTTATGCCCCCACATGTCATTTATATACCATTAACTTAAAGTATCCAGATTATATGTAGTTATAAGTTATTCCAAAATGCAAACGAAACAAAAACAAGCAGGATATGTCCTACGTAATACAACAAATTGCAACAAATAACACGTAATACAAAATTTTGAATAAACCCTGTTGTAAAGTATTTCGCATGGAATGAACTAAAATAAATGTATTTCTAATTGTTCCCAAGCCGAGCTTTCCAATTTTCTAAACTAATCTTATCAGAGGTCAAATTGAATACTACTACTGTTGAATCTGTTTAAGCATTGGTATCACTGCACTAAAGCACTAGAAATGTACAAAAAGTGTGTGTCGAAACTGGAAATATCGGTTGACTGGCTTATCGATATCAGCGTGAATCGTCGCAAGCTATCGATTGTATTCTTGGAACGAAGAAGAATAAGTGTATTATTTGTTTATGATTATAGCTAGTTGCGGTTTATTAAATTAATTTAATAGTAGCGTTAGGAGTAGCTACTTGGATGGATACGGTGGAAGATTGCAGCACCAGTCTCTTCAGTTTGGCCAAAAAACTTGCACTATCAATTTCTCACGATGAGCGCGGCAAAGTTCTCTCAACATCTGTGGCCAAACGGCGTACGCATATTTACGAATCTATTTTACGAGCAAGTACAGAACCGCAGCCGCCGCCGCCCTTTCACCAATATGAGCTTCTTCGCCAGATGTTCACATGCTTGGTTGGATCATCGGAATGCGCAGAGCTGCGTGAAAGGTATGAACAGTTGCAAGGGGTCCAAGAACTGGTCAAGGAGCATAGTGAATATTTTCACTCGCCAATGGGCAATGCTATTGCTTTCTTGCTGCTAAACATATCAGAGGTTAAAGTAGTTGCTGCACCCGAAAAACCTAAAAACATCAAGGTGTGGGAACCGTTCAATTTTCACACACCTGCCCCTTTCGGTCTCATTGTCCACAATGACGACAATGATGAATTACGTGACAATAGTCAACAATTTGAAGAACTGCAGGACCTGCGTAACCCAATGCCCAAGTTTTTTAAGTCGGTAGACTACTTGCGCTCTAAGCTGGATAAGGAGCCGCTGAAAGCTTGTCGTAGTTCTCCAATTATGCTAAGCGACATCAATGAATTGCGTGGTGCATACAACGCCGCCACACCTGTGACCAAGCTGCCTGGAATTTTTGAGCGTTCTTTAGTGCGCTTAAGGGAGCCCAAGGTTAATACGCCTCGAGTAAGCCCTCATCTGCCTCTAATAAAGCCACCTCAGCAGAAGATGTGCAATGAACCTGAAGTAGAACCAAGTAGTGGTGGCTCTTGTTCCCCCGATCTGCCAAAACACTTCATTTCGGATCTGAATTTAACACACGAGCTAAAGCGCCTACATTGCAAAGAGCAAGGACAAAGTTTTGAGCCATATATTATAGAGTTACCTGATCTCATTGATGATCTGAAAAAGGCTGCAGGTGAGTGAATCTCCGCCATTTTATACCTCCACTTAATTATTGCCATTATTCTTCGTAGTTGGTTTACAATCTGAATCTTGCATCATCGGCCCGAATGGCCTTTTTTGCCTGCGGTCGAATTTAACGCTTGCGAGTGTGTTACCTGAGGTCCTTGTGGAGCTTACGCAACGTTTCCTGGAATGTGGTGACTGTTATCTGCGCCTGCGTTTTCGCTCAAAATGGCAAAGGGGGAAATTTCGAACAGAAGGACTACTAAACCGGGTATTATTATTTTCGTCCGTGCGCAGAGCATTGATTTAACTCTATCTCGATTTGCAGGCTATGCGCCAAGCTGTTAGTGATTTTTTAATCGTCTGTCGTCAGTTCTTTCTTGCACTACCCGGCACTACACTGACACATTTGATAAGGGGTGCAAGTTCCACTATGGGTTTGCTGCAGAAAGTTGATCATATGTTCAGCTCAGAACCTCGTCGTAAGTACATATATATGAGCAGTTGTGATTCAGAAACGCATGCTAAATCTGTTGATATTACAGTGAACATAGCTGAAGGCACGACCGGAGCGTGCTTGCTGAGCTATATCTGGACTGCCATCGATTGTTACGTTACAAGTGAATACTCAGAACTGCTGCTGTACTTTCTCAAGCGCCTGTGTCAAACGTATTATGCCCAAATGCAAAAATGGCTGTATAATGGTATACTAGAGGGCCAATTTAATGAGCTCTTTGTCAGTTGTCATGTGGCTAAATATCATGAATGCAGCAAGGAATTTTTCGATAAGGGCTATGTGGTGCATTCCGAAGCTGTGCCGGGATTTTTAGTCGGGTGCGAGCAGGCCATTGTGCAGTGTGGCAAATACAACATGTTGCTTAAAGCCTACAAATCGAAGGTGAGTTACTCCTATATTCTATATGTATCTATTCTATATACTGTTTCGAAACTATTTCAATATTTGTAGCATCCACTCTTCGAACTCAATCATCCCAATATAGTTGTGTGTTTATCCAACGACGAAATCAAAACGATGCGCCAGAATTTAGAGGAGCACTACGCCGGCATCTCTGGTCAGTTCGAGCCGTGCAACATACAATTAATCTATGAGCAGCGTGCAGCAGTGAAACAACGCCTTAAGAATTTTATATTCGCTCGTACTCAGGCGCACATTGAGGCATGGGAGATTAAACAAAAGCAACTCTTTAAGGATACTAAAGCCCAGAAAAAGCAGTTGTTCGACCAGCTGAGTGCACAACGAGAGGAGGAATTGCAGAACAAGCTAGAGCAGCGACGGCTGGATATCGTTAGAGATTTGGAAGTTGAGCGGGAGCGAGTTCAACTGGAGGATCAACGAATGCAGCGCGAGAAACAAAGATTACAAAAGCGTATTGGTATTCTGCAGGAGGTGGTAAAGATCGAAGCAACTGCGGAAGTGGATCCTCCTGGTTCCATTCATAGTCCAAGCAGCAGCAATGGCAGCTCCTCAGATCGCAGCTTTGTTTCATGTTGTGACGAAGTTAGCGCAGAACTTAATACTACAGTCACCCCGCCGCTCACCACGCTTGCCGTTGTAGAGTTGAAACGTAGCCACTCAGATGTACTCAACTCCAATGAAGAGCAGCATCTAGGGGTACTACCTACTGATTTGGAATGCAACCGCAAACGTATGATGAGCTCACAAAACGTTGATCAAAGTGAACCACGGGTCCACCTGCAGGAGCGGGTGCTGGCTCTATCGACGGAAGCGCAACGAAATAAGTTGCGCGTTCTCAGTTGCAGTGAGCAGATAGCTCCGCACGACGAAAATCTCAATACGCTGTCAGCCACAGTCGCTCCTAATGATAACAGCAATGAACTGTCGAGCGACCTTCAGCGCAATCGTCAACGTATGATGCAGCATGATATGTTTAGTGCCTTTAATTCGGTTGAAGATGCACATGCGCAGCGTTCCAAGTGCCTTTTGACTGCGGATACAGAGCGTGCACGCAATCGTCGACGTGTAATGGAAAGCGAGTTTGATATTATTGTGGGAAATATTGAAATGCAATTGCCCTTGGAGCGACACAAACTGTACGTGGAGGAGGAATCAGTGGCGCCAGGTACGCCAATGTCAACCACATCGGATGTTGAAGCAACGATGACGACATCCCATGAGGAAAAATGTCAAGATACTGTGAATAACAATCAGACCAATGTGCTCGAGAAACAAATTAACACTAGCGAAAACAATGAACAAGTATCAGAAGGAAACGTCTTGATAGATGATATATTGCAGGGCCAGTCACAATCATCAGAACCAATAGAAGGCCTTTCTACTTTGCCGACTTTCTTTTCAATTTCGCACGCCAAACCTGTTCAGGCCCCTTGTAAACTGGAAACTTTGAATGCAACTGCCAAGGCGCACAATCCTTACATGATTAAAAGTCTCCTGCAGGAATCTCTTTTGCTACCGCTGAACGCTCATTTTGGGATTCTGCGAAATGAAGTAATGCGAATATTCTTCGTAGATTCGCAAATCTATGAACATTTTCGTCAGCTGCGAAATCACTTCTTGATGTTTGACGGACAGTTTGGAGCGCAACTCACTACCGGCTTACTCGGACATATTGAAGATGGAATGGATCCACGCAGTCTTTGCCATAAAGGTATTCTGGATGCCATACTTGACAATGCACTCAGCATAAACTCAACAGGTAAAAGACGTCTCTGATAAAAATATTCAAAACGTTTATTTATATTTATGTATTTAATGGGATCCAGGCCCTGAAATAATTATTTAAATCATTTAGAAAATGTCAATATTCCTAGTGCAGATCATGTATACTTACATGTAATTGTGAATAATTTAGTATGTTAAAGTCTAACACGCCTTTTTGCAATGCTTTCAGAATGGGCGCAGAATCTTACGCTGAATTGCCATGAAATACCAGAAGGGTTCGATCTCATGTCACTCCGTGCACTCTCAATATTCAACCTACAGTATAAAGTAGATTGGCCATTGAATCTCGTCATTAGTTCTGAAGCTCTAGCCAAATATGCGCAAATCTTTTCTTATCTTATGAAACTGCGACATGTAAGCTTTGTTCTGGAACGCGCATATGGACAGTTACAACAACTGGCTAAGTTACACGGCTTCAATATTCGCATGTCCCCACAATATCGACACATACAGATGGTGCGACACAAGTTATATCATTTTGTGAGCACGTTGCAAAACCATTTGGCGTCCAATGCGTTGCAGTCATCGTGGAAAATGTTCAAGGACCAGCTTCGTAATGTCAACACTGTAGAGGGCTTGTATCAGCAACATGTGGCATATTTAAAGCGTGTTTCATTTCTTACGCTACTCAACCGACAAAGCTCCAAGTTTCAAGAGACAATCGACGGTATATTTTTAATAGCGCTGCGATTTTGCAAGTGGGTATAGTTGCTGCGGACTTCCTTTTCATTTTTAATTACAATATTGCATTTCCATTACAGAATTCTTCAGTCTCAAGATTTTGCATTGGAAGGAGAGCATTTTGTACATCCCCGCTACAAGCGTTTGGTGTATGAAGATAGTGAGTTCGACAAGTTCATGCGATATATCATCTACCTAGGCAACAAAGTGGCCGCATCTGGCTATCAAGAGGAAATCGGCGACCTGATACGTATTATTAATTTTAATAACTATTACAAACTTTCTGAAGCAACTTCTACCTGAATTATTGTATTATTAGAAAATTGTATTAAAAAAGTCAATGTTAAATTGCGGTCTCTGGAGTTTTAAAAAAATTTTTTAATTCTAATGGCGTTTTTCGCATCTCAAATCTAACGGCTGTTGGTGATGCGTTAGTAATCGATGCCGCAATAATTCGGTGATATCGAAACATCGATACGTCTTTCGGAAACATATTAGAGACACTATAATGTGCATCACTATTGTCACTATTAGTCATTTAGCACGTTCATTTCGTATTTATTTTTAGTTAGAAGAAAAAGCTTAATAAAATTACTTTATATTTAGTTGAATAGGGACGAAGAACAACAGCTTAAAATATACAATGCAGGTGAGTTTTAATAAAAACCATTCCACTCAGAGACCGATAAAACGGTCAGCAGTTGTTGACTGGTTGCTTTGTGGATCCACTCTTTACTTCCATATATGGCAAAGGGCCGATCGGCACACCTCGATTGCCATGCATGAGTGAAGTAGACGGTATTTTGAATGAAAGCATTATTGAATTGATTCGTTTTAGGACCCCAACGAAGACACTGAGTGGAATGATGTGTTGCGGGCCAAGGGAATCATTGGGCCCAAGCAAAAAGAAGCCGAAATCACCGAAGATCAAATTCAGGCTCTCATGGACGACGCAATCCAGAGGCGTACAGATATGCCATTACAAGAAGGCCAGCGCGAGAAGAAAATAGACGACATGTCGCTGGATGAACTGGACGAGCTAGAAGATTCCGAGGACGAGGCAGTCCTTGAGCAATATCGGCAACGGCGCATTGCTGAAATGCGTGCTACGGCAGAGAAGTCACGGTTTGGCAGTGTCCGGGAAATTTCTGGCCAGGATTATGTAAACGAAGTGACCAAGGCTGGCGAGGGCATCTGGGTGGTGTTGCATTTGTATGCCAACGGAGTGCCACTCTGTTCGCTCATTCATCATCACATGCAGCAGTTGGCACAGCGCTTTCCACAAACGAAGTTCGTGCGCTCTATTGCCACAACGTGCATACCGAACTTCCCCGAAAAGAATCTGCCCACCATATTCATCTATCACGAGGGATCTCTGCACAAACAGTTTATCGGACCAGTAGAGCTGCGCGGCGATAAGCTGACGGTGCAGGAACTCGAATTTATGCTTGGCCAGGCTGGCGCAGTGCCTACGGAAATCAAAGAGGATCCTAGACCCCAGATCAGAGACAAATTACTAGCTGATTTGGAGGATAAGAGCGCTGATTTCTACTGAACACATCATATTTTTAATTTGCCATCTTCATGTTCTGTCATTACCATAATTTTACTTTCTGTTCGTCCGTTTAATAAAATTGATATTGTTTTTTGCGAAATTTCATTTGTTATGCTTCACACTGCTGCCGGCTGCTGTCTTATTTACGCCCTTGGGCTTGCCACGAAATACATTCGGATCGATGATGTTGTACGGATGCTCGGAGGCCGGACTAATAATGCGTCCTCTTCGCAGATCGTGCTCCTCCAGTAAATGTGGTGCAAGCAGCAGAAATAGCTGCTCTGTCCACGAGGGTAGGCCGAAGCTAGAGAAGCAAAGCTCCCAATAGGGCAGGCCCAGATGGGCGATGGACATCCTTAGGTACTCGCTAAATGTTTCAGCTAAAAATTGCCACTTCAGTGTGCTTAACTCTAGCAGATAAAACTTGGGATTGTTGGAGCTAGTAGACTCGTACAGCATGCACACCTGAAAAGGGTGAGTTAAAAATGAGAAAATCTCAATACTCTATTTCAACACACCTTCGCCATTTCGTTAACATTGTTAATTTCGAAAATTTTGCTCTTTGCTGTTATTATTGGCGTAGCATTGCCCCATTTGTCCTTAGTCGCGTTTGCAGCTGTGGATTGAGCCCCATCCGTAGCTGAGTTGCTGCTGCCCATGGGAACCGCATGGCTTCCGTTGGTTGGGTGAGTGTTTTCAATATTCTCGCGCAGCAAAGTCACTTGCAGAAGGTGCGGAAAGTGGATGTATCCCACCCGTCGAATATCGCTCGCTACAACAAATATGAGACGGCATTAGTTCGGGACAACGGCGACTAATTCTACTTACGCGCATACTGATAGCTCCAGTTGAGAACAAACCCATCAGTGGACAAGTAGAACTTCTTCATATCCTCTGGCAGGTAGACACAATGCCGTTGCTCCCAGTTAACCACCTGCCCAGGATTCAGCGGCTGTCGACGTTCCAAACTCACATTGCACACCCGCGGCACCGATGCTTTGGTGAGATTAGAGAGGAATCGGCCGATAAAGCTACTAAGACTATTTACTCACTCAGTGTTTTGATCAGGCCCAGCGTTAAATTTTCATAGAAAGCATCTTCAGGCGAGATTTTCTTACTCATATTAACAAAAATAATTTTCATACATAAGTTACGAAGCTTAAACAAAATGCTGTTGTCGAAAATAAACATTGCTTTGGTTGTCCAGGCAACAAAATACTTTTATTTCACAATTGCATAGTTGTTTATTCTTACTGTTTAATACAGGTTTATAATTAATGTTAAAGCCATTTGTATTATTTTGTTTAATTTAAAGCCAAATATTGAAAGGTAATTAAATGATAAACATATAACTGGGAGAATAACTGATTGAAATAGCAATTCGTCTCATCATGCTAACCATATATGATTATTCCTATAACGTGTTACTGTTTTATGCAAACCTACACACAAAAAACAATATACCCTTACACTTTTCATTGACACATAATAAAAAGTACAACGATAGAATACGATTATATAACGTGGGTCATATTGACCAGCTTGTACAAATTAAATTTGTCTAACAATCCTTATCATTATATTCATCGCTCAATTCGTCCAATTCCTTGTATGCGTCATATACTTTTTTTGCACATCTAATGAGATCAACAAATTTAAACAACCTGCTTAAAATTCTTAATATTTGTATTGGTCGTATTACCGCTAACAATATTCGACCAAGAGTAAAAACTAGGGGTATTATCGCTGGAAATATTATCTGCTCTTTTTCAGTTCTTGGCCTTAAAAGATTAACACAACGTTTCAATAATCCGAAATTGGGTACAATAGCTTTTACTACCACCCAAAACATTTTTAGCTGTATCCATCTGCATTTGAAGAAATGCCAGAAGAAAATTTGTCTCTTAAGTAATTTTTTTGATGAATCTGTTGTTTGCTGAGCCGATATTGTTGTTCTTCTCTGAATTATAGCTACAGATGTTGAACTTCTAAGTCTCTCGTTCGATTTAGTAAAATCCTTATTTGGTATATTTGTATTTCTTCTTGGAGACTTTGTACTTTTTGTAGCGGTGCGACCCAGATCCATTTTTACAATTTCACTTAATGTTTTGGAGGCTCTAAAGGTTTTATCGAGATCCTCATAATCAGCATTTAAATGGTGGGGTTTAAAATTACCATTTTTGACAGGCTTTTCAACATTCGATTTCATAATTAAATCTGCAACCATTCCTTTTTGATAAACTTCCCTAGATGTCGCCTTCGCATTGTCTTTTCCAAGCCCACCAATGGGCTTTAAATTTTTAACTTCAACTACCTTCTTCAAACTTTCCCATTTTATAGGTGCTTGAGGTGCTTGAGAACTATCCCTCTTTTGCATTGAAGTTGACTGTATAAAGGAAAAAGAGCGATTTTACTATCTGATACCCATAAGTTAAATGGAACTCACCGCCGTATAAAGCAGAAGCAGCGTTAAAAAAATACAGAATATCTTCAACATTTAAAAGCAGGCAGATGACTAAAATTGTAAAGTTCTTGCGATATATACGTATCGGAGCAAAGTGAAGCTGAAGCGTATCCAATAAGACCTAAAGCAAATACTTAAATCAACGTAAACTGTTGAGAAAAGTTAAAAGTTGTACATAATCTAATTGCAGCGTGATATGCTAAGGAAGTTAGTTTCTTTAAGATGTGTAAGTATTTTCATTAACAAGACAATTCGTTAACTATGCAAGTGATCAGTCTCAAAAATACAAACGAAAGTCTGTGTTGCTAATTGCTTGAACCGAATTTATTATACCCTTGCATTTCGTTTGGTCAGATATTGGTTACGCCTAGAAATTGGTACACCACATGCTATATAGTAAGTAGTAGGTAGGCTATTAGTCAGATCAAATACTAGATTTTAGAATAAATATATTAATTATAAGTCAAATTGTCAAATTTTTATTACTATTTTAATAACAAAAACACGTTAAGCCGTAGCAAGGATTAGCCAGAGATTAAAAGACAAAATGTAATACCACAAAAATAAATTTATGTGAATGTTAGCAATTTAAATAAACATATTCTTGATTCAATGTGCGCAATTCCATGTATCCATTATAAATGGCACCTCCACAAGATTCAACATTGCTGTATCGATACAGACCGCGCAAAGCATTCAATATTTGAAATGGCCGAATTATTGATCCCATTAGCTTATCAAGACTTTCAACTCTTTGAGCGATACCAACTACTAGGCCTGGACCACCAAGTTCTGCTTTTAAACATTGTCTAAATGCTCCATAATACGGTACAATAGCTTTCAGTACCACCCACTTCATTTTATACTTTATCCAAGTGCATCTGACATAACCTTTAACTTCTTTTTTAACCAAAGTTTGTTTAAAGCCAGTCGTTTGCCGTTTCAAGCCACATGATGACTTTGTAAGTATTTTGATTGATTCTGTGGTGGAATATTGATTATTTCTTGGAATATTTGTATATATTTTAGCAGACTCAGCTGTGATTGTGGTTTTTAATTCTACAATTTTTGACACGCGTTTCAACTTTGGGCTTCGTAATAAAAGATGCAACAATTTTCTTGTGATATAGATCATTAGACGATGTCTTTGTACCATCTTTCCGAAATTGGCTGGTCTTATTGCCAACACTCTTGCTCTGCATTAAATATGACTTTATAATGAAAAAGAACGTTTGAAAAAACGTTAAAAAAGAGTAGAACCTTACCGTGCCATAGGGCAGTAGAAGCGATAATAGAATACAGAATGCCTTAAACATTTAAAAACAGGCGGAAAACTAAGTACAGTATATCCAAAGTATCGGAGCAAAATTTAACTGAAGCGTATTTTATTAAATTAAACGCTTCAATTATAGCGTGAATTATTAATTGAATTATCTACATACTGGTGTATGTATTTTTATAGTTTAGCAAGACAATCCAGTAATTATCCAGTACAAATAAAAACAGATGTACATATAGTATTGTACAGCATTTTAGTTCAAAATATGGAATATACGAGTATTAGTTACACCTAAGGATTCAACTTATATTGCATAAAGAAACTAACTAACTGCGCAAAAGGATCAATGAACTTCGAAACAAATGAAATTATTAGAAAAACGGGTCCCACTAGTAACTCAGGCCATCAATCTGAAAAGGATGATTTTAAAGGGCAATGATTAAAAAAAAACAACAATGTTATAAGCTATTTCAAGTGATATATAGTGGTGGAGAAGAGGTTTAATAAATTGTATGGGGGGATGTGGAAAGAGTGAAGGGCTAACAGTATCAGCAAATTATACTGTAACAACAGCACAAACAACTATATTTATATTTGGGGTAAATTGAAAAGACTAGTTATGCAAAAAAATATAAACAATAATAAAAGCAACAAACTGTCATTTAAGCAAACAATTTAAGGAATGAAACAACATGGATGGGCAAAGGTTGCTTAAAATACAAGTTGATGGTCAAGTATTGGCAAATGCCAATCAGAACACCCCCCATCTATAATAATAATTTAATTTGTGAGTTAAGTTATGTTAACAGTTAAACGAATTTTATTTACATGTGAAAATAAAGTAAATGACATGGATTAAAGGAGGTGATTTCAATGAGCAAACCTACAAGTACATACTTAATTGTTGTGAAGAATAAATGTGCATGAGTGCTAGTTAATAAAACATTATCTGAACAAAGTGTGTCATTCTCAGCTCTTGGTTTGTTCAGGATTTTCGCTTTCGGCTTCTTCCTCGTGTCAGGAAACCTCCCAAACAGTGGACTCCATTGAACGGCGAGGGCGAGCCGCAACCTCCACATGTGCATCGAGGCCATCACTTAGGCGACTGAAGCGCCGAGCCCAGCTACCTCGTGCAGTGGTCTGACTGCCAGCTATTGAGGTCCGTTGACTGGCATCACGAAAGAGACTCATAATGTCCTGATTGTCACCTTGGGCCCGTTTAATGCCATGCTGATATTTGGCCTCCTTGGCTAGCAGCTGTTCGCGCTGCATTTGTGTCTTGACCTCGGCAGGAATGTCGGGGATAATGAATTGCATAATGCCAGTAATTACGAAGACCACGTGCTAAAATATATTTCAATTAATTTATTGATCATTGGGCTATATGAAATGCCTACCTCAAACACCACAACAAAGGCCAGACGTGCGGCAAATACGTGCCAATAATGAGGACTTAGGCCGTAAGGTTCGTAGTCTTTGGGTCCATTTCTATTAGGTAAGGATATATGAATTTATAACTTTTATCGTAACATATTTCGCTTACCGATATCCCCTATACTGGCAAGTATCTGGATCACGTTCACTGCTTGTTGCGCCCCATTCCTCCTTGTAGTCGGAGGTATTAAAAATAGATAGGGAGTGTTCTATATAGCCTGCCAAGGTGTGGGTGTCCGAGTAGACGAATTTGTAAACCATTCTTGGTATAAAATCGCTTGTGTAGGCAATAACAAAGGCATTGGACACCACAGCTGCGTAGGTAATGATGCGAAGTATGCCATACCAGGCGCCAATATCCTCAACACGTTCCGCCAACGGGCGCCTAGCTTGTGTCACCATCTTGTAGGCATCCAATCGTATTTCGGCCACATTATTGAGGAGTGCAAAAAGCGGAGCCAATGGAAACGCTGCCACAAATAGTGTGACAAAGCCGTATTGAAGTACTGGAAAAAGATGGACTTCGACCTGAGCTTCATTGTTGATTTTAAAGCTACTCACTCATTTCAAGATACTCGTCAAAGAGAGCCAAGCGACCTGGATCCTGCATGTGATAGTCCTGCTCCCATGCCATGTGCAAATGCGATTCATCCTTCGTGGCTTGTTTGTGCTTTCGCTGACGCCACCAGTTCCAGAATTTGGGAAACAGATATTCCATAAAGTTGTTCCAACACTGCTTACCTACCATAATGATGGCCAATTGAATGCATAGCTCAGACAAGCATCCTGCCGGATCGCAAATATCATTTTTCAGCCGAAAGAATTCACTACGACGCGCCTGATCATCCCCGGGATAGTCAAAGAAACGGCCCTTGAAAAACGCTATGTAGATAAGTGAAGAGTAAAAATTCATGAATTCGAAGAAGAATATCTTAAAGGTGTAGGAATCTTCGTATTCGGTGTGCGTGCGCGGATTTTCCAGATTGGTCAGCTTAATTGCTAAGCGGTGATAGATCTGTGTAGTAAATGTAATAATTAACAGAGTTACTCAAAAATATGTCCTCATTCGTACTCGCGTCAATATCATTATGACCACCAAATTGATGAGCGCCGCTGTCACTGTGGTGAAGAGTTTGGCATGCTCTTTGACGAAGAAGCCTCCACCTCCATAGATAACAGACACCAACGATATGCGATAAATGATGGTACCTAACACAGCCGAAAGCACTACTGAAATCTGCGAAATTGTTTTGCTGTAGTAGATGCAATGCCAGCTAACAATAAGGACCCACTTACCATAAAGAGCACGACGCTGCCGGTAATAACGAAACGTATAGCGCGGCTCCAAGTGGACATATAGGGTTCCTTTTCACGAGTCACTGGATTCATGCGAAATGTTGTGGCATTGGTTTCAAATTCTGGTCGATTCTCCTCATCCATATCGACATTATGCAGATCCCATTCCCAGACAATAACGGATTGTTTTCGCTTCCACAGCTCCAGAAATGTAGTGGCTGTTATTCGAGAATATTTTCATTTATAAATACATTTTTGAAATATGCGAGTACAACTCACCCCAAAAGGACATGAAGATTGCGAAAAATACAGTGGATGGATTGTCAAAAAGGTATGTCAGGCGTGAGAATAAACAGGACTCGGAGAGGCGTTGATAGCTGCATGCCTTGTCGCATAGCGGACAGAGTGTAATGTTTCCCGTCCCATATTCATTGCAGATCTCCTTGCTCGGCGTGTTATCCTCGGACTCCAGAGTTGCTAGGCCATAAATAAAGCATAGGAATCCAACTACAGAGGGGTAGACCAACATCTCCGTGTAAAAGCCCAGCCAGCAGAAGTAGAGTGCTATCTTGTCGCCAAAATATTTGCGGACTAAACACAATGGCTGCTTCTTGTACCACTGCGAGGGGTGTGCCCAGGTTTGATATAGGATGCGCCTGTCCAACGAGATCCCGCTCGAATGCGGTCGATCGTACCGGCCCTCGTGCAATGGGAAGCAAGCCAAATATGTGCCATCGTTGAGTAGTCGACGGATTCCGCTGCGATCACTCTCATCAAAGGGCGTACGAATGAGGACTTGCATCACCATTAGGGAACGCTGGGCACTGGTGTAAGCCGTGGCACGGTCCTTGACAATAAACCTGAGAGGTGGCTTGTTCATTTAAATGTGTTCATGAAATTTGAGTGTTTTGAACTTACTGTTCCTCGGGATTACCATGCACGGTGGCTGCCTTAAATGTTGTCTCCCCCTCTAATAAACTCTGGTCAAGCTGTATCTTTTTGGTTAGACGCTGCCATACATCTTTCCAGTATTGCACATTACGCATTACGACATTTTCGTCATCCTGCAAAATAACTATGAGATCCAGATGTACAGTTTTCCAAGGAAAGCTTAAACATACCCAGGACGGTTTTACGGATATGGTGATAAAACGTTTGATGGGCAGCTTTAGGTTCATAACCTCAGCAAGACGAGTTTCCAGGCGCCAGGGTAAATGGATTTTTAAGAAGAATGTCTTTTCATTAAACGACTGAGATTTGTCCTCCAGCTCTACTTCCAGGCCTTCCTTTATCAAATTATCCATAAAGCTGCGTCTGAGATCACGGCGCTTTGCCTCTGCCTCTGTCATTACGCCCAAATCCTCCTCCTCCCAGGCCAGCACCATGTCCACCTTGCGCCTTCCATCCCGAAACATGAGTGATTCAGGGTCGAGCCCCTCACGGTCTTGTTTGCTGACGCGTCGCTCTTCGGTGCTATCACCGGCTACGCTATTGCTTTTGCTAGTCTTTCGACTGCTGTAGTAACTTCCGCTGACAGTACTGCTTCCGCCCACTGAGACCTTACGCTCGGTGGGTAGTAGCTGCTTATAGCCAAACTGATCCGGCAGTACATTGGAGTGTGATGATTCCATTACCTCATACGACTGACTGAGCTTTTCTTGCCCACCTAGGTTGGGGCTTAGATTCAGGCCCAGAGATCGCCGCATTGCAGTGCCGGGTATGTCCTCTTCGGTGTTACCGTCTATCTTGGGTCCGAAAGCTTGTGTTGGACTTGGCTCAGCGGATTCGGTTTCCAAGTGTGTGGGCAATGGCATGGCGATCGAATTAGACTTGGAATAAAAGGCGTTTCCTGCTCGCGTGATCGAGGAGTTCATCCATTTATCTGTGTAGGTGGCTGAAGGGCCTCCAGTGCTTGCCCCTAGCTCGAGACTGCTGGGCTTTTGTGGATAGGGCGTGGTGGTCCTAATAACAGATCCAATCTCCTGTTTTTCGGCAGCGAGAAAGTTGTATATATTATCAGCCGAGGTGCTGCCTTTATCCATTTGGCGGGTTTGCAAACCAGAATCATTTAAGGCGTATTCCTGTTAGGGAAGTTTACGTTTCAATAAATTAATTTCACGTATTTTTAGGAACCTACGCCGTAACCCAAAAGACGTCCCGAAACAATTCCGCTATCCTGGCTAAGTCTCCGTGGGCGCACCTTGATCGGTTGGCTGCGGATCATTCGCTCACTCTTGGCCGGACTCGACACAACCTCTCGCTTAGGAGTGTGCAGCGAATTCTGTCTCGAATTGCGCAGCGTCGGCACCGAAAGAAATCCTGTAAATGGTATATAGATAGTAGCTTAAAATATAACCTCTGCCGTTGTGAACCTACTTGGAAATTGAAAAACTAATTGCTCGCTATTTCGCTCACTCTCCTGTGCTGCACTACTGATGAGATCTTCGCGGGAATTCGCCTCCGTTATGGGTGCAGTGCTCTCATCGTCAACGCTATCGATGCGTATTTGAAATACGTTTGATTTACTGTCGGAGTGTGCGTCGTGACTGCTCATTTTTTTCGATATGGGGAGCCTCCCTCCCCCTCCTTCTATAGCCGATGACCTGAATTGGCTATGACGTCATAAAACGCTGTAAAATAAATAAAATACGTGCGCATGGACTCCTTAGTCAAGGAAGGCAATTAATTATTTTAGGATTGTGTCCCGCTTTATAATTTGTTTTACTTCGTACACAGTGACGCGTGGGGCATAAAACATCTGCAGTCGTACCCATGATAAATAATTTAAGCTCGTCAACTTTATGACACTGGAACGAGAACCTTCAATTGAATTCAAATCTCTAGAAGTACTTACAAGTACTTCTATAGAAAGGAATAGACAAACACACATACTACATACATATAAATATACTCGTATATATTTTATATTAAGGCAAACACACGGTACTGCAAGCTTCATTATTTAGAAATATGCTGAGGGAAATTTAAATTGCTGTATTTGGGTGTAATTTATTAATCATCTTAAAGTATATTGAAAGTTTTAAGCACACAATTATGCAATTGAAATAATTACTTTAGCCAGATATGTATTTGTTTAAAGTAGTAATCAATTTTCTAGATTGATAATAGACATACTTGTAATATTTGCGCATTTGCTTATGAACCTATGTTTGCATGAGCCGATAAATTTGTAATACCCTGTACTGAACGGGTCAAGGGTATCCTAGTTTATTCTAAATTAATAGGCAACAATAACATGTCGTAGTATGACAATACATCTATACTTCAAACATTTTTTCTGCCCTTAACCATTACGCTAATTTCTATTTGCATTTTAATTAACACTCTCCCGTTAGTAAGAATGTTTGCGTATTCTCCAATATACATATTTACAAATATATATATACATTATACCACTAATACGAGTGTGTAATATGTATGTGTTGCTATGGATTCGTGTTTTTGATTCGCTCAGTTGCCTGTATTTCGAGTTGTTGGTTTATGGCAGTCGCTCACGCGTTTTATATGTACCATGCATTGAGTGGCTACTAGTATATAAAAGGAACAATAGGGAAAACATTTGTTTGATTATGCACAATGGTGGGGAATGGTGGGGTTCGTTGAAGGTTAAATAAATAGACTTGTTGCTCACAACTCGTGCCGTCACAGACCACTGCTTTCAACTGGTCAGCTAAGTTATTAGTGTATACTCGTATACACTCTCTTAATAATTAACTGATTTTTTATTACTTTCCACACTTAACTAACTATTCCTTAACTCTGACCCTTTTATAAACTTTCAAACAATATACATTGTGTACATTTGTGTATATTGAATGATTGGTGATCAATGCACGGGAACAATGTAACGATTGGGAAACGAATTTCTAGAAACTGTGGTAGCTTTAAGACAAATCCAAGTTTGTGGCATAAAAAGCTCTTCATGTCTCACTCAGCTTGGCGAGATTGATAATTAGAGGTAACTTTGGAATAAAGCATTCAGAAGTCGCTATTAGTATACCTTATACCATATTATATTCAATAAATATTCTTTGGTTTGGCTAAGGTGACATCAAAAAAAGTCGAGACCAATCAACTTGAATTAATTGTGATGATATACATTATTTTCGGGTAATTTTTTTAGAAACAAATTTTACTAAAGTCAACTGCTTAATTAACAGGATGGTTTGCGCTCCAGTGAGACCAATCCGTAATTATACATATTTAGATATTTTTCTCTATCTTGGTCTATATGGGAGATCTAGTACGTGGAATCCTTTTAGTCGTCTTCGACAGAGAGTGTTCTCTATTAGACCTAGTGCTAAAGCGTTGTCATGGTCATGTTGCTTATTTATATCTCTGACATAGCCGTTATTTTAAGATTTCTGTATTCTTATGTCGTAGGTGGTTAGTCATAGACTGATATCGCTGAAGAATGATAAATATATTATAATTAATACAAGTAGGTAGTAAAGATACAGTTTGTTCACGCATCTAAGATTGGTATTCTCTCATCATTTTAATATTCATGACACAAGGCAGTTAATAAGTAGATTTATGCAATGCATTTTCTATCAAACTCTCCGAAGTAGATAATTAGAATTTAGACAATTCACCACGATAATCATTTATTTTAATGATTTAAAAATTCGTGCAAGTATGGTAGAATTGAAATATGTATTTCACATTTTCAGGAATTACTTTTAGATGTATTATTAATTCTCTCCAAAAAGTAAATACTCTTATTTTGAAATTTGAAATTTGATTAAATCAATAATTAAGTAGGGATGCTCCAAATGATACTTACTTTCTTAATGCTGTTAGCTGTTTTCAACTAATTGAAAGGCATTACATTCACATATCCATTCTTGTCATCTGATGGCTCGTGAATATGGGTTTTCTTAATCACATCAACTTCACCATGCGAGTGCAACTACGCTTTATTCTGGTGTACTTGACTTGACAGTGCACTTTTGAGGAACTCAAAATAATGACTGGGTACCAGTATATAGGACAAGCAAATACTCGTAACTCACACACACACACACACACACACACACAAACACACGCACACACACACACGAGTAGTCCTTTGGCGCACAAGTGGTGGTTAGTTGTCAGTTGTGCAAAGTCCCATACTTTGAAGTAATCACAACAATCGAACGTTTATTGATTGAGGGTCATCCAGAAGTAATCGATTATTGATTTGAAATGCATTTGAAACGCGGATTATGCTATACGCATATTATATATGCACTTGGATGTAATTTAATGAGTTTTTAGTTTTGTCAGCTTGGATTGATAAACCGAACATTATTTTCACTTTGAAGTTATAATGCGGTACATATTAAAATTATGATTTTAATTGAAAGTATGTACAGTACGTGTGGCTTTAGAAATCACAATTTAAATTACTTTTTCTATTGATTTTCTATGATTGTCAGTGTCCCCCATCACTGTTGATGTTCTCCATACACCTACACACACACACACACACACGCGCGCGTTTGCATGTTCATCATTAGTTATTAACAAATTTCATTCTGACAAATGGACGCCCCGATTTTCGACCGATATGTCGGAGCGCTCGCGCACGAATAACCAAGCAATGCGACATAGGACTGTGGTCGTACTTGTCGTGTTGTCAGTACGCTCATGACGCCTCACAGAGATAATCAAAGTGGGGCAATAATGTTCATATGGTCATGTTTTGGCTCAAATCGGTAGGTGGTTTGGACTGTGAAGGAGTCTACATATATGTAGAGACCCCTTCAAGTGGCCACGTGAGGGCGTATAACACTTTTGGGTTGGATGCTATCGTCCCGTTGGGGACTGTAAAACATGCATGACATTTGATTGACTCAAGAAATCGTGACTAAATAAAAATAGCCGCTAAAATATTAGGTGTACTATTTTTGAATTGTAGACGAACCTATTTTAATCGAAAGTACGTCATTCTTTGCGTTCAAATGAATGGTTACGCCATTAGAGATTGAAATAGGTGATTAAGAATAATCAGCTTGTCTGATTTATATTTAGTTAAGAATATCGAAGGAGCCTCAACAGTGCGTGTGCTGTTTATGGGATATTTTTGGATGTCGATTCAAAACCAAGGTGGAAAAAAGCCCTTCGTTACTACAAGTATTTCACATTAGAGGTTACACGCAAGTCGAGTTATAAAGGAATCTAAGGCAATCGCAATTATAAACAAAGTGAAAATTATTAAAATCATCCTTGGCAAAATGCAGTTATTCAAGTGACTAAACAGGATTACCTTCGCTTTTCTTAGATATTATATTCTTTGGTCAACTTAATACACTAATTCTATTTCCGTTGTGTAGAAAAAAAATTTTTGACAACAAAGAGTCGTCATAGTTGCACCTTTCATTGTTCACACATTAAAGGTTATTACGTCAGAATCAAGGATCAGGTGTCATGCGTAACTGACCGCTTGTCTGTCCTTTTGAAGTGTAGTACGTAAGTTTTTTTTCAAAAGCAACGACAATAGTCACCGAAGCTATATATTGGATGGGCGCTCAGGAGAACCGTATAACAGTTTGCGAGCAACTTTCGAACAACTGTTGCGTTTAGGGCTCATTTCGTAGCAGTGCTTGACATAACTTTTATAAAATAATATAGGTTAAGTTATTTGAGGGCTGCATTTCCTTCTCCCCCTTTGCTCTGTGTCCTTGAACTTATTACTGTGTAAGTAGATGATGGGCTTTTCATGTGGAAAGTATTTACCATCATCTATGTTACATTTAATTCACAGTTAAAAGCTTCAAATATTTTAAATCAATGCACCAATGTCTATTTTGCAGATCCTTAGGTCTAAGTATGTAAAAAGTTCCCAACCACCATAAACGTGAACATTCGTTATTTCCTTTGAAGAACCCAACACCAATTATTATATCTGCCCAGTTATTTAGATTAGTTATTACTATTGATAGCTACAGAATTGTTCTGTAAAGTCCACAAGGTTAACAAATGTTGAGGCGAATCCCTCACTCTAACTGTCGTAATGCCTCCGTTTTCTTAGACACAACATTTTTGCATTCCTGGAGTACGTCTATCTCACACATGTTTGTTGTCTTGTTGAAAAACTCATCCTTTGCGCACTCATTCTCAATCTTTTGGCCATTCACACACACAAAGTAGCCGCGACAATTGTCCACATCTCTGGCCAATTGTCCATGCTTGCCATTGCATACGCCCACTCGCTCGCCATTCTCCATGAGGCAGGTGCCATCGTTCTGGCGACAAATGCCCAATATGCTGTCGTAGCTCTCGCCATTGCGACACCGTTGCGAGGTGGGCTCTTCATCCTCACAGCTTATGTATCGACGGCAATCGCCTTGCTCGGCAATGGAGGCACCTTCGCCAATCTCATCACAAAGATCGGCGAAATCAATTGGGTCATCGGTGCACTGTTGCTGGGGCTGTGCTTTTGTCTGCTTCCGAGCCGTAGTTCTGCCCTTCTTAAGTGCAACACGAAGCAACTTCTTGCTCACAGTCTTCAATTTCACTGCAGGACCATCTTCCTCAATTGGGGGGGCCTCTGTTCCCTCTGAGGTAGCGTTAAAGGGCTGGCATTGATATAAAGTGGCATTGAAGAAGTAACCCGAATAGCAGCGCTCGTGTCGCAGCTTGCCGGAAATGCAAATGTAGAAATTGTTGCAATTCGATCCATCTGCCAAAATGAGACCGTGCTTTCCCTCACACACCATCGGATCAGGCGGGAAATTATCATCCGCGGGCTGGTCATTACTTACATATGGACAGGAGCCATCGTCCGGGACGCATAGCAGCTGCTCTGCATCAAAGTAGGAGCCGGCAGCGCATTTCTGCTGGAGTGCCATGCCCTCGGAGCATATGTAATATCTCGTGCAGTCTTTGCGATCGGGCACATATGTGCCATCTTTCAGACTGCCGCAACTGTAATCCGTTCCATTATTCTCAGAATCGACAAGCTGTCCATTTTCACAGCGCTGCTTTTCATCCTCCACGCATTGACCCAACATCGCATTGAACATCTGTTGATCCGGACACGCCACAGGTATGGCGAGGCCCCTCACACAAGCATAGTAAAGATTACAGTAGAGTTCGTGCTCTATCCGTGTACCATGCTGCTGACCAAAGCACTTACTCTGCGTTGCGTTTTCTTGTTGACACTGGCCCCTATCCACGCGACACTGCGACGCCGTGGTGTTAAAATATTGACCATTTGGACAGTAGAGCAGCTGTGTAGCATTGATGCTGCCGGAGCAGTTGTAATAGGCGCGGCAGTCCATTGCGTAGCCCATCAGTGTACCGTTCTTGGCACCAGCGCAGACATCCTGGGTAAGCGAAGGCTCGCAGGTGCCATCGTTGGGTCGACAATAACCCAGGTTGGGATCGAAAAAGCTGCCCGTCGAACAGCTCTGCAAATGGGAGGGTAACTGATTCACACACAGATAGAAGCGCGTACAATCGTCGGCGTGGGGCACAGCTTCGCCATCTTCTCGATCAACACATTCATTACTGCCGATCTGACTGAGCTGCCAGACGGGCTGGCATTTGTTGTCGGCCGCGTGTGGGACACAGGCGCTCACATCGCTGGCATAAGTGTGACCCTTGAGGCAGCTGCCCACCTGCCAGACATCCTCCTCACAGTAATAGAACTGGGTGCAGTTGGCTGCGAGAGGGAACGGACGCATCTCGCCCACATTACAGGCACGCCTCAGGCCATTACCCTGACAATTAGTCCAACGGCTGTTCACACACTGCATCAGTAGCTCATCAAAATGTTGCTGGCTCGGGCAATTGCGACGCATCCACTGCTTCTCTTTGCATTCTTCGTAGCCGTTACAGTTGGTGGGAACTGCTCTTCGCTGCCCGCTGATGCAGATCGTGCTGTTTGAGCCTACTACACATGTCTTGTTCAGATCGCGAGTACAAGTCTCCAAGGTGGCGTTGTAATAGTGCAGAGCATCACAGCTACGTGACTGCCATGTGCCATTGTTGCAAAGAAGGTAGGAATTGCAAGAGTTGGGCGAGGCACGCGTGGCTTGTTCGCGCTTGCACTTGGTTCCCAGGATCTCATCCTTTAGGGCCATGGGCACTGCTTCTGCCTCAGCACACTGTTTGGCATCATTGGGGACGCAATAGTTTTGCTTCAGACTAAAGTACATGCCGAGGGGGCATTGCTGATACCACCATTCGTTGTCGAGGCACATCAAAAATTGGGCACAACTCGAGGGTGCGGGACGGACAGCTGTGTGTTGGCAGCTGTGTGTGCGGTTTGCTGCCAACTCGTGGGGATGGCGCCGCTCCAGCTCGCAGTAATCGGTTCCATTGGACAAAATGCAGGTGCGCATGCGCCGCGAGTAGTGATGCAGCTTTGGGCAGCTGCGCAGATGCCATTTGTGTTGTGAACAGCGAAAGTATTGCTGGCAATTGCCACTCTTGCTCGACAATGTTTGGCCCTCAGTGCGATTGTTGCAAGTCGGAAGTCCACTGACCTTGGCATAGCTGCAGACCGTGTCGTCTCGTGGTTCAAGGCAACGCTGCTGTTCTGGATTGTAATATCGTTGGTCGGGGCAGCTTCTACGACGCCAGGTGTTCTCCAAACAGAGTTCGTATTGAGAGCAGTTTGCCGGCACTGAACGTTTCTCTTCAGCCCGACAAATCTGTAACGAAAGAAAGAAAATAGGTGTACTTCTATATTATTTCGAATAGGTGTGGAAATGTTGTTACTTACTTAACAGTTTTTTTTTTTCATTTTCATATTCGTGGAAAGGGATAATCAAGGATGCTACTTAAACAACTATTCTTAATATTTAGTTCTAAGGCTCTGAAGTATTTTACATACATTTTCATTATAATATGATGATAGTGGACCGATAATTCTTTAGCTTATATTAGCCCAGTATTACCAATTTAAAAGCCAAACTTGCCTAGAAGCATGCTCCCGAAAATGCTAAATGCTTATACATTTTGAACTGTGCATTACAGTATATACTTGTATGAGAAATGACTAGAACTTCTGGAAATATCCACATGTTCCATTAAATGTATGATAATCGCAATAAAGTAAAACGCCAAATTTGTAATTATTCCAATTTGGATTTATTTTTGTGCATATATGGGTATAATATATATTGATATATATACATGTAAGGTAAATACAAATTTAATTCAATGCATATAGAAATGGAACAAGCGGAATTTCCAATAATAACTCTTAAATAACAAGCCTATATAATATTTAGTATATGTATACGTGTTTAGGGTAATATAATGGGTAAATATATACGACGTAAACGGTACGTCTAGTTATATGTGGACATAAAAGATTCAGCTCTCAGAAGTATATAATAGAGTCGCACTCAAAAAGGATGTGCAAGCTTTTTAAGAATTCTTTTGAATATTGATAATGATCTTACGTTTTCTTCCGACTCCACTGATCTTTTTTCCAAAGAGTGTTCCTCGAGTTGGCTGTCTTCTATGCTTTCTTCCTCATTTAGTTCTGGTTCCGTGCACATCGCCAGCTTGCGATTGAAAACTTGACCAGGACTACAATCGCGATAAAGGGCAACATCCTTGGCTCCCTCGCATGTGCAGAAACCAGTTGAAGTGTTTCTCGCTGGGAAGGGCTCAAACTTCAAGCGATTGATGCAGCGTATGGGCTCGCACACATTCGTTTCGGAGATGCACATGCCAAGGCCCTCGTCGAATGTTTCATCACTATCACAGCTGCGATAAATGGCGATACCTGTCTTGCCAACGCACATACAGAATCCTCGAGTTGTATTTTTAGCAGGGAATGGTTCAAAGCTATCGTGGTAGAAGCACTTCTGTCCCTCACATGCTGATACTTTAAAAATCGTTCCAGGCTGAAGGCACGCACGCTCCTTCACATTGTATTCCTTGCCCCTCGGACATGATTCATAGAGCACCTGACCTTGGGTGCACACACAAAAGCCTGCCGTTCCATTGCTAGCCTCAAACGTTTGATCCTCCAAATCCTGGTTGCATACTGTAGGATCACAGACTGTAGCAGGTGCCTACGAAGAATGATTGCAAATTAAGTTGATTATCTATTTCATTGGAGTTCAAGACTTACCTGTGGCTTTGCACAGATACTTAAGTCACTGTCGAAAACTAGACCCTCTGGGCAATTATTAATATTGGCTATACCTTCAACGCAGGCGCAAAAGGCTGTTGGATCGTTGACCTTGCGTGAAGCAAAGGGTTGATTGCTGGCCCTCGTATCACACTGGGTTTGATCACAGTAGATAGCTATCAGTTCCTGCAAAAAACATTATCCATGAACACATATACAAGTAGTTACCCCTACTAACTCATGTACTTACCACAGGCGCAAGGCAAATTTCATAATCAGCATCGAATTCTGTACCTTCTAGGCAGGGGTAATAGCTGGCTACCTTTCCGCTACACATACAAAATCCGTCGTTTCCTCTAGTAGTGGCGAAAGCTTGATTTTCGAGCACACTGCAGCATTTTGCGTCATCGCATATCGGACCAGCGCATGGATCCTAAATAGGGAAATGCATAAAAAAGCGCCAGGGCAAGCATACTCTGTTACACTTACAAATGGCTCTAAGCATACACCCACGGTAGCATTAAATATCGTATCTTCGGGACAATTTACGTAATTTGGTGTGCCATCTTTGCAGTAGCAGAAAGCTGATGTTGTGTTTAAGGCTTCATACGGTTCGTAATCGAGGAGGGTGTTGCAGGCTGTACTGTCGCAGATACCGCATAGACTTTCCGGCTGGATAGGTAAAGCTATTAATTGAGGAAAATCAAATGATTCCGTGTGCCACTTACATCCTTATCCAAGCAAACGCCAGCAGTTGGATCATACTTTTTATCCTCGGGACAATCATAATATGTTGGCACATCATTGAGGCACAGGCAGAAGCCTTCAGTGGAGACCAACGGCGAATAGGTAGTATAGTCTGGTTTATTCACACAGTAGTTTCTGCAGCATCTTGGCTGTAATGTAGACGTGCATTTTGTAAATCTCGATCAAGGAAATTAAATTATACTCTTACGTCTGGCTGTGGTGCAATAACGCAAATGCCTAGATTGACATCAAAAGTGTAGCCAAGGGGGCAGAGCACTGGAATTGGTTGCTCTGCAACGCACAAGCAGAACGAATCGGGATCCTCGTAGTTGAACGTAACCGAGTAGTCTTGTTTACCCAAACAAGATTTTGGATCACAAGGGCCGGTCTGGAAGTAATGGGTACTCTTTACTTAACCCTTTGACAGTCTAAGCAATATCAGATTTCTTACAAAAATGCAAACGCCGTCCTCCGCGCTAAATATATAGCCCGTAGCGCAGGGATTTAAATACGCACTACCTTCACTGCAGAGACAGAACTGGGTATTATCTCCATTGAGTGTCGGGAAGACATCGATTTCTAGCTTGCATAGAGTTTGATTGCACGCGCACTGAATGGTAATAAATTAGAGAAATGTTTCTAAGACTTGTTGTTGTGATTTCAACTTACGCTGGGCTGTAGCTGGCAAAAGTTTTCCGTGGCATCATATAGATAGCCTGTAGGGCACGATTTTACTAATGGTTGCTTATTCTGACACAAATAGAACCTTGTCTCATCGTCCACGACGGGGAATGTGGTGTCATCGGCTACTAAATGACATAAAGTTGCTTTGCAAGTTGTTTTAAGTTGGCATTGTCCCAAAGTGGCATTGAAACCTTCTCCAGCGGCGCATTTCTTCACTTTCGGTACACCATCTGTGCATTGGAAGTACTTGGTGCAAATAGGATGTGCCACCTTGCCATTGCCGCAGCTGCATGGGTTTATGCACAAGCCATTGACATCGATAACGCATGCCTGTCCATTGAAATATTCACCCTGGGCGCATGTCTTTGCAGTGGACAGACCATTGGAGCAACTGTAATACCCATTGCATTGATTGGGATTGGGAAGCATATAGCCGTTCGGCTTAGTATTGCAAATCCAGCAAGTGCTCAGGCTGTCCGGCACACATACACCTGCGCCTCTGTCGAATAAGTTTCCAGGTCCACAATTGCCCGGTATCAGTTGCTTATTCTGACATACCAGATATTTATCGCAGTCCGTGGGATGTGGCACTATACTATTATCAGCAATGCCACCTTCGCAGCCGCAGTCATCTGCGGCACTACGTTTGGACCGCTCACTGTGCGACCTGGCGCTATTTTCTGGACATTTTTGATCATCATCAATAACGCAAACACCCAAGGTTTCATCGAAGTATTGTCCACTGCCGCAAGCCTCATCGACCCACTTGTTATTCTCACACTTTTTGTAGTGCCAGCAATCCGCACCGCATTTCGTCTGGTCATTATCACTGCATGCGTCCTCGTCGTTGGCGCCATTGTCTGGACAAATGTTATCACTGTCTACTACACAAATACCAATGGTCTGGTCAAAATAGTTGCCTATCTCACAGTCCCGAGGCTCTAAAATGCCATTTTGACATATCGAATATAGTCTGCAGTTATTTGGGTCTGCAACCAGGTCTCCGTCTTTGACTCCGTTCCAACAATCGCTTGGGGGTGCCAAGGTAGTAGTCTCTTCATCGCAGGGCTCTGGGGCTGGCGTTGTTGTTTCTTCATTGCAAGGTTCTGGTGAAGATGTTGTCTCTTCATCGCAAGGCTCTGTAGCAGGAGTCGTTTCTTCATCACAGGGCTCTGTTGCTGGAGTAGTTGCTTCATCGCAAGGCTCTGTAGCAGGAGTCGTTATTTCATCACAGGACTCTGTTGCTGGAGTGGTTTCTTCATCACAAGGCGCTGGTGAAGGTGTTGTTTCTCCATCACACGGCTCAGTTACGGGAGTTGATTCATTATCGCAGGGCTCCGCTGGTGTTGAACTAGAGTCGCCTGGAGTGGTGCTTCCGTTGTCAGTGGGACACACGCCTGGTTCACAGTTCGATGTGTCACTATCAAAGTAGCTGCCATCGGGGCAGCTCTGAGCAAGTGCCTTTTGGTCTGTACATATGTAGAAAACGTTACAATCTTCAGTATCGGCCACCGTAGAACCGTCAGCCTTGTCAATGCAGAAATTCTCCCAGCACTGCTTGTTGTCCTCATCTATTATGCACGCTTCGAGCGAGCTATCGAAATAGCTACCACTGGCGCATTGCACCTGCTCGGTCTCTCCGCTTTGGCATTCATAGTAGGTGGCGCACAGTTTGCTGTCCGGGATAATAGTGCCATCGGACTTGCCTATGCACAGATTTTGCCAGCACTGGCTTGTGGTATCAGGCACACAGCTTGCGCTGGTTGTGTTAAAGTAGCTGCCTGATTGACACTTTTGGGGATAGGCCAGCTGACCATTGCAAATGTAGAAATCGACGCAGCCATTGCTATTGGGTACAAAAGCACCGTTCACTTCATCAGCACATGGATTTGTGTCCTGCAGGATAACAACGAAATTGAGTATGTGCACCTTGAATCTGTTTAAATGTCTTACCTCAGCCAATGGAGCGGCCAAGCTTAGTTTGCACAGTCCTCGTCCAGCTAGGGCACACTTACCATTCCTGGGATTGAACTCCTTGCCCTTTGGGCAATTAAGAGCACGGACCACATTCTTGGTAGAGCAGCGGTAGTAGCTGGAACAGTTGGCAGGATTCGGCCAATAGGGTTTCAGGCTGCGCAGCTTGCGATAAACGCATTCGGGATCGGCGGCTCCAACGAATGCCACTGCAGTGAGTGCCACTACAGCAAGTAGAGTGACTACAAGAGGATGTGATTAGTTCAAGGATATTCTTCGTGCTCAGTCGTTATACCTTTCATTTCCAAACACTATATTCCACTCGTATTGTTAAAGTCGTACTCCGCACAGTTTCCAAAATATTGCTGCCTTATATATATATATATGGGAGTATATATTTGTGCGTTCGATCATAAATAGCCGACATTGGTTTTCATTTAGATGCGCACTCTTATCATTGTATGTATCTTGCATGTTCTACATGTGCCCATCTAGTTTGTTTAATTGATTTTATGTGGCCTTTTACATGATAATTCTTGGAAGTCATAAATAGTTGGAGGTTGGGCCGACACTCCCAAAACGGTAAGAATTCCTACGTTTCATGAATGAAGCTGCGTAAAAGGCAGTGAGACAAAGGTCAAGGGTTGAATGTCAAGAATTATGCTGCAAGAGTGCACCCAAGTACAGATAAAAGACAATGTTTTGGTTTTTTATAATGCACGTGTGTATACAAGTATATGCCTTTGTATTTTATATACGTTTACATACATACGTATACATCTAAACAAACAAATATTATTACAAGCCTACGCAAACGGTAGAGCATGTCATTAGCTTAGCATCCCAGAATAAGCCAGATGGACAATCCTTGATGAAGCCACGTTCTCCATCGCACTGAATAAACTTATGGCAATCATTTGGATAAGGTAAATACCCGGGACTTGGGTTCTTCTGGCATTCTTCATCAGCAGTTGCTGAAGGGTCAGGTGTTGAAGATGTTCCATCATCTGTCGCATCATCTGTGCTTCCGGCTGTTGTGTCAGGGCTATCGGTTGTTGATGATGCCGCAGGCGGAGTGGAAGGATCTATGCTGGAAGAAGAGCTCGACTCGGAACTAGAGTTGGTGGGACCTATTGTAGAACTCGATGGCGCATTTGTGTTAGAGGCACTGGTGTCAGGATCATCGGTTGTTGATGATGCCAGAGAAGTGGTCGAAGGATCTGAGCTGGAAGCAGAGCTGGACCCTGAAGTTACATCAGTTGGTTTTGCCGTCGTTTCGCTGTTCTTGGGGCAAGTTGTTGTTGTAGGTGGGGGAGTCGTAGTCGTAGTAATGCATGATGCTGCCTCGAGTGAAGTTGCTAAGAACAGTAGCTGCAAGCAGATAACTATCCAAGTAATTGCTGGAAAAGAACAATCGTCTTGTTAGCTCGTTTTACTCCTGAAACACAAATTTCCAAAGTTGCTTACGTTTCATTTCTCCCATCTCACCTTTATTGAAGAGACAGTCGCAAGTGCATTCCCTATTTATAGTGGAGGCTCGAAGATAATGTTTAGTTACTTTATCGAGATCCAATTAGCATACGACATGTTCCTGTTTTGTTTTCTTATCTTTAACTTTACTTAAGCAACATGTTTCAATCAAACAATTGATGTACCTAAGAAAAGTAACAGACTAAGTATTTTTCAAATATGTGAATTTTATTTTTGAGTTGAAATAATGTAAAATGAAAAAATAATTAATAGATGCAGGCTGGCAGTAGTGTATAATGTAAAATGCTTCCGATCAATAAAAGTTGCAGTTTTCTTTGGTTAATGTTGAAAAGTATTGGCATACTTTTAGGCCATAATTTTTAAAAAGCCAAGTCCCCCACCACACATCCAGCAATATGAGGTTGACTATTGTGGTATAAATGTTTGAAATGAATTGGATTGATGGACCATGTTTACATTGGACCGCCGATTTGCAAGTTATAGTAGGATTGGACTCAACACAGATATTTTTAATGGACCTTGTGAGCAAACTGAAAAAGCAGTTAATTTTGAAAGTTGTGTTTGGCTAAATTGATTATATCTTTGGAATATTGCTTGGATGGTGGCGTAACAGATGTTATGAACTCTAATATTACATATACATACCTTCTCGATCAGCACTCCGAGATAACAGTACACAACTTCACTTTGGCCCATAAACCTACATTATTGTATTATCGAATGTTTATTGCTGATATGGAATTTTTTCTGTAGCTGGTAATTAATACTCAATAATTAAGTTTCTTGAGCAGTTACTTAGGTAGATTCCATTATCTTAATCCCATCTTCAAATGCTTTCAAGTCCTTTATGTCTAATCATTTATGCTCTTTATTTGAACGTTGAAGTTTTCCTCATATTGGCTTTTTCAAAGTGTAATCAAACAATAGGTAATAGGTAGGCCACCTAGGGTTACAGTTAAATATGGTAGTTACAGGTTTGTTTTAAATAATTGGTTAGAAATATTTAGTTATGTACTTTTGATCCCTGATTGCAGATTTCGGAACATCTCTACTTTTTAGAGCACCATAGACCACTTTTTATACCCTGTACCCGTAGGGTAAAAAGGGTATATTAGGTTTGTGCAAAGTATGTAACATACAGAAGGAAGCATCTCCGACCCCATAAAGTATATATATTCTTGATCAGCATGACGAGAGAAATCGATCTAGACATGTCCGTCCGTCTGTCCGTCCGTCTGTCCGTCCGTCTGTCCGTCTGTCCGTCCGTCTGGATGAACGCGAGGATCTCAGAAACTATAAAAGCTAGAATAACCAAAGTTGGCATCCAGATTCTCCTAGGTCCGAGTAAGGACGAGTTTATGTTTTTTTTTTTAATTTTCGCCCCCTTCCCCCGCTACAGAATTTCGTCAATAGCGTCCACATTTCAAATGCTACCTAAACCAAACTTTGCACACATTTTTATTAATTATTAATTTATTAATTAATTTTATAATTAATATATAATTGTCTACTGTTGTATACAATTTTATTCAATTCGGTCAATTCTAAGAAAAGTTATTAGCAAAACAAATCCTCGCCAGTACAACCCCCCCAAACTGCAGCAACAAGTTCGCTCTTCTTCTTCCTCTTTTTGCTGCTGCTATGGGCGCATATAACTCAGTGACGGAAGTTTACCTGGGTACAGGGTATTACACTGTCGGGCTTGCTCGACTGTAGCGTTCTCTCTTGTTATTTACCTAATTTGTTTAATACCACTTTCATATGGGCTTATGATACTGCTAAGTTTACAGTTTACAAATGAAGTAATTCATATAGAAGCCATACATTTATTTTCTTGTAAGCCATACATTTTATGGCAATCAATTGGTTTGCAAAAGTCGAGTAGATTTATACCTTGAAATGCTTACATAAAGTCTCTGAAAGTAGCAGGAAGGTGTTTAATTTCTATTTGTACTTGAATTAGACATCCGTTAATGTCGTACTTCAAGTTGTGGTAGTTATAAGTATAGCTCTAGAAAAACAACTTGAAGAAACGTGTACAATATTAATATTACAGTACAATATTGGAATATTACAGTACATCTCCAATAAATCAAACCCAAAGCCTCAAAATATTTACAAAATACCTACCTTTTCTGCAATGCGTTTTTAGTATATACTTGTATTGTATGTTTTATGTATTTAAAATTCTTAATAATCATGTTGTTTGCTATTGATAACAATATGCAATCAACTGGACACTGTAAACAAATATTCAGAAATAAATTAACACGACTAGTCTGCTTAGAAGCTAGATACCCTTCACTAAAAAATAACGTTACAACGATCTCAATATGAATTTTGTGGGCATTACAAAAATAAATATAAAAAATGATACATGCTTGACCCCTTTAGTGGAGCTTATACAATGGGAAAAGGGTTTTTAAATTCAAAATGTAATGAGAAACTGACGACATAGCTTATATCAAAAATCAATTTGCCGCAACGTAGAGGAAACACTTTTAGTAAATGACAACAGAGGAAAGATAAGGCATTGTTCGCTAAGTAAATAATTAGGCTATTGAGGATTTTCAAATACTTATGTGCGGAAATGGTGATTAGAAAATGATTCTAAGGAATTGACGACTATTTGCGACTATAAATTGTCTTAGTTTTGACACATAGGGAACATTTCTATTGAGACCTGAACTAAGCAACATAAACTTACCTTTCGCAATACTTAGCAAGACCGGGAAACATTATGAAGGGTGAGAAATAACTTATAAGCCTATAGCAAAAGATGACTCATGGAAAAATTTCAGTCTTTTATTTTGCGAAGCGAATTTTTTTCTTTGTCATTATTGTAATCAATACGTGGGCCCTACCATTTGAAGAACAAGGAGATAATGAATTGGTGATAACAACAACAGTTCCACCATTTATAGTATGTGATGATGGTGACGAATTTCTACCTGCGCCAAATTGTCGAGAATACTATCATTGCCTATATGGCCAGGGCGTTTTGAAATCTTGCCCAGAAAATCTATACTGGGAGCCTCAGCTCCACGTTTGTGGATGGAACTCAGAGTACTGCTCCAACGATAGTTCTGAAAGTCCCCAGGGAAGATGCCAAGCTGGTGTCGAGTTCTTGCCCTTTGAACCGGACTGTCGCAAATACATTCAATGTGATAGTGGCAATGAAATAGTACAAAGCTGCCCTCCGCTACTTTACTGGAATGAAGTTCTTCAACGTTGCGATTACAAATGCATATTTTAATTAAAATTAATAAGTGTACATATGAGCTAATAAATGAAATAAATTAGTTCCTGGCAAATAATTTGTAATTTTCCCAAAATACATCATCATTATGAAGTCAACGAGGTGATATGAAGAAAAATCATGCAATCGCAGACATACTTGATAGCCTAAGTACCGTAACGTACTGATAGCGATTATTAAGAAATAAATTACATATAGACATCTGATAACAAATGCATTCGACCTAACTTAAAAAATTAGCTATAAGTACCTGCATGCGGCGCGAAACAATCATTTTTACAAATGGTACCCTGAAAGCAATATGGGTAAGGCGCAATACAAGTATTACCTACGCGTGCAACTAATTATAAAAATTCAATTTTCAGAGACCTTTAAACGATTCAATATACTAATTTTATTAGCGTTAACAGTATCTGGAAGCGCAGTGAAAATCGAGCAAAGTGACAACTCTAAGCACGAAATAATTTACAATCCTTCAAGCAGTTTGGTTGTAGAAACAAAGCGAAATGGGGAACAAACTTTAACTAATCCCTTAATAAAGAAAATTAAACATTTGAGTTCTCCTGCAAGAGTTCTAAATGTGACATCGGAGGCACTTAATTCAACAGAAGATCCCCAACCAACCGAAGACTCATCGACTGAGATTCCAGATGTCACATCTTCTGGCCCATCGGAATCTACAGAAGATCCCCAACCAACCGAAGACTCAACGACTGAGGTACCAGATAGCACATCTTCTGAGCCAGAGGAAACTGATGTGACTTCGGAGGCGCCTGACTCCACAGAAGATCCCCAACCAACCGAAGACTCAACGACTGAGGTACCAGATAGCACATCTTCTGAGCCAGAGGAAACTGATGTGACTTCGGAGGCGCCTGACTCCACAGAAGATCCCCAACCAACCGAAGACTCATCGACTGAGATTCCAGATGTCACATCTTCTGGCCCATCGGAATCTACAGAAGATCCCCAACCAACCGAAGACTCAACGACTGAGGTACCAGATAGCACATCTTCTGGCCCTTCGGAATCTACAGAAGATCCCCAACCAACCGAAGACTCAACGACTGAGATACCAGATAGCACATCTTCTGAGCCAGAGGAAACTGATGTGACTTCGGAGGCGCCTGGCTCCACAGAAGATCCCCAACCAACCGAAGACTCAACGACTGAGGTACCAGATAGCACATCTTCTGAGCCAGAGGAAACTGATGTGACTTCGAAGGCGCCTGGCTCCACAGAAGATCCCCAACCAACCGAAGACTCAACTACTGAGGTACCAGATAGCACATCTTCTGAGCCAGAAGAAACTGATGTGACTTCGGAGGCGCCTGACTCCACAGAAGATCCCCAACCAACCGAAGACTCAACGACTGAGGTACCAGATAGCACATCTTCTGAGCCAGAAGAAACTGATGTGACTTCGGAGGCGCCCGGCTCCACAGAAGATCCCCAACCAACCGAAGACTCAACGACTGAGATACCAGATAGCACATCTTCTGAGCCAGAGGAAACTGATGTGACTTCGAAGGCGCCTGGCTCCACAGAAGATCCCCAACCAACCGAAGACTCAACGACTGAGGTACCAGATAGCACATCTTCTGAGCCAGAAGAAACTGATGTGACTTCGGACGCGCCTGACTCCACAGAAGATCCCCAACCAACCGAAGACTCAACGACTGAGGTACCAGATAGCACATCTTCTGAGCCAGAGGAAACTGATGTGACTTCGGAGGCGCCCGGCTCCACAGAAGATCCCCAACCAACCCAAGACTCAACGACTGAGGTACCAGATAGCACATCTTCTGAGCCAGAAGAAACTGATGTGACTTCGGAGGCGCCTGACTCCACAGAAGATCCCCAACCAACCGAAAACTCAACGACTGAGATTCCAGATGTCACATCTTCTGGCCCATCAGAATCTACAGAAGATCCCCAACCAACCGAAGACTCAACGACTGAGATTCCAGATAGCACATCTTCTGAGCCCCCTAAAACAAGTACTTCTGCGCCACTTTCTTGCAGTAGCGGCGCTGACTTTTTACCAAATCCAACCGATTGCCATAGGTATATTCGATGCAGCCACGGCATTGAGTATGATATGGAGTGCCCTCCTAATTTGTGGTGGGACTATAAGGAATTCGTTTGTTCCTATAATGAAAGTGCATGCTACAACAACGTAGATGTGATTGACCCAAATGAAGTATCTTGTCAGAACGGAGCTGATTTCATACAACACCCAACAGATTGCACAATGTATATACAATGCAATCATGGAAAGCCCCTAATTAGATACTGCCCAGTACCTCTGTATTGGAACCCGGTTCACAAATTATGTGGTTGGTCAAATGAATACTGCGAAAATTCCAACATGAACCACATAGAGTGTAGGGAAGGACAATTATACGAAATTTATGAGCCTAATTGCTCAAAATATATTAAATGCTTTGGTAATCAGGGTATTGTAATGAGCTGTGATGCAGGTCGCTATTGGAATCCTGTGACTCAGTCCTGCGTGAAATCTAACAAGTACTGTAAGTTTTCAAGAACGATTTTATAAAAACTAAGAGAAGACAAAAAAAAAAGGGATTTAAATGTACTTGAATGAAATGTTATGTTTATAGATCACAAGAAATAATGAAAGTACAATAAATTTTTTCTGTTTTGTTAAATTGCTTGGTCTTTCTTAAGTTCCATTGCTATCGAGTATTTGGAACACATATTTCACATATATGTGTGCCATATCTCATGGATTCATATCTCAATGATTCCTTATGTTAGTGTATGTATATTGCATAGTGTATAGTATATGCTACTATATATATTTGTGTTTCCATTTTATTTATTTAACAAATTATTATTATTAAGTTTCTTTTCATGCTGAAAGCGACATTATTTAAGACGACAAGAAATTGGCATAACTTGTTATGTATAATAATATATAATATATTCCATTTTGGCATTGAAACTTTGTACTTATATAGTAGACTCTCTTTCATTCACAGCATTTTATCAGAAACACAAGACGATTGGGTAGACACTATATATATGCTTGAACGTCTGCAATATATCTGTCGTTGGCGCTGATAGTTGAATGAAACGCTTAGTGTTATCGTAAATTATTAATTATACTTTTGACGCTAACATACTGATGTTTAATTGGTTCTAAAATTTAAAAGGGCATATCTGTAGCTATTGTTACACTAATGAGTGTAATTTGCAGCAGGATTAAAAATACGTTCCGTTTTAAAAGAGTACTCTCATATCTGAAAATGTCGAACTGTCTTGTTATGGCCAAAACTGCCGGCCGATTCTGCAGCATAATAATATTAAAGAAGAGAGAGGGTTAACTATTGATTAATATTTCCTTTATCATGCTTGTGATAAATGCTTTATTTACAGCCATTATATATGTGATCTACTATACTCCCTTTTGCGTGTTGCAAACTTACACACCAAAAGTAATAACCCACCACATTTCATTGTTCTCTGCAATTAAAAAATAAACAAGTCATAGAATTAGAAATGAGCTTGTTAACAAAACAATTATCTCAGCAAAAAACAAGAAGCTTGAACACCAATTAAAAACAAGGCCTTATAAAAGGAACTGAAAAGAACGTACAATTAGTTAGTTTCTTTTCGGATTTGTAGGTAATACGATGGGTACGTATTGTTAGTTACGAATATAAAATGACACCCATGGTACTAATTGAATATTTGATTACATTTAGAGTGGATTGTGCTTATTGTTGTCCTGGGAGCAGTTCAGCTGAGTTTGGCACAGAACTTTACAGACGTATGCAGATATAAAATAATACCTGTAGTACGGTTCGATTTCAACTCAACTTTCAACTTTTGAATTTTTAGCAATGCAAAGGAGTTCAGTATGACATTGTACGTCATCCGGATTCAAACAAGAAGTACATTGTATGTGCCTATGGAAATGGACAGGAAATAAACTGCCCTACAGAGACCCCCAACGGGCAAAACTCAACAACACCTGTAGTACCCGATACCTGCTTCGATAGTTCCCTCAAATCTTGCACGAAAGATGCCTGCAATATACCAAAAGAACCAAGTGCGATTGTCAAGGGATACTGCGCTACAAAAGATCCCTTGGAGAAGATAGCCTCAGTAGACTGTGGCCATTTTTACGTATGCTTGGGCGAAAACGATCCCTTTTATGTTGAATGTCCCAAAGGTCAGCATTATTCGCAGTTCGACCAGAAGTGTACATCGCCCGCTTTGGCGAAATGCATGACTCCGGATAAGCTGTGTGCCAATACGGATAAAAATGCAACGTTTGCTGCCGAGAATTGCAACGAGTACTATGTCTGCAATACCAACCAGTTGTCCAAACGCAATTGTGCCTATGGCTATGTCTACAGTGAAGAAGCAGAGTCCTGTGTGGCCGATGTTGCAATGAGCTGTGGGGCCCACACCAAGCCCGATTGCAGCGACTCGAAAAATGCCAATACTTACTTCGCCCATAAGGATTGCACCAAATTCTACATGTGTATTCAAACTGAGGTCTACGAGGGCAAGTGTGCCACAGGATACAGTTTCAACAGCAAAACTTCGTCCTGCCAGGCTGGTGTCTGTTAGGTTTAACGAAACAACTTATTAATGGGTTATGCCTTTGTAATTGTATTGCTCAATAAATCTAAACACAAATTTTGTCGCATGTAAGCAGCCTGGAATTCCAGTACAAATACTGCGGGCAAGTCTTCACAAACGGTATGTAATCGCATTGTATAAAGTGTCTGCAATCGTTGGGATAAGGCAAAAACTGTCCTTGGTTGCCAGCACATAGCGATTCCAAATCGATTCCTGCGTCGACGGTCGGCGGAGTTGCGTTCTGCGTGTACTCGTATGTCTGACAATTTCCCTCGAGTCCCGAATCACAACTCTGCTCTTGTGCGTTCCAATGGAAGCCTGGCGGACAATTCCAGGTGCGTATTTCATAGTAAAGATTGCAATCGCCAGGATAGGCGGCATGACCGATGTCGCTCACAGACACAACAGCGGAGTTGGTGCAATCAACTAGATTCTGGTGTTCGCAACGTAGTTCTGCTTCATGCCAGTAGAAGCCATCTGGACATTCGAGTGTATAGGCCAATCCGTTTAAGCAACTATAATACTTCTTGCAGTCACCTGGATAAGCAAAGACGACAGGGCTATTGCTATTGTGCTGGTAAATGCTAGTGGCACACTTCGTATGCTGGATGGGCTGGAGATTGGGGAATCTTGCCGGAGTCTGATACTGTGCGTCACAGTAATATGCCAACAGCAACAAAGATATTATGAAGCAACTTTTATGGCGCACTACAAATTCAAAATTGTCATGATGACATGCTCAATGAGAAGAAGAATTGCATAAACCTACTTGTCAGCTCCTGAAGCGATTAATCAATTAAACAGCTAGTAGAGACCTTTTGGGTTTTATATCATTACCTAAGCTGGTTATCTCGCTTAGCTTAGTAATGACATTGAATTGTTGATAAGTAGCGTGGAATTTTTTCCTACTGACAAGCAACCGTTGCTGAAGAATGTAGAAAGTGTGTTTAGTACATATTTTATTAGCACTTGTTAAACGATTTCATTTCATTTCCATGGGCCTACAATGTTTAATGTAAATACGCATTCTTCGCCGCTTATTCTTTAAAACAATGGATTACTGGCGATCGCTGATTGCTGCGATAAAAAAATCACAACCAGAGACATTGACATTATACAGTTCAAATAATATATTTTTGAGTATTATCAATTAATCAAGCATGAGTATTTCATTTATTGTGGCGGTTCAATGACCACGATTCAGTGTTGATATCTGATAAATATCTTCATAAATACAAATATATACAAGTATATGCAACAAATAAAGGAACACAATAATGACGTACTCGAAGAAAGTATTAATGTGGCCAAAATAATCGTTAATACTCTTAGTATTTAGCAATCAATTTTGTAGTATATTATTACAAATAGTACATCAAATAACAAAGTAACCTCAAGTTCAAATACTTCCTGCAAAGTTCAATGAATTGTTCAATTTCTGGATGATACATACAGAATGTCAGAAGGTAACATTGTCGATTTGAATTTTAAAACAATTATTTGTGTCATTCTGCAAAGATTTGCATCTAAATAGCCTTACAATTAAATAATATTTTGCATAAACTTAAATGGGTGGTTGGATTTTTATATCTCAGTGAGTTTATTAACTCGCTATAGAAATAACTAAGTATAGTATAAATAATATTAATAAAGCCTAATGGCGCCATTGAAGCCATGCAATCACAATCTCCATTTGGCCATAAGGCAGCTGGCAAGATAAAGCAAATTACAAGTTATTCTGTTTACAGATACATATGATATCGTGGGAATCCGATTAACAATGATGCCATACTTAAGGCTCTAATATGCCAACCACCATCCTTACCATTAATATAGTATTGTTGATTGTTTCCATTAAGGGCCGGAGCTATGCGTTAAGTAAACAAAATAAAAAAAGTATGGATATGTCAATACACCTAAGCAGATAAGGTATTATATAAAAGGCGGTTGCAATACTGGGAAGTATTCAGTGTGCTTTCCCATAGAGTTCATATACCAAGTAATACGAAACAACAGTTGTGATGGGTTCTCTGATATACATCTGCCTATTCCTGGCAACTACTAGCTATGTTCAGGCGCAGTTTGGAATAGTAAGCATCATCATATTGCTATAACAGTACTTAGTATATGTCCTTTTGAATTGTATTCTTCTTGACTAGCCCACATATACCGATGTATCCTTGGGACTTAATCATTGCCCCATATACGATGATCCTAATCATCCTGTGGTGTTGCCTGATCCTAGCGACTGTAGCAAATACTACATCTGCCGTGGAGGCCAACCCATTCCAAATCAGTGCCCAGAATACCTATTCTGGAGCCCTCTCCGTCATCGTTGTGACTACAGACAGTTCTCACAGTGCGCCGACCAATCCTATCCCGATGCCTCTCCAGCAAGCGTCTTTTACAGGGCTTATCCAAATGATTGCCATCGCTTCTATGAGATACGTATACTCAGATGTCCCGAAAATTATCAATGGAGTGATTTGTCAAACCGCTGCGAGTTGGCACAAACCGCGGGCTGTGAGATTGCGCCTTTACCATGGAATCCATTTTCGCCGGCCATAATACCAACAGCGGGCATACCATTAATTCCAGGCAATGTGGGTGGCGTTATTGAATCTGGTTTTGCACCGGTCGATCCTGCCGAGCAGTGCAGAGCTGCATTAGCTCCATTAGCATCGTATTTACCATACCCTGGAGATTGCCATAAATTTATACATTGTGGGCCAACCGCCACTGTGCTTTCGTGCCCGGGAGAATTATACTGGGATAACCGGGCCATGTCCTGTGCCACTGATATAAAAGTTTGCTATGGCTATTGAAATATTTATATCTGACTGTGAGCATTTATTATGAGTCATATAATAAAGACTGGTTGCAGAAAAATAAAAAGCATAACTTTATAATTAGTCTTAATATTTTAAAGATACATATGTATACCATAAAAATGCCAATAGGAAACATGTCGATAGCAGGAAGCGTATGCGAAGCTTGCCATGTGCTCCCAGAGGCAGATTCTGAGGATGAGTTGTGCGCCAACCAGGACACTACATATGAGCGAGAGATCTGTCTGCTGATAAAATAATGCTAAGAAATGTTGCGACTTCGGCTACGCAGTGTGACCAAGTGACCAAGATAAGAGTGGGCGAGCTTGATTATAAAGGTCGCCATAATCGCGATATGTACTTTGTTCAGACGATATGTAGATAGATCTTCACGTGCGTTAAGCTCAACCGGCTTTCGCTTCGAGAGAAAGAGCTCTTGGAGCCGTTTTAATGTATACTTGTATATATGGGTAGCATCAAAATTAATTGAATAAACTACAAGTATATACATATATTTGCAATTCAAATACTGCTCTATTTTGGCACCTATTTGAACTTTTTGAAATTTATATATTTGTATGAGGAGTCTACGAGTAAGTAAAGGAATCAGGGCTGTACATCTCATTGATTCCAGATAACGCTTCAGTTGTCTTCACAGTCTCATTGTGTATGCTGCCTATGCTGTCTCTCTTGGCATGCGGTGGGCTCAACATACATCCCACACTCTCCAGTTTTGGGATCGTACCAGGAATTATAGATGCAGTTGGCAATGGCAGACATTCCATTACCCATGCATAAAATATACTTTTCGCAATTGCTTGGCAACGGATATGTTTTTCCAAGTAGTTGATTTTTGCAAATCTGGTCAGGACTCAAGGTAGTTGTTATTTCTGGTGCGGCTGTTGTGGTTGGAGTTATGGAACAGGCTGTGGGCGAAACATTTTGGCCACATTCTCCCGTCAGAGGATCGTACCACGAATAGTAAATACAATTCACAACTGCGGATTGTCCATCGCCCATACAAAGGATATATTGTTGGCAATTGGTTGGCAGTGGAAACGTAACTCCAAACTGCTGGTCCTCGCACTGATTTTGCTCCCCTTCATCCGTTGTGGTGGATTGTATTGTTGTTGTAGTTGAAATGGTTTGACTGGTTGTTGTCGATTCCTGACAAATTGTAGGGGACCCGTAGCCACAGCTGCCGGTATGGGGGTTATACCAGTTATATAGCGGACAGGGAAATAGCGAAAAGGATCCATCACCCCAACAATAATAATACCATTGGCAATCTTCCACATATGGCATTGTTGAACCAAGCTCTTTGTCTTGGCAAATACTGGAAGTATCGGGAGTAGAACTGCTTATTGTTGTTTCTGTAGTTGTCGGGTCTTCGCTTAGGCATTGCACCGTCTCTGGATCACTACATATTAACAGTTTTGGATCAAAGAGCAAATCGTTGGGGCATTTGCACAACACAATATTTTCACTCTGGCACTCTATATACTGGAAACAGTTCTGGGTAAAGGGCAGTAGTGAGCCGTCAGACAAGCCTGAACATATATTTGTCGGCACTGTGGATTGTCCAGTGCTGCTTCCTGTGCTCTCTTCTGTGATGTCATCGGTTGACGTTGTCTCGGTTGAATCAGACGAAATTGTGGATAGTTCTGTGCTTGGTGTGTTGGTAGAGATGCTTATTGATGGCGTTGTGGTTGTGACTGTGTTTCTCTCACATTCTACGTTCTGTCTATAATCACATTGCTTTGAGTTGTTGTTGAACCATAAACCAGCCGGACACGTCATAACTGTTGGAAAGATGCAATTGCAAACTAAAAACTGATTGCAATTGTTTGGATACGGGACCAGTGCACCAAAGGGTTGGCCAGCGCACATAGCCTGATTCTCATAGCTTTCATCGTCGGAGACGCAAGTCCTTTTGAAACCCCATGCCTTTGGCAGGAGTGTTTCTGAGTGCTCAATAAAATCACTCTTATTATTCACCGTACAATTCATTGTCTTGGAATTTAAGACAAATCCCTCTGCACACACCAGCTCCAGTTCCTTTTGCTTCTGACAATAAATGTATGCATTCTGTCTGTTAACAATGGCATACACAGTTCCATCTTCCTTTGAGTTACACATCCCATTTCCTTGATTTAATGCCGGGCTAGCAAAACTTCTGAGTACTCGCAACATCACTACCAGGATGGCGAAACGAGACCATTGAAAGACTGCAAAGGAGACTTGGTTGTAATAGTAATAGTAATGGCTTGGGCCTAGCTATAATCCGTATGAATTCTATTTATAATTTAGTTTCACTGTAATACTGGATACAGCTTAAAAATTCAGCTCGAAAGAAGCGTAATTCTTTTCTCACACTTTCCCTTAAATTTGGCAAATACTCCACTAATTTTTCTGAAGCACTTCTAGTTAATTTTCTCATTGTTTCACATACCACACATTTTTTTGTTATATTATTTCGAACTTTACACTATTCCTTTATTCCTTGAAATTTTTTATTTAGTGCAAAATATAGAATGATTTAGCTGTTGAAATAATTACGACTCTTTTGCTTTGATGCCTTGCAAATGACTAGCGATTCGATTAAAAATAATACGGACAGCAGTTTTTGGTAGCTTGCTGCTTTAATTAAACAGATAGAATATCTGAATACTATAAGGTTCATCCACTGATAATAATTAATTACGGAAATAAGCTGATAAGAATGTTATAGAGTAAAAATAACTTATAGTATATTTCGCGCTGCTTACCTTAAAGCGGTCAAGGGCAAGTAAGCGACTAATTTTCAGCAAATATTAATGTATTATACAAGTATTTGTTCGAATTGTGTACTTTTCAACAGCATAAGATAATTTTTTACTTGATTCATGCTGCTTACTCATTCAATAATATATGATAAGAAATTTAAATTTAGAATTAATGCCAGAAACTTCTAACAAATTAATCATCGTGGAATGTCTTATATAATGTAATTGCTTTTTCAACCGATTCTAATAAATATCTTACCTTATTTTAAGTGTAAGGATAAAATTATTTGGAATTTTCGAAATGTCCATTCATAATTTTAATTATTTCTAATATGGACAGCATTGTGCTGGTTCCGGCTTAGTGCTACAAATGATTTCGGAACTTATCTGTAATGTTTCTGTTTTTGTTGCATACTTTCAGGCTGTTACAAAAAATTGAAGCAGATCTTATCAAATTTATTTGCGGGTAAGAGTATGCTTCTGAATATACAAGGTATAAATAATAAGTATATCCCAATTGCGTTTTTTATTCATTATTTAATTATCAGCTTTTAATACTTCGTGCCGCCCTAAAGAATTTCAAATAAAATAGCCGTTGGCTTCCCGCGACTCTCATTATAAATATAATTATACTCTTTTGTTTCAAATATCTTTACATATTTGTTGACAGATATATATATATATATAGATTTACTTACTTGCGTATCAAGGTGGGAACAGTAGGACTGGAACAAAAAGAAGAAAAAGGATTCCGGCAATCAAAGCATATAGTTGAAGATCTTGGGACTCTTTAATCTTTTATCTACACATATGTTCTACTGTAAATAATAATACGGGTGTAGTTGCAACTTTCAAACTTCGCTCAAGCAATGGTATTCCTCGAAATATCCCAAAGCGAGTAATGAACTCTGATATACTATATGTAGATTATAACTGATTGTTTTTGTCTACTTCGCAATAACAGACCATTGAGTAATTCACAATCTAGATCAAAGAGGAGACATGTGTAGAACAAAGCGAGAAGTTCTTATCATTTTACAACCGAAGAAGGTAAGTAACTAGTAGTTATCAGTTTCCGTTGATAATATCAAATATCACTCTTTACATGATAAATTATCGTGCAAAAATGGGGGACCGGTTGAGACTCTATAAAAATATTACGCACATGCTGAACGTTTTCAGTTTGATTCAAATTTCGAAAACAATGGGTGTCTCTCGCTTGCTTGGAGTAATTTGGATATTATTTGTGTTACATAAGGCTATTTTGGCTCAGCTAGAGGTATTGCAAAATTATGAAAACATTTAAAGGATAACCATTGTTGATACTTAACGTTTTTTCAAGGACGGCTTCAGTTTCAAGACATCTATTTGCAATGGAAAAAATGGTGGTTTATTGCCTATTTTTGGAACATGTGATCGGTATTACGTTTGCAATGATGGAAACGCTGTAGTAGGAACGTGCGAAGAAAACAAGCGTTTCGATCCAAACACACTACGTTGTGATGATGCTGATAATGTCGAATGTCTTTTCGAGACTGCGTCAAATAATGATAATGATGAGGGAGCCATTATAGACGACTTGGGCTCTGAAAGTTCAGAGGAGGAGCGGAAAGTCCTGTCAGCTATACGACCTACTGCAAGGCCAACAGTTATGCCAAGTAAACAAAATAACCCTGGAACCGAGCTAAAGAAACCAGAAGGACCACCTATTATTGACGAGTCAAGCTCAGAGGAGGAGGAAAAGAAGGTTCTGTCATTTATACGACCAACTGCGGGGCCAACAGTTAAGCCAGATAAGCAAAAGAATCCTGGAACCGAGCTAAAGAAACCAGTAGGACCACCTATTATTGACGAGTCAAGCTCAGAGGAGGAGGAAAAGAAGGTTCTGTCATTTATACGACCAACTGCGGGGCCAACAGTTAAGCCAGATAAGCAAAAGAATCCTGGAACCGAGCTAAAGAAACCAGTAGGACCACCTATTATTGACGAGTCAAGCTCAGAGGAGGAGGAAAATAAGGTTCTGTCATTTATACGACCAACTGCGGGGCCAACAGTTAAGCCAGATAAGCAAAAGAATCCTGGAACCGAGCTAAAGAAACCAGTAGGACCACCTATTATTGACGACTCAAGCTCAGAGGAGGAGGAGGAGGAGCAGGAACAGGAACAGGAACAGGAACTACCAGCTTTACGACCAACTGCAAGGCCAACAATTAAGCCTAATAAGCAAAAGAACCCTGGAACCGAGCTAAAGAGCCCCACAGAGGCATCAATTATCGACGACTCGGACTACGAAAGTTCTGAAGAAGAGCAGGAGGAGGAACCATTGGGTGTACCACCAACTGCAAGACCAACGAATAAGCCAACCAAGCAAAAGAATCCTGGCACCGAGCTAAATAAGCCCGAGAGCGGCAAAAAGGATATTAAAGATATTACCAAAACCTTATGTGTGGGAGAAAAGAATGGATCCAAGTGGCCCAAGATAGATTCCTGCAGTGAATTTTATGTTTGCAAGGCAAAGCAGGCCCAGCTACGTCAGTGTCCAGACGACCAACATTTCAGTGCAACTAATCGCACATGCATGTTGGCAGAAGAAGCTGAATGCTCTTTGAATCTGGAGAATGAAAAATCAAAACCGGCCGAAACTGCAGGCTTCTGTTCTGAGGAGAAGGAAGAGGCTCTGGTTCCCCATCGTAACGACTGCAGCAAATTCCTGTTGTGCAGCAATATGTTGTTTTTGGTGATGGACTGCCCCATAGGCTTGCACTTTAATGCTGAGCTGAAACGTTGTGACTATCCCAAAATGGCCAAGTGTGAAAAACCGAAAACGGAGAAAAAACAGAAAAAACAAAAACAAATTAAAAAGGGAAGACAATAAAATGTTGCGGAAAAATAGCTATCACATTTGTGTATCTAGAATAAAGGGATATATTATAAATCGTTGAGCATACAACAAAAGTTGCATTTAATCTAATCCAAAAATTGTGGAATTTATCGTCTTACAGATAACTTTTTCTTGTGAGTTCTCTGTCTGAAATAGAGCTTTCTCTGGCATTTAGGACATTTCGTGGACATAATAGGATTTTTCAATGAAAATAAATTGAATTAAATAAATGAAATAAATCAAATTTAAGTTTCTCTCCATTTCTGGAGTAATTTGTACGGCCTATGTATAATCATATCATACGTCCAATATACGTTTTCCGTTCATCGGCAAATGCAAATCGTAAAAGGTATTTATTGTAAAAAAATCAGTTAAAATTGTCGACAAATGATCCCAATTGTTAGTTACCCACCCCAAAATTTGTGTTTTTGAGATATACTATTCCATTAAAATTAATTTTACAGAACATTTTGCTTGATCTCTGATAAATTCGCATGCTTTTTGATTGCATCTCCGAGAATCAGAATTCAACGCGACCATTTTCGAATCGCGTATACCACCCATGGACTCTGCCACGAGATATACAATTATACTATATATTATCAACGAGTTAAATATTTGCGTACTGCTGGATGGTTTTTTTTTCTACCGCTGACACGAGCATATTGTCATACAATTTTTATTGATCGGTAATGGTGTACCTTTCCAACCAGAAAATTACCAATTAAACAAGTCTTGATTACTTTATAAAACACCTTTTTTTTGTACGGCATAATTAATTTGATTTCTTAGTCAATTTTAATCGGAAGGACACATGGCTATTATGATATCGATCGGTGTTTGTAAAATTTCGTGGGAGGAGGGGTAGACAAGTCTATCAGTCCGTCGGCCCGTTGGTTTCATTTATAATTTTGAGCATATAATGGTGTACCTTTCCAACCAGAAAATTACCAATTAAACAAGTCTTGATTACTTTATAAAACACCTTTTTTTTGTACGGCATAATTAATTTGATTTCTTAGTCAATTTTAATCGGAAGGACACATGGCTATTATGATATCGATCGGTGTTTGTAAAATTTCGTGGGAGGAGGGGTAGACAAGTCTATCAGTCCGTCGGCCCGTTGGTTTAATTTATCATTTTGAGCATATTGCTTTTAGAGCTTATTTACCCAATTGCTATAGTTGAGTCTGATAGCACCTCTTATTACTGTGGTGATTAAGGCGCGTCCTGAAATCAGATACATTCAGGGTTTGAATGTATGGAAATGGAACTGAGTTACGCCCTTGTAGCCTGGTGTAGGGTATATAACAATGGGGCGGTCATTTTGAGGTTTTTCCTACGATGATGTCGGGGCTTTATATATAGTAGATAGCCCATACCTACAATTCTAGTTAAGGTTTGTTCCCAAGCAAACAGGTTATTCTAGTAAGCAATATTTTTTGCACATATCGGTCCTTAAGAAAAAGGTTGAAGGGTAACAAAATTGGTCTCCGAATGTGTAAGGCAGTTAACACAAATAATATTACCCTACCTGTCTTAGTGGGTTTTTTCTAGTGCTATATGTAAAGACTTATTTATCGCAGCTTCAAATAGTATCTGTTATATATATATGCATCATTGTATTGTTTTATTTATTTTCTAGCAGTTGGAGTTTTCGGGCCAGTCACAACTTAGATTATTCTGGTTGAATACCAAATTGGAAGGGCACTGGAACGGCACTTCACACTCGCACTGGCATACAATATAGGCACCACTGCAGACATTTGAATTGGCAAATAATGTGCCGTCACTCTGACCAACGCAACGTCCACTGCTTTCGCAGTAAGTACCAGATGGTCCCGTCGCTGGTCCAGGTGATGGGCTAGGTGATGGGCTAGGTGATGGGCTAGGTGATGGGCTAGGTGATGGGCTAGGTGATGATCCACACTGTCCGTTATTCACCTCACAAGATTTGGAAGCGGTGCTCCAGTATTGTCCGGCACTGCAAGATTTAGATTGGTAGGAACCACCTACGCACTGCAGATATAATTCACAACTTGAAGAATCATCAATGGTTTCTCCTTCTGTACATGATCCTGAGCATGGCGGTGGTACAGTGACAGGACTGGAGGTGCACGGCGTTGTGGGAGCTGCAGTGGGTGCTGCAGTGGGTGCTGCAGTGGTTGGTACAGTCACAGTGCTGGTGGTGCACGGCGTTGTGGGAGCTGCAGTGGGTGCTGCAGTGGGTGCTGCAGTGGTTGGTACAGTCACAGTGCTGGTGGTGCACGGCGTTGTGGGAGCTGCAGTGGGTGCTGCAGTGGGTGGTGCAGTGGTTGGTACAGTCACAGTGCTGGTGGTGCACGGCGTTGTGGGAGCTGCAGTGGGTGCTGCAGTGGGTGCTGCAGTGGTTGGTACAGTCACAGTGCTGGTGGTGCACGGCGTTGTGGGAGCTGCAGTGGGTGCTGCAGTGGGTGCTGCAGTGGTTGGTACAGTCACAGTGCTGGTGGTGCACGGCGTTGTGGGAGCTGCAGTGGGTGCTGCAGTGGGTGGTGCAGTGGTTGGTACAGTCACAGTGCTGGTGGTGCACGGCGTTGTGGGAGCTGCAGTGGGTGCTGCAGTGGGTGCTGCAGTGGTTGGTACAGTCACAGTGCTGGTGGTGCACGGCGTTGTGGGAGCTGCAGTGGGTGCTGCAGTGGGTGGTGCAGTGGTTGGTACAGTCACAGTGCTGGTGGTGCACGGCGTTGTGGGAGCTGCAGTGGGTGCTGCAGTGGGTGCTGCAGTGGTTGGTACAGTCACAGTGCTGGTGGTGCACGGCGTTGTGGGAGCTGCAGTGGGTGATGCAGTGGGTGCTGCAGTGGTTGGTACAGTCACAGGACTGGAGGTGCACGGCGTTGTGGGAGCTGCAGTGGGTGCTGCAGTGGGTGCTGCAGTGGTTGGTACAGTCACAGGACTGGAGGTGCACGGCGTTGTGGGAGCTGCAGTGGGTGATGCAGTGGGTGCTGCAGTGGTTGGTACAGTCACAGGACTGGAGGTGCACGGCGTTGTGGGAGCTGCAGTGGGTGCTGCAGTGGGTGCTGCAGTGGTTGGTACAGTCACAGGACTGGAGGTGCACGGCGTTGTGGGAGCTGCAGTGGGTGATGCAGTGGGTGGTGCAGTGGGTGGTACAGTCACAGTGCTGGTGGTGCACGGGATTGCGGTTGTAGGCGTCGCAGTTGTATCGCAATCATCAGCATTCACTGAGTAAGCGCATAGAGCGATCGCAAAGTATAGAATGCATACTGAAAAGGAGGGAAATTGATCGGTTTCGTTCAAGAAGGATGTGCTTTTTCTTACCAGCTGGTATCTTAAAGGTTCTCATAGTGAACAACTGTTTCCTAGATACTGAGGGCGTCTGCTACAAACTTGGTCCCAGTGAGAGCTTTTATATTATTCAGCAATTAAAATAATTAAATTTCTTATTGCTGGTCGTATGCATGCGTCGCAGATAAAAAGCCGTCAATGGCGATATGATCAAATAACATACAGTAGTAGAACATTTCAATGATTATTGTTATTGTTATTGATAAACGGAAATGTTTAAAAAGTGAAATAAAAAGCGTGATTTAAGTGTTTGAATCAATTTGACCATAAATAAGTACATGTATGGGCATATCCTATCATGTATCCACACGTGCTGATTTTCAAAGTATTTCTCACATTAAATTCTTAAATAAACAAAAAAAAAAAAAAAAAAATGATATAAAAATGGAAACATGATTCTGCGCTTTCTAGCATGAAAGCAGCATAATAATTCCTTAATTATTCTATAACTCAACTTAGACATCTACATCTAGAAATCATAAGCGAAAGATCAAGAACTCATAAGCGAAACAATAGGAAATACCATTCCATTTTCAACGCACTTGCCAATAGTCAAACAAATACATACATACTTGTACATAATTGTATGTGTATATAGCTGATCGAAAGTTATCACAAATATATCACTCTATTTTTGTGATATATGTGTAGTGATCATGCTCACTACATTTGGTGATCATTATCAGTGATCAGTCCATTTATCAGTTGTATCTGGTGAATGCGCCCATTAATTACGTATTTCAGATGAAAACTGATCGATACAATTAAAAATAAATGAAATAATTAATTAAATAAATAAATAAGATGGCTTTTATTAAAAAATCTGGATCTGGTTCTGGATTTCATAAAATTTTGTAGAATTGTGAAAGATTTAACCATTTTTTGGAACAGCATTCATTAAAACCGGAAAATTGGTGGAAAAAAAGTTACATTCAATCGTTACTGAACATAATGGATTGTGGTGGTCATGTTATAGAAATACAAAAAAATGTACATTTTTTCAAAATCTTGAATCTTCGGTCCATTTGCGACAGTTTTTATAAAGATTTCTCATCTATATACTATAGTATATGTGTAGGAATCGGGAAAGTTCCAGAAGAGCAAGCAGCCGAACTAAACGTTACGAACGTTACTAAACGACGAGAGCCGAGAGAGCAAAATGCTAAAAGAGAGCGAGCAATTATTCAGTCGGTGCCAGAATCTCGTGAGCTACGCACGTATCAGTGAAGCCTAATTACATACATATATATAAAGTTATTCATTAAAGTACTTTTATATAATAATTACACAAACATACACACATACAAACAAACATTGTTATTACATCTAAATAAACCTATAATAAATTATACTTATATATAATAATTACACAAACATACACACATACAAAAAACATTGTTATTACATCTAAATAAACCTATAATATTAAAAACTATTAAACATAATAATACTACGTCGTCTCTTGGTTTTTTTTCGACACTACGGAAATATTGGAGACCACATATGTTAATTGTGAAATCAAAGCAACTGAAGCCAAGTACACTCATTCGTATAGTTCAAGTGAGTATGAAGAAATAAAGCTGTTTTTATACGCTGTATCCAAAGCGTAATAAGGGTATATTGGGGTTGTGGGAACTATGGGAACTATGGGAGAAGGAAGGATCTCCAACTTTAACATATAGGTAAAGGAAACTATACTGGAAAATAAAATGATCGAAATCCTTTTTTCCCGCATTGGTCACGAACACAACAACAAATTTCAAATTCTCCGACATTCGTAATTCGTTTCAATAAATAAACTAACAAACTTCTCTCAATACTCTCAATTGTAATTATAATCCATGTATATATATGCTTGCTCTTAGATATTACACGTCACATTTTTCGCATAGTTGCAAGTCGAGAGTTCCTGGTCCCAGTACAGGCCTCCACTACACTCCATTTCGACCTCGCACTCGCACTGGCAAACCACGTATTTGCTGCAGCTGGTCAGAGATGGAAATAAGGCGCCTTCTCTTTGGTTGAGACAACGTCCATTGGTTTCGCACGCGATGCCCGACGGACCTGCATCGGGACCCGTCGGTGGTATGCGCTCCCATTCGCACTCATAGTTTTGAGGGTAGTTGCACAACAGATATCTGGGATCGTAAACCAAATTATTTGGGCAAATTTGTTCCACTGCGCAATTATAATTGCACTTGTAGAACTTATTGCAGACGCCGTCCATGGGATAAAGAGTGCCCTCGGGCTGACCCTCGCAAATTGTTAAGGTGTTGTTGCAAATGACGTTCGGTACATAGCCCTCGGGATAATCACACTCATCAGACGTAGCATTATAGACCAATCCGTCGGGACATAGGACGGCACTACTACCTCCAGTTTCCGTATTTGAGGATCTATCCCAGTCGCAGACTTTGGCCGTCTCATTGAATTTTGTGCCAGCGTCGCATCCCATTGCAATGGGACATTGGCACTGGCAAACAAAGAATCCATTTGTATCGGGATTGGCAAACAATGTGCCATCGCGTTGACCGGCGCATACGCCCTGATCGGTGCAAGTGGTTCCCGATGGACCCACTGGCAGGTCCTCATCATCATCCAATGTCTGTGAGCAGTCAACATCCCACGGATAGTTGCACAAACTTTTGATAAAGTCATAATACAACCCACTGGGACATTGCTGAATTATGGCACAGCCGCCGTTGCATGTTATATATTTGCCACAATTATTGGGAACCGGAAGGATCGCGCCATTCGCCTGGTCTACACAGTCCGTGTTCGAATTGTCGCAGTAGGCGGGTAGAGCGGAAGTTGGATTGGGAGTTGGAATTGAACTGGAAGCACCAGGATTGAGTGTAGTAGTCGTCGTCGAAGAGCCGCTGGTGCCTGCAGTAGTTGTGGAGCCACTGGGTTTCTGAGTGGTGCTCGCAGTTGTGGTGCTCGCCGTTGTGGTGCTGGCAGTTGTGGTGACAGGATTTACAGTCGTAGAAATTGTTGAATCCTCTGCATCCGTGAAATCAACTTCGGTGCTCGAAGGCGAAGGCGTACTATTGGTATCACATTCAATCGTAGTATCAGTTTCTTCGTCACTACACTCATCGACACAACAGTCGCAGGAGCAGGCACCGTCAGTGCTCGATGCAAACAGTGCCAGACCCGAGCAATCGGCGCGCCATTGGAAGTCGCATTCGCCCACCTTGGGATTAAAGTGAAGACCACGGGGACAGCGATTCAATGCGACCACCTCATAGTCCTCGCAAATCACATACATGGCACAATCCATCGGTGAGGGTAGTCGCACGCCATCCTCTTGGTGTGCGCATATATCTGCCCAGTAGGTGGTGCTTGCGACGAGCTCCAGGCAGACGATAAGGAGAAGGGGAAGACTTGCTGGCAGGATATAAACAGCTTGAAGAGATCACACCTTCCGAAATGGATGGATGGATGCTACTTACCAAATTTGAGTTTAGACATGGCTGCTGGATTGCTTCTCAGCTTACTTCCGATTGTCTGGAAATTCACCAACGACTAAATAGTGATATTGGCTGCTTCTCGCCATTTATGCTTTCGGGGCATTTGGGTAGCACCAGTGCTATATCAAATCAGCAGTCAATCTATTGATAATACCAATAACCATATTTATCTGTTGATTAATTCGGCTACCGATTTAATTTGCCTTTTTCCCTCGGCATACAGCAAAACCGGGGAATTGTTATCGCGAGTAATTAGGCACATGTTCGTACCGCGATATCGCGACAGGTAGTGGCGCTTTGTATATGTCAGATTGCATTGACGGGCAGGTAGTTGTGTTGTCGGTGTCGGTGTCGGTGCTGGTGCTGGTGCCGGTGCCTGTGCCCGTTGACTGATTGCCGCTGAGGAAAACGAAAGTGGCAACTAATTTATGTTCGCATACTCTTCAGATAAGGTCGACGGCGGCACTTTACCAAGACATGTATAATCACGGCGATCGCATAATTGGCACTTCAAATTAAACGATGCTTACGAATATAAGCGCTTGATGTGAAGCGTATCACTCGATTCCATATGCACTCATAACATGTTTAATTTATATTTTGCATATCGGATTGCGGATACTATACTTGTATGTATGTGCTGTGCTCCTTCCCTATGGCTTCTGCGATATGCATTCTGAATGGATTATCAGAGATTATTATTAACCGAAAAGAAACTTACTTGTATGTCTGTTCAGAAGTATTTTTCCAACCACATATTTTTATATCATTGTAAGGCAAATGGCAAATTCCTAATTTAAATGTATGCAAAAATTGGGAAATTGTTGGTTTGTTATAAGCATTTCAAACAAAGTATAACGCAGTCCTCAAATAGAGCTACTCAGTCCGCCTACATTTACATTCACAGAAATAATATCCCTTGTCTTAGTATCCCAGATAGGGTATAATGTAGTCGTTAGTTGGACTTTGTATTTAATTTCGGTAGCTAGTGTTAACTGTTCTGGCCACAAAGGCACACAGTATTGTCAAAGGTCGGTAAGACTGCTCAATATTGCGCTTCAGAATACTGTTATTTATTGCTCTTAAATGATTTCTTTCATTTTAGAGTGAAGTGAATTCCGAGAACCGTCTACGCTTGCGTTGATATGAAGTATTGCGATAAGATCGTTGTGACTTAAAGTACACAACAACCTTCACCTGCTGACTGGAAATTTTGCTATTTGGGCTTCTGATGTCCTACTACTTGTCTAATGTTTGGTAAAAATTTGTAATCTAACAAAATGTAAAAGCTTGGGAAAAATGTATGAACACAAATGTTGGAGAAACTTCCTAAAACATAATTTACAAAGTACTAGAAACAAGCTGAAAAGCTCGAACAAACTTTTATTGCTTTAGAGTCTAATAAACATGGAGATTGATTTGAAAAAAAAAAATAGTTGCTTTATTGTTAATATTATTAATAATAACTATTAACTATGAATAACTATTTTGAATGGTTCCCAAAAGTATCCCCCAAAAAAATATTACAAAAACAATCAACTTTTTAATATTTAATAGGCGAGGGTATATATACACTGATCTCAGTTTTTGTGGCATTCAGAATAGCTGTGAAAATATTGGAATTGTTGTGTTTACCTTTCGGCACACATTGATAGCAAGAATTGTGTAATAAGTAAGACTGCACTTTTTATCAATAAGTACATATATATTTATATATAGATACGATTGCATTGGGAGAAATCAATTCAGCTCATTCCCTCCCCTTCAATATTGTTTTAATTTGGCAATAATAACCATCAAAAAACGCAAACAACATCTGCACAGTTTCTGCAACAATAAATGAGTGCTAACTGCAATTTGTACAATAATGAAGAAATGAACTAAATGCAGTGTTTTTGTGACACTGGCAGCCCAGACCAGCTAGTTAATGTCTGTTAAGTGGAGTAGACGAGTTACCGTTTGGTTGTAACCGATATCTTTAGCCAGCGGGCAGCGACATCAAGACGAATATGTTGCACCGAGCAGAGAAACAAGCCAAGTTGTCAAGGGAAAACGTCACTAAAAAATGAAGCTAACCATATACTTGTAGTTAAGTACAAGTACTATGTGCGAGTATACACTTATAGTATACATATGTGTGCATTAATATGTAGGCCCTGTGGTGACGGTGACGGTGACGGGCTTCCTGCTCAAAGTTAGATGCGCTCACTGAAACTCAAACCAAAGCAATTCTAATTATTTAAATGTGAGAAGAGGCACGCTTGAATTAAATTACACAACTAAGAAAAGCATAAATGAAAGAAAGGAGTGCAAAATTGTGTAACTGTGTAATTGTCAGTTGTCGTCTGAAAGGGCCAACCAATGTCTGGGCCTAGAGCTAGGAGACTGGCAACCCGTAGGCAACGGTAGGCTTATCGGTATACATTACATGAATGGATCACCATAGAAGGCAACAATGGCATCGGAGCATCAGAGCATCAGAGCATCGGAGCATCGGAGCAACAGAAATACGAGTTGTTGGAAACACACACTCTGATCTCTCTATTGTAAAAATTTTCTCAGCTGTAACAGGTTTCTCAGATTTAAGCTGGGACTGTGCTTTCGCCGCCGACAGTCGATGACAACGCGTGTACCGCATGTGACGCTTCTGAGCGCCCTTCGCAGCTGAAGTGGTTCGTGGCAGGAGTCCAGATGCCTCCTAGTGCGCTTACAAAGGGTTGACTGAGTGCCGAGTTCGAATTAAAGAACTGAGATCGATTGGTGCATAGATAATGCCAAGTGGGTGTATGTGTTTCAGAACGCCTTTTTAAAATTCTAGCACCATTCGAAATCAGTGCTTTTGATTGGAACTGATCAGCAGTGCAGTGTGACAACAAAGTGATCGGGAGAACCTGCAATTTTTAACCAACACGTACACTTGAAATTTATGGACGGAATTTGCGGTGTTGTATTGCCAATGTCAATAACATTTTGCAAGTAACGATCGTGTCGGGCGTGGAAGCCAACAAAGTGCATCCAATGTGTTGTCGCCGGGCGTTGGTCGTTGGTCGTTTCACGTTGGAATAAACTACGTCAGCAGTGCTAGATCGTGTGTTTAGTTTTATTATGATGTTCAGTTTTAGTTCTCAGCTGCAATAAATATTAATTGATTTGCTCAGCATATTGGTAAGACAATCTAAAGATCCTGTCAAGCAGGTCAGTATTTCAAAGCGAACAGACAAAAATTTCAGAACTGTTGTCTGCACTCTAAAATATAATTCACCTGTACTTCAACTGTGATTAGGAAAAATGTAATTCTAAAAGTATGCACTTAAGTTAATTAAAGCGCTATAAAACTGACCTTGCCAACCTGCGCTGTGGGTCAACCACACATTAAAGAGAGACTAGCGGGCAGCATACATTTTGGAAACTCGCGCACATTATCCTCTTAACGCTAAATCGTGTCAAATGCAGGCGCCGAGAGTAACAACAACGAGCAAAGGAAGAGTGACGGCTTTTGGGGGGCATGAGGACATCAAGAGCTTCGGTCGGAAATGGGTCGGCTGTCATTATCCGACATATGCATTACCGGTCATTGTTTTTGTATTTGCGCCGCTGTTCAAGCAGATAACAACAACAAATTCTATGTGCAGGCATGTGTGCATGTGTTTGTCATAGGGGGGCTCATTAGTTGGCATTAAGCACCAGTAATGATGCCTCTGGCCTCGACAGTGTACCTAGAATTAATGTGCACACGTAACCAGCCTCCTTTGTTTTGATATTAAGCCCATTGATCCATGTTATAATGCCCTTGAAACGTTTTAATTAACCCAAACTGCATTTCCATTTCAAGAGAACACGAGCCAAGCACACATTCTTAAATTGCACTCCATGGTCCAAAAAACTGTTGCATATTTCTGCTGTCCGATATTGGATTGCATTGACATACTACAGTAACTGGCAGATATTCAACATTGGAATTAAAACGGAAATGGAAAAGTGACAGGCTGTGAGCGAGCAAAGGAAATACCAAATGTCAATATGTCTCTCAACATGCTTATGATATCATGCTGTACGTGTTCGAATATGCGAACATTTTGCATTACAGCTAATGGATTTTGAAATTCATTTTGGTGTTGGCAGTGTTTGCCTAATTTGAGAGCTGCCTGTCTGGACGCCAGGCCCTGTAAGTGATTAGAGTAGATGAAATATTTGTTTCATTTGCAAGCAAGCAATTATAGCAAGCTACAAACCAATATATACAAGTAAATCAATATATTGGCATTCTACTTTTTTTTTTATTATGTGTAGAAAACCGCAAATGAAATAATTTATTTATACCTGAAAAAATGTAAACTATTTCATCATGTGGGGGCGATGTTCGGTATGCGAATACTTCTTATCGGTTACTTTTTTGCACAACTTACCTATCATATTTAGAAAATATGGTATATAGAAAATGGAGATAATGAATTAATTATCTTGCCTTTATTTCTTTGCTTTTTGTCTCTCTTCAAATCAATCCGGCATATCTGTGAATACCTAATAAATAAGCAAAACAAAACAAAATCAAAGAGCACTTGCTTATAAATTTCTGAATGAATCGATCACACTGTGCGAAAAAGAAAGAACAGGAGATGTATTTTCAATTCATATTTCGAATAAAACCAAATCTGCTAAAACAATATCTGATGGATTAATATATATCGGATAAATTACGTCAATTTATTGAATATCACAATAGCTTCATTTCATTTTGTAAGTAATTTGTTGTCCATTTTCCATGCATATTTCCCTGGCTATAAATGTATTCTTTATCAGAAATTACACACATGTTTCTCAATCAGAATATTATCTTGTAATTTGTGATTTGGAACCAGGTGTTCATAAAATGTTTCTTTTTTTTTTGTTCGCAAGTTATATATTTTTTTGACACACGACGGCAATTTAAAAACAATTATCTTTGCCTTAGGTGACAAGAATATTACTTGGAACACTAAACCATATGTCTCTAAATTATCTCGTTTGCTGGTAGCTGATATTTTTGCAGTGACATTAACCAGCTACCTAATAAATTTTGGCTCTTACGCTTATCTGGAACATTTTTGATGTCCAGAGAGCGAAGGTGTTTTATGAATGTGTCACCCCCTCAATATAGAATTCCCCAAGACTCTAGCAAATTTTGAGGACCGCCAGCAAGTAGTGAATGCGCAATCTTATCTGCTGAGCATTAATTGAAATTTTTCCAAAAATAAAGCAACTATCTGTTGACAGCTGTCCGATCTGAAACAGAGTAGTGCTAAGCTATATAAAGTCTCACAAACGCCAGCTGCCATTTAGTAAATAAATTTGTTCCATTGCCACAGCAAGACAATAATACAATGCAAGGTATACTTTCGAACGGATATTCCATCCAAGGTTAAAGCTAAACGGTGTCATATTTCTTCTTACAGAAACTGCACTGCTGGCTCTCCTGTTCGCCGTGCTGCTGCAGTTCAGCAACCAGACGGAGTACTTGAATAGCAAAGAAGACGTGTGTCGCTACTTTAGTGATGGCGCAAAGATACGCAAGCCCGGAACCTGTAGCGAATGGATAGTTTGTCAGGATCACAAGACCACTCCAGGGGGAGTTTGTGAAGGTACCAAGCCCTATTTCATCCTTAGCACTGGCGCTTGCGCTAAGTCATTGGACTCGTGGGACAGCTACTGCTCAGCGCCTTGCACTACAAAAACGGAGGGGTACTATGGCAGCACGTTGAACTGCGAGAACTGGTACTATTGCAATGGAAAGACTCTATTGGCCAGTGGCCCCTGTGGAAACGGTCAATATTTTAATGACGCCACCAAGTCATGTGTCTACCCTCAAAACACAGACTGCAATGCCCAGTTCGAGCTCTGCCAGGTGGCTCCCAAGGATACGTTTTTCGTCAATGAGAACAGTTGCAACAGCTACTACAATTGTGTGAAGGGCAAACTTACGACGGTAAATTGCGATAATAGTTACTATGATGTGGACACCGGTCTATGCGTGCCGAAGGCAACAGTCAAATGCGAAGTACATCCGATACCGGCGGACGCCTGTGGCACAACGAAACTGGCTAAGCGCGACAAGTTCGTTTCTGATGGCGCCACGTGCAGCGGTTACCTATATTGCCACGATCTGGGCTCAGGAAAGCCCGATCCGAGTCCAGTATGGCAGCAATGTCCGCTTGGCTACTTTTTCGACGAGGACTTCCAACGTTGCACAGAAAGGCAGTATGTGAAATGCTCTGAAGATCGCTGCGAGGGCATCACCAGTGGCCGCACAGTCGCTGAAAACCCCGGCTGCCACTACTATCTGGAGTGTACCGATGGTGTTTCTAGCGCACCGATACAATGTCCCGATAACTTGTATTTCGATGAGGATAAACAGGAATGCGTCACTGTCGAGAAGAAGTATACTGCCTGCACAGTTTAGTATTAGGAAGTGATAAGTGTTGACCTCAAAATAAAGAACTGAAAGCAACCTGATACCGTTCACTATTTTCTCAACTAAAGGTCAGCCATCGAACGATATTGAATGTGCTTTCATTTTAAGAGAAAGTTAGATAGAAGCAGATTACGCTTTTTATTGAAATTAATGATAGAAAAAGCAGCCTAACTTACCTATTACTACCATAAAGAAGTGCTTTATATGTGCAAAAATTGGATCTACACATACATACATAGTTATCAAACGCCAGACTTACACTGTATACCTTAAGGAATTCAGCATTAGAATTCTTCTGCAACAAAATACAAAACAATAAGTACCTTTTTTTTTCATTTTAATAGATAGTTGGATATTAGATGATTAGGCTTTTATTGAATGAATGATAGAAGCTGAACTTACCTATTACAAGTATGAGCAAAAATCTTTTTTATCGAAACATTCTACTCATACTATTTCATAATTTAAATTTATATATACATAGTTATCAAACGTCAGACTCACACTGTATACCTTAAGGAATTCAGCATTAGAATTCTTCTGCAACAAAATACAAAACAATAAATACCTTTTTTTCCATTTTAATAGATAGTTGGATATTAGATGATTAGGCTTTTATTGAATTGAATGATAGAAGCCGAACTTACCTATTACTACCATTAAGAAGTGCTTTACTATATACAAGTATGAGCAAAAATCTTTTTTATCGAAACATTCTACTCATACTATTTCATAATTTAAATTTATATATACATAGTTATCAAACGTCAGACTCACACTGTATACCTTAAGGAATTCAGCATTAGAATTCTTCTGCAACAAAATACAAAACAATAAATACCTTTTTTTCCATTTTAATAGATAGTTGGATATTAGATGATTAGGCTTTGTGTTGAAATTAATGGTAGAACAAGATGCCTAACGTTCTTATTTTTACCATTAAGAAAAGCTGTAAAAGTGCAACATACTGTATTTTAGTAAACAAATACTAAACTCACACTAGCATATATACACTGGTCGGCACAATTATTTTGACGAGAAGAAAATCATACATTTTTGTCAATAACTGGTTATTGGTTTAAGATATCAAAGGAAATTTTTTTTCTCAATTCCATATTGGTATTACAAACTTAAAAATAATTCAAAGGATATATTTTTATAAGGACTTTTAAAATTATAAATCAAGGTAATTTTCATGGGTTGGCATAAGTATTTTGACAATGGATATTAACAAAAAAAACAAAGCTTAATACTAAACAAAACATAAGAAATTGATGGTAGATTAATAAAATGTATACCCGCCTTTGGCTTCGATAACTTTTTGAAGACGTCTTGGAACTGAGTCCACTAAATTTTGAAGGACCTCTAATGGTATCTCTTTCCAAAGAGAAGTGACCTCGGAAATAGTTTCTTCTTCGGTTTTATGCAAAGACGCATTTCTTTTACGTTTTACAAGAGACCACACATTCTCAATAACGTTTAAGTCCGGACTTTGTGGTGGCCAATCCAGAGTAGTAACACCAACATCGGTTAAAAATGCTCTTATCATTTTGCTTTTGTGGCATGGGGCGTTATCCTGTTGCAGGATAAATGATTCTCCAATCAGCCTGTCACCGGAAGGGAATGCGTTTTCGTTAAGGGTACTCAAATATTGTTGCTGGTTCATTGAGCCGGTGATGGGAACGAAATCACCTAACCCATTGTACGCAATGCATCCCCAGAACATGACTGAGCCTCCGCCATGGCTCACTTTTTGACATACGGGGATATTTTTTTGTCTTTGAAACTGTGGGAGCCTTACAAAAATCTTTGTTTTTGATGAATTGTATTCAAAGGAGCTTTCATCTGTCCATAGAACGCTTCTCCAAAACTCTTTTGGCTTATGCAGATGCTCCTTTGCAAAAGCCAATCTTTTGAGCTTGTTCACCTTTGATATGTAAGGTATGTCCTTCGCTTTGTATGTCTTAAAATCTACTTCTTTTAGGCGTCGCCGAACAGTACGCTCACTGATTGGAGTCTTGGTCGACTTATTCCATTGATCTGCAGCAGCTTGCGGCTTTAAATGAATATTTTTTTTAAATTCCCGCAATAGGACTCGATCTTCAATGGGTGTTGTTTTGCGGTTAGCACCTGATCTAGGCAAGTTTTTGACGTGATTGTGGGTCTTATATTTGTTAATTTGATAGTGGACTGTTTGCCGCGACAAATTATATTCATTTGCAATGTCTTTTGGTGCTACGCCGGCATTAAACTTCGCCACTATTGAGGCTCTAACAACATAACTTAATTCTGTCTTTTTTACCATTGTATCGATTACTTTTGAATCAAATTTTAATGAAAATAATGTAAAAAGGTCAACAAAAATTGTTACACCAAAGTTATTTTAGTATCACTTGATAAAACGTACGCGAAAACGGCGACAAAGATTTGGTCAAAATACTTATGCCGTGCCTGAATCCGCAGTCAACTCACATTGTCATTTGTAGAAAGAAGGTGTGAAGAGTAATAGGCAAAATATTTTGCCTACATATTGTTGTTGCTATGAACTCTATATCCCGTATGAAAATTGTACCGTTATTCCTTGAAACTAAAAGCAACCAGCACCGATAGTCGTGAGTACAGTTCGTCAAAATAATTGTGCCGACCAGTGTATGTTACGTATACGGTATACGGTTTTTGAACATTAATACATAAGTATATTTACATATTTAGAGCTGGTATGCAAAGAATATTAAGTATTTCCATCCATATTCAAGGAGAGATAAAAACACCAAATTAATATTTTTACATTTTTTATTCAGATATTTGGACAATCAAGTTGTACCTCAGTCAGTAATCGAAGAGAAGGTAGTGGGTAACAGAGCAGTTGATGGAACCTATAAAAGACCAGATCCCAAGCAAATAAATACTTCTTACAACCAATCCCTCAATACTTTACTTTTGTGGCTCTCAATACCGTGCAGTAGAAATTACCTTCAACATCAAGAAGATGTTTTCACGGTTAGTATCAGAATCGATGATGTTTAGATTGCTTTCATGTGAGCTGTACGAGGCGCTGCGAGGCAGCCATTTAACCGGAAGACATTTTAAATCGAGTCCATCACATACAGTTTCCGTTGAAGTGCAGAGGACGAGCGGGCAATATAACAAACATCACATGTCGGGCATATCCTTCAGGCTTGAAATATGCTCTACCGCTGCAGGCAACAAATATTCGGGCCATGATTAACTGCCGTGTCTGTGTGGCCGGATTCAGACCGGAAGTGAGTTGTTAAACACACGGGCGGACAATTTAATTGCAATTCAAACCATTCTCTTGCACACTTTTTCCCAATTCTTTTTTAATACCACTCATATAGGTTTACAATGCGAGTTGCATGTTGTAATAAACATACATTCCCCCCTCCCTCTCGGCCCCTTCCACTATTCCATGGGCCGACCAACACGTTGTAAGTTTTAAAGTTTTAATCGACAAAGTTTGCTGCGCCCAGTCGCCTCTTCATCATCATCATTGCTATTTCATAATTCAGTTCATTTCGCGCCCATGTGTGAGTGTGTGTGTGTGTGTGTTCGATCGTGGGAAGGGCGGTGGGCAGGGGCTGGTTAGGCTGTTGTCAAACTTTTTGGAGCCCCAACGCGAACTCTGCTCACAAAGTTTAGCACTAAACTTCAGTTAGAAATTTGTTTTTAATCATTTGGCATTTGGTTGTCTTGGCAATTTTGGTTCATAAAACAGTTGACTAATTGCTTGATTAGCGCGTCATGTTTAATATCCGATTTATATTTGAGTCGCATCCGTGCCATTTCCATGTTCACAGTTTTGCTTATCCTGGAACCGGACGCACTTGTTACCATCGAAATCTGTATCCTTTGGCGCTCACATTTCCCAATTAATTGCTGGCAAGGCGAAAAATTCGCCAGAAAGTGCGAGTGCGAGTCGAGTGCCTTTCGTTTTCGTTTTAATTAACCAACTTTACGCTTTTATTTTCATTTGCCAACTTTTCCCGTGCTCGTGCTGCAGCAGCATTGCAACATTCCTCCAAAAAGCAAAAATATTTGTAAAACGACTTTTGGCTTAGCAAATAGCATCCGGCACCATGGACTCCATCGCACGTGCTTCTATACAAAAATTGAGATATTCACAACGAGTATTTCTTCTTTGAGTTTTCAGTAAACTTGCGTGAACATTTTTCGAAGAGTTATATCAGACTTTAGATCCTTAATTTGAGCTATGAATTTAGAATCATTTTCGCCTATAAATTAGCTGGAAAAGTGATGTGTTGGAGAAAATGTGCTTTGGAAATATATTTTAAGAGCTTTTATCGAAATCAAGAGTAGAGTTTATGTAATGCCGAGTTGAGAAAAAATTATTATAATTTACTTTACAGGCGAGTCTAAGTAGAGAGTGCCTGTGAGTCTTTCATTCCGAGGGACCCGGGCATTCCTTTGTCAGATATGCACGCAAACTTTATATTGTAATTAATTTATTGAGGCCTGAATAGGAACAAAAGATGACACATAAATACATAAATAATAAATTACTCTATTACTTTTCAGTGAATGGTATAACTTGTAATTGATCCATTTGGTTAGCCTGTCTATAAGTACATATATTATACTACGACTATGATGGCGATTGTTGACCAACTTTCCCACTGTGCGTACCAGCATTGTCAGCAGCATTTGTGGCTTCCCACATCTGTGCCATCGGGCTCTTCCAACTGCCTCAAACCCTTTTGCAAGGATGTTACACAACATGGCGGAAAGCGCTGGCTTGGCACCGAATGTCAACATGGCAGTGGCGATATAAATCAGCGCGTTGTGTTTTTGGCTCGAGCCCTGAGCTCCTTCTTTCACCTTACACCGAACATCCAGCCACGTGCACCCTGTAATCCGCGCGTTGATTTGTTAGCCCGTGCGGCGTCAGAAATTCAATTTGATGCGAGGCAGCTGGAGGGGAAGATCTCTCCAGATGTCTGTGGTAGCTAAACACAATACTTCCCAAATCAATTCAGTTCAGTTCAAATGCAATGTCAATACAACAATGTGGGAGTGTGGCGGCAGCGTATATGAAAGTTGTCGTGGCGGTAGAGTAGTTTGTGAGGCGCGTTCTTTCCTCTGCACACTTGCCCATGACAAATATGCAGTTTGAAAATGTTAAATGAATTTTGTGCCCAACATGTTGTATGCGAATTTATTACGCCCCGCATTACGAGTACATTGCCGATTGTCGATTGCCGACGTAAGCATTGCTTGCCATACGCATTCGCGTCATTTGTTGCGTGCAGCCAGAGCTCCCGATGCGACCTGTCCTCGTCAACATATTACTATATACAGTGAAAACTCCCTTAACGGACACATCTTTTAACCGAACACCCCTTCTAGGCGGACACTTTTTGCATAACATTCGTTTTGGTGTACTTTTTAGAGCAAGTTCGACTCTCTTTCTTGAAAGAAAACCTCTCTTGACCGGGCGCGTACCTTTTGGTAATGGACCTTTCAAATGCATGCAAATAGTTTCATATTTTTCATATGCCTCTTATTTCCTTCTACGTATATCCATGTGATCTACTACAATATTTTTATAAAATTGTATTTTACAGTTATGCTCAGTCTTGCAATATATATAATAATATTAGTAGTTCTTAAACAAATATTGCAAATTACATTAATGTGCTGTTAATTAGCTGAGGAATGTACAACGTAAAACTATTAAATGAATTTGGATCTTCATTTTTATAATCGACTGTTGTATGTAAGTATTTACAAAAATCCTAACGTATTTTTTATATTGAATAAAATCAATTTATTTTAGCCGCCTAAATAGAAAAACAAAAAATGGACAAATTTTCTATGCATATGGATAACCAAATACTCCCCTTGCCCGGACAAAAGTTGATCGACGGTGGGTGTCGGGCCAAGAGAGGCTTCACTGTATATGGTCGTAGGTACGAGCATATGCAGATGGCCTTCAATTAGACGGGCGGTTTTGGCTGCCTATTTGTATTGCTGTGCCATAAAATACTAACAATGGATGTGGACACACACTCGCTTAATCCAATTTGACTCTCCATGGTATTGCAATATTGAAACATGTGTGTCTAGAGAAGTTCGCCAGCATACAGTTGTCATTGAAACGAATTTCATAACCAGTCGAATATTGTTTAATTAATAGTTGCGCCTTAAATACAGCAAAAACATTGAACATTTTACAATATTCTATGTCACATCATTACATATCAATGAGGGCGAATGAATGTTACATTTAAGGCGAAGTGATAAACATGTCCTTCCATTCATATGGACACAGCTAGGAAGGAATAGGAACACCAAACTTTCTAAGCAGGCTTGTTTTATCCATACCCAGAGCAAATATATTCCGAATCGTACTTATAAGTATACAACGGATCGAGCGATGCAATCAATATTGGTAAGATAAGTTTTTTAAAGATATGAAGATATCTTTTTAATGGCTTAAGATATTCTGAAGAAATTTATTTATGTATAAATGTATTGATATAATTATAACTAAACATATACTATACTACTTGTATGTTGATAAACATCTGATTCTAGTTGTCAGCTCAACTTTCAGGAACACTAGAAGTCGAGTGCTTGTCAAAGTAGCTGTCAACTTAAGGAAGGATTTTTAAAATAACTTTTACTTTAAATATTTACTTTAAATATTGAACAAATCAAATGCAAGAAATACTTTAGGAATTGATTTATGGTAACCAGTACGTGCCAGCTGGTGTCCTAGTATGCCTCTCAGACAATAGAAATGCGGCATACACATGCTTAGTTGTCTTGTATTCCATAAATTGCCACTGGCAGAGAATACATTTTAGATTTGAGCATTTTTGTTGCCGTGCTAACTTCATAGAAAATAAGGTTGAAGTAGAGACTTGACGCTGAATCCCTCCAATGCTAGAAACTGCATTGCAGCCACACACACACACTTACTCACACATTCGTGGTGTGTGGGGATGGGTGCGAGGCTGGGGTTGTGGTTGGAGCTTTGTGTAGGAGGACCAACTATTCGATTTTGGCTCGTTTGCTCGATTGTCCCAATGAATGAAATTAAATGCAGCACCGCAACAGGCTCGATGTCACAGATGTGCATGGAGGTGGGGGAGATGGAGGAGGTGTCCATGCTTGTTGCAACTTCTGGTCTGGTAGCAGCTTGTTTTTGATCTTGACTTTTGCCGTTTGGCTCTTCCCGCAGTGCGACGCAAACTTTTGCCGCCTGCCAGTGGGCGTGGCTGTGTGTGCATAGTTGCGAGGTGCATGTTCATCGTAAATTTATGGCTTTTGCCATCGGCAACGGCAACGGCTATGGTTATGGCTACGGGTACGGCTACGACTACGGCTAGGGCAACTGCATTGGCTTCGGCAATGACAATGTACATAGCTATGAAAATTTGTGGCTGGACTCAAATTAAGTTGCATAATTTTGGGAAAATGAAAAAGTTTACTTTTTTGTTTAACTATGCTAATAAATCAAGAATGAAACCGAAGCGAGCTGGCCTGTTTCACTTTGAGTAAGCCACAAAATATTTTTAATTGAAGTTGAGATAAAACTTGCCACAAAGTTTTTGTCTCTAATTAAATTATGCTGACAGAAATTGGTCAACAAAAGCCATAATAGATATTCAGTTTAGAAAAACAATTGTCACATAGTTTTTGCAACACGATATAAGTAGATGTTTTATCTAATTTTTCTCTAAGTCTCTTATAACGTAGCAACTCATGTAGGTTTTAGATTTAAGACCCATATTAAGAGTTGTCGTTGTAATTTCAAATGTACTCGTACTTCCAAGTGGAGTCCTAGCCGTAGGACTTAAGAACGATTTTAATACCATTTCAATGGCTAATAAACAGCAGCCTGTTTATAATTATATAATATAATATAATAAATAAATGCCAACTAAATAAATTGCATTATTACATTATTATGTGGTGTAGATTTATTTTCATATTTTAATGGTGTTTAAGTTTCGAGACAAAATCTGACGGCGGATAAATTCGAATGCGCCAAAAAGTATGCAAATGTAATTTATGCTAAATTATTGCTTTCCTCACCGAATGCCTCGCTGACTTTTTATGCTGCGCCAACTCTTTTCCCCTCACCCATCTTCCATCGCCCATCACCGATACTCACACTACGAGCTGAGCTTTTTATAAAATTCGCAACAAAGACTTTAATGAATTTCATTGCATAATGTAATCCGCTATTAAAACGTATATTTCTGTGCTCTCCGTTCATTGTTTAATATTGGAATTAATTATACTACACAGCTGCGAAACGTAATTGAAAATATTTATTCAATATAATCCACATCGACTATGTGTGTGAGTGTGGTGTGCTTTTGACTGTTCCATGCAGATATCATATATCGGATTAGTTAACAAAGCAAAAAAGTGATGGTGACAGAAAAACACTTTATTGGCTCTACGACATTTCATAAATTTTCAATTTATTTATCAAATTTGTGCATTGTTTCAAAATTAATGAATTAAGCGCCTTTCATTAACACTTGCATTAACGAGCAATTTACATTTAATTTTATTAAACCATCTACCTTTTGAACATATTGTATAAGCGAAAAAAGATGCAAATTATTTTATTAGGCTGCATGCATTTTATATTTAAAATAATTCAAAGATACAGCTTTTTACCAATAAATTTAAATTGAAACGCAGCTGGAATATATATTAAAAGACAGATTAAATAGAGAAATATGTTGTTCAATTACATCAAATAACCATTTACTTGTGTCTTGTGTCTTGTCTCACCGATTCTGTAGCTCTTGGAAAAAAAAATTAATTAATTAATTTTGTAAAAACCTCCCAAAATGGCTATAATGTGTGCTAGTGAAACAACTAAATAAATATTTACTTGTCCATGTGCATATTAATTTAAAATAGCATTGTGTTGAACAAAATAAAATGAAAATCATGTCCTAAAAAAACAACCGGCTTTATTAGTAAAGGGAAACGTCTATTTTGAAATCAAAACAGAAACAATCAGATATCCATCCCATTGGTAGACCGTGACCAAATGTTTTGCGTATCTGCTGCAAGCTTTCATTTGTTGGATTAATTAGAGGAAATTATTGCAAAAAGGTATACATACATATGAACGTAATAGAATGTTTTTGAAAACTCGTGTTAGCCAGAGAAGTTGTTGTTTGTTTTGCAGAATGTTGTTTGTTTTTAGGCCTGCAGGCCTTCAATGAAGCTTAAAGCTGCATCATAACGAAGCTTCTAGGTTCTTTTGTTATTGTTGCTACTTAGCAACAGTTAAACATATTTGCTTGTTGATTTATATCAGTTTTCTTTACAACTACACAGTTTCTATTTTAAAAGGAATACTTATAAATATTTGTACGAAATGGACACCAACATCGACAATGCGCCCACCAGACCTGTAAGAATTGATGAGTCGCAGCTCGCTATCATCAACAAGAAAAAGCAAATAAACAAGCTCGAAGAAATGCGTTTGGAACAAATTGGTAAGCCAAAAAAAAAAACCATTTACTCATGGCACACAATTGACATCCATTCACTATTAGGTTTCTCTTCGACACTCTGCACTCAAATCGACTGTGTGATTCACGTGCTCAGCGAGTCCATTGAACGTGTCAAGATCTCATTAATTCTGCCCAAGCTGCTGGAAAATCCCCGCCATCTGAAGGAAGTGTTGAAAGGCACCAAATACGAGCAGGGAGTGAGCATGGTTAATGATTTCATGCGGCGTCGCGACATTATTGTCAAGGAGAAGCGTCCACCTCTGATGGACCACGGCATGATCAAAATTATCGACTACTTCCAGCGCAATTATAGTATATACCAGCTCTTTCCAAAGGTAATGAGTTCTCTGACCCGAGAGGAGCGCAAGCTGTTGTTAGCCTTCGAAATGCTGTTTAATATTGCCTGTCAGCATCTGTTGCGGACCTCGAAAAGTGAGATAACCAAAGAGCGCAAGCTGCATCAGATGTACCGGGAGAACGAATCCCTTAAAGCCAGCATTTCAGAGCTCAGGGCCAAGCTGAGATCGCAGAAGGTGACGCTGCGCTGGAAAATGGCCGCCAAGGAGGCCTACATTCGGAAGTACGATGATGATTTGGCCTACAAGAAATGGCAGAACAATGTGCGAATACAGAACGAGATGTGAGAGAAAATGTGAATAGAACTGGAATTGAATCATTAATTTCCTTCTGTATTTTTTAGTGAAAAGTGCAGCCGGGTCATACGCACGAATCACAAGGCTAGCTTGGAGAAGCAACAAGAGCTGGAGAAGGAATTGGAAAAGTCGCGTAGCGAATATGAGAAAGAGACCAAACAGAATCTGATAGCGGAGAGGGAAGCGCGAGCCGAAAAGTAAATGAAAATATATGTAGTTCTATGTGTTACGCCTGTCAATTAATTTTCTTGCATTTCCATTAGAAACAAGCTTTTGTTGCAGCTACAAAGTCTACTCAAAAAGTACGATAATAGCATTGGTGAGAAAATGAGAGAGAACCTAAGACTTGAGGATGACTTCAATGAGGCCAAAAAACAGTTCGACGACTTCATGGTTTTCTATCACGCGGAGGAGGCCATCTACAATGACATCGTGGTTAAGCGCGAAGAAGAGGAACGTCGTGAGCAGCAGCGACGCATTGTCGTCTTCATGATGAATCGGGCGGCACGGAAAATTCAAAAGTATTGGCGCAAATGGCGCAAGGATCAACGCAAAAAGAACAAACGGCTCAAGAAGGGTAAAAAGAAGTAGATAGAAATAGAAGTTCTGAATCAAAATAATTTCCCTAAAATTCGTGGTATTTTATTCTAATAATAACGATTGTGAAATTTCAAAATAAAATATGGTGGACTATATACGAACAAATTGCTGGCCTACCTTCAGTTTTAATTTCATGAATTTATATTGCTGTTGATCAAGATCACAATTGGACCTAACTTTTGCACATACGAGTGCGAGTAATACTAAGTTAAACTGCAATAAGACATTTTAAGCTGTGTGCTGGGCCAACTACTTCTCGCACGTACGTACATATATGTATGTATGTATGTAGTATATTTGCTCCGCTGCTGGCCATACATCAAGATGAAGGATGAGCAGTCAACTTGATCCATGAGTGCCATGTGCCAGTATGTATGCTATACTATACACTAGTATATGTGTGTATGTATACATATGTAGATTAATATGTGGTCCATGCATTGTAAGCTTAACTGGTGTCTTGACACCAGGTCGGGTGTCGCTCCTTCCTGCCGTTACCAGCGCAGTCTACAAAAATTGCAACACTTCCTGGGCTTATGTGCGAAATGGCCTCGGAATCAAAATGAATGTACGGACATTTTTCATTGTGTCATTGTCAAGTTAGCAGAGCCTGTTACATTTGCATGTGAAACTTAACAGAGCTGTAACAGCATCTCCAAGGAGCGACACAGTGACTCAGTTATGCAAAGGTTGGATGCGAAAGAGAGAGAGAGAGAGGGAGAGCGCCGTGAAAATGTTATGCCAGGTCACTTATGTTCCACAATATACTGTTGCTGGCGGTTCGGGTGTGTGTTCGGGAACTGTTGAACATGTCGGCGCACGTGCTGAACTGTTAGCTGCTGGTCGTTATAAAGTAACGGTGCAGCTGTCTGACAGCATTCAGTGCGTTGATAACTTCGTGGACTCACGGTAATTTTCTCGCTTGCGCGTTCGTGTCCGTGGCGCGGCATCCAATTTGTACGAGCCTGTGTTTGGCTTATGCGAAGAAGTGTTAAGGACATGGTTGACAAATAAACACACATATGTATGTATGTATGTAAGTCGCAGTCGCGTTAAAAGAATAGAGTAAAAAGTTTTGGAGCGATTACAAACTTCAAGAGTTATTATGTTAATGTGCAATGTGTATTTGAAAACATAACGCGTTTTAAATTTGTTGCCATCGGGGTAGCCAGCCAAGTCTGCAACTGTCATTTGTCAAAGCTGTGTCTCACATAATGGCAATGTAATGACATCCGGTGAATGGGATTTGCGTGCGCTAAAGGCGCTTGAGGAGGAGGAGCAAAAGGAGTTTTTGGCGCTCAGTCAGCGAAATCTTTTTGAGCCCCCCGAACCGCCAGGCGGAACAGCCATAGCGCCAGCCACAGCCGCCAGTGTTAGCTCAAAGCCAGCCCTGACTTATGCACAGCTGCATCCACATTTGCTTAAGCTGCCCACCATTGACGAATGCCAACTGATTGCGGCAGCCAAACGTCAAAATTCAAGCAACAGCAGCACAGCGGGCAGCACGCGCTTAAAGTTTACGCGGGCTCTATCCCTCTCAGCACACTCCTTGTCTCCACGTGTAGGTGGCGGCGGTGGCTTTGGCAAGAAGCTCAAGGCACGATTAGTGGGCGCCAAGTCCAGTGGCTCGCTTTCGCCCGCGCGCCATTCCTACAGCGTCTCGCCCGTGTATACGCCACCACCGATACGTCGATGTGCCACTCTGCACCACACGCAGCCGGTGCGTAAGACCTTCAAGACACTCCAGCAGCTAGAGCGTCAAAAACAGGAGCGTCGGCAGCAACAGCAACAACTACAGCAGCAGCAGCAGAACCAGCAACAACAGCCACAGCATTTGGCATCGGCGGCAACGCCACAATTGCAACGCATTGCCGGCACTAATAAGACCTATTGGAAGTATGGGGCCAACTCAACAGCTGCCTCCATAATTGGACAACGAGCTCGCCTTCAGCTTCCCAACGACCTGGAGTCGACTACCTCCGATGAGTTGAATTCGGAAACCGAGTTCGTTGGCCAACAGGATGATAGCGCCACAGAAACAGGCTCTTGTAGCGTACCGCTGCCCGCCAACGACTCTAACGAGCTTCTACGGCTGATGTTTACGGCAGCCAGTTCGGCGGTGACAGCCGCACAGACGGCACCAGCAGCAACTGGTGGCACAACGCCGATTGCAGCAGCACTGGCGCCACCATCGCGGCACTGCTATCAAGGGCCCGCTGTTAAGGATGACAGCGAAACTGTTGCTTACGAAGCTTTTCACACGGCCCTCGCTAACAGACACAAAAGCTTTGCTCTGCTAAATGGCAGTCGAACGCTCTTACGCGGCAGCAGTCTTACAGCCCAAGAGAGTCCCAGTTGTGTCAAAACGCAGCCCACAACAGCTGTGGGTAACAGGAAAATGTTAAAGTCGACGTCGATGGACGCGACGGCGGGCGAGTATCAACAGCTTGGCAGCAAGCCGTCCATGGGGACAGCCAGCGGTGGTCAAATAGCAACAAATCAGCTGTGCGGAGCGGCACAAACGAAGGTAACGGACGATGTGAATGGCTTGCATTTCAATGAACATCAGACAAATGAAGCTCGTTACCAGCAACAGGAGCAACAGGAGCATGCTGCTGCCGCCTATCAACATCAGTTGGAGCTTCAGGCATGCTACAGCCACGGCGCTGTAATTGATGACGAACTGGAACAGCATATCAAGCATTGTTCGTGCTCCTGCAACCACATGGGCTATGGCAATTCAATGGACTATCAGGTGGGTAGCCTTTCAGTTGCGCATTCTTTTGCAAATGATTCTGGTATGTACTTTTAATTGCACTCGAGGTGCGAGGCTTTCATTGCGGACTCGAGGAGTTTCTCATGTTGTCGGCACATTCAGTAGCCGTCATTTTCCACTTTCGTGAACTGCAACGAAGTTTATATATACAAGTAAACTCATTATCATCATCGGTCTTTGTGGTGCATTTTGTGTTCATGACTCGATTGTTTCAGCTGCTGCATAATCGCAGCTCGTAGATTTCTGCTCGCAGAGCATTATGTGAATGGTTATAGTGCGTGGCCAACTTCTGATGACCACACACATATCTAAACATACATGAGGGCTCGCCAAGTGAAGGAACACTGCTGGCCAAGAAAACTTTTCTAGCTATTCAAGACATTGTATAGGCAAGAAAGTTGGCTGCCACAAGTTGATTTCTATGGGCATATTGTATGTTGTAAGCTGTAAGTTCTGAAAACTTCGCTAGCGTTGAACTTTGCTCGCCTGTGTTGGACTCAATCCTTTAAAAACTTCTATAATTGTGTCAGTCCTAATCAGCTTTTAAGCGCTTTCTTTAGGATAACTAGTTGGACACTGATTATTCCTAAGTTTATTACAGCATTTATGCTTGTTCAAATAATTAACGTCAGCTCTGTTTCCATACATACTTGTATTCTTAAAAGAAAACTAAACTGGAGAGATACTATTAAGATAGTCATTGATAGCTTTTTTTGATAGGAAATTGAAAGTAAACACACATTGACCTTAATATTATATATGTATTTTGATTATAGGAGGATGTCGAAGGATTACACTAGATTGTACAATACATTGTTTCAGTTATCATTTACATGTTGTTACCGGATGCTTATCTATTCTAAACGTATGTGTATGCGCATCCCTTGGATTAGCTTGAGGGGCTTTCTTGCATCTAAGGGCTAGGTCATTAGGACTAAGGCGGCCATATCGTGAGACACGTTATTGCAGAGTGCTTTGTGGTGGCGTCAGCGGTGTCCAACTATCGGTACTGACGGCCGTTACCACCGATGTGGGCACTGCGGTGGGGGCTGCTACGGACGGGACAGGAACACGTTCGCCAGAATGCTCCAGTGATTCCATCTTGATGTTGCTGGAGCCACCCTTTAGTGTGGCACACTCCAGCGTTATGACAGAGCTCGGCTCCTCAGTTTGCTTGTACATTGCGGAGGATTGTTGTTGGTCGTCGAGCGCCTTTGTAACATCCACGGGCTCTAGCGGATGGGAGGAGTAACTGTAAGATGGGGCGCGATTCGAGAGTGGAATCATTGATAGCTATTTAAGCATTAAATAAATTAAGTTCGAGGTTCAAATTGGCGCCCCAGCAACCTACCCAATCTCCAGCGGTATATATTCCGGTTGATAGTATGCCGCAGCCGCATTTTGATAGAGACCGTACTCAGCACTGGATCCATTGTGCCAGCCAGCGGCTGGATAGCTGAGCGCCGACGGAGCATTCAGCACATTGGTATAGAGTTGATGGGTAGGTGAGGTGGGTGTTGGATGGTAGACTTGATGGGTAGGTGCTCCATACGTTTGTGGAGAGCTCGCCGCAGCCGTGCCACTTGAATAAAGATCGGGCTGGCTCATGTTGTACTGGTGGCTGTGCGGCGTCAGATGGTGAATGGTATAGCCGGGCGAGGGTGTGGTATAGCTTGGAGAGCCATTCGTTGGCGATGGCGAGTTGTGAGTGGCTGTGGATTGCAGTTGGTAATTATCAGCTATACGAGCTATGAATTTGTTTAAGGCGCTAGGCGGTACTTACAGATATTGCGGCTGCTGCAGACGTTAACGGGCATGGGGCCGGGCACACTGGTGGGATTCCAGTAATTACCATTGCTCTGCCAGCTGCTAGGATAGGAGAATACCGGGGCGGTGGAGCTGGACTCGACCGGCATGAAGCCAGCCTGCGAATAGGAACTAGTAAAGCAGCCACCGCTGCTACTGCTACTGGCAATGACGCCCGCACTGACCGATCCAGACGACGATGACTGCAGACTTGTGGGCGTTTGTGGTGCCGACGGCGGCTGTGGTGATGAGGAGGAGGCATTGCCTGCACTGCCATTGGAGCCAGAGCCTGACAGGACGCGAGGACGTGCATAGGGCGTGGCGCGTGTCGGTGCAACACTACGGCTCGACAGGGAGCGCCCGTAGCGATCGCATGTGGCCGACGATGCAGCCGCTGTTGTAGGGGTTGGCGCCACCAGATTATGTGTCTGCGTCATAGGTAGTGGCGGGGGCGGCGCAGATACCGTAGCGGCTGCAGCAGCGCTCGCATAGTGACTCGGTGGCGGTATGAGCCAACCGTAGTGTGTGTCGTGCGGATAAAGCGTATCTGGACGCTCCTTGGCATCCAGAAAGGCCTTGGCAAAGGGATTGTACTTGATCTTCAAAGACGTTACCTCCTCATTTTGGTAGGCTGTGACCGCAATGAACTGCGTCTCGGGGAAAGGATAGGTGACCACATGACGTTGCTCGGAGCCAACACGCACCAAATGAACACGTGGCTCATATTTGTGCAACGAGTTCAACATTATCTTTAAGGAGCAAATAAAGACTGAATATTATATTGATATGAGAAAGTGAAACTGAACCTTACCTGCCCATTGCCATTGGTTTTGTTCGTTAGTTTCACTTTTGCAAATGAAATCGGCTCCTTCATCCAGTGGGCACCAAAGTTTGGAGATTCTGGATGCACATAAATAGGATTGGAAGGCGGTACTTCTGCCTTCCCACCGGGCACCTGAACGAAATCACAATTTAAATATTACAACTAATTAGTATATTTAATGTTTATTAAATTGCAATTTATTAAACAGTCCAGCTAGCAGATTGGCGAAGCAATTGAAATACAACACGCCTGTGCCAAATGGCTTAAGAATTCTATCTAGGATATATATGTATTTAAATTTAATTTTAACTTTTAACTTTAACTTTTTAATTGTGTGTGGTATGGGCATAACAATTTTCATATCTGAGCCATGGGCGTAGCCAGGATTTAGTCCAGGGGGGGGCAAACATTTTTTTGGGCTATTTAATTTTCTAAAAAGAAGCTAAAATAGAATGGGAGCCGTATCTGGGGTGGGAGCAGTTATCAAAAGAACGTTATGGCAGATAAAGAAATCTAAAATCATTTTGTTTCGACAGTTCAGAACTGAAACTGCATTTTATACTGTTATACTAAAACTATTTAAAAGAGACAATAATGCACAACGTTTTAAAATTAGTCGCATTAATATATCACAAATTCAAATTTGTGTGCAAAATTTTTGATGCGTTCAGAATCTATGGGGGGAGGGGGGGGGGGGGGGCAGCTGCCCGCTTTGCACCCCCCTCGCTACGGCCATGATCTCAGCTCGTTTATAAAGCCGGCTTCCTTTTTATTGCATATCGGAATTTTTCTGGTGACTAAAATTTGATTATTCACTTTAGCATTGCAATAAATAATACTTTGTCAAACGCCCGTTGACTTTAGTGACTTTGTCAATGCGCTTCAAATGCTTGGAATGGCAGGAGCAGGTATTGAGATATGTTTATCAATTCCATGATGGGATATGATCTCTTGTATGGGCTGTATGCGTTGTCAACTTTGCAGGCAATATGCTGTTTATACAAATCTTCGGACTAGAAGATTATTGAATAAAAGTTTAATTTAGACTAAAAGGAATTAACTATGCATTCCTAAAAATCGTTGAATGCAAATATTTTTATAATTTTCTTTATAGTGCCCATTTTCTATGTACTCTAAACATTGAAGATCTGTTGGTCTAGATCGAGGATGTTATAAATATAATTTTAATTTTTTTAATTAGCGTGAGCAGATTCTCTCTTTGCCCGAAGCAGATGCTCTGTAGAGGTCTTATAAGGTTCGTCCATTCATTTGACTTTTTTGAACAGCGCTGCTCTCTCATTAATACAAATCTGCTAAATTATCGTCTACCTCATTTGCAATTTGCATGCTGGCTGCATAAATGCAAAACGTACGTCATAAGATTACATACCCATTCGCCATTGACGTATTTCCAGCGGTGTGTGTCGACCTGCACGAACTCCAATAGCACGGTGTACATGGCCGCCGGATCTAGGCCGGAGGCGCTGATTTTCACCACCGGAAACATGCGCCTGCAAAGAGCAAATGGAAATGCAATTAAAAACGGTCTGGCCCATGCACGAGTATTTGTCTATATAACAGTTATATAACAGTTTAAGTAAACCAGCTAGAAATGAGACTGCAAACAACTGTTGGAGGCAAGTTTTTTCCATTTGGGCTTTTCGTTTTTTCCACTTGCTGCATGTTTGCCGAGCGTTTCGTCTTTTTTCATTTCTTTTTTTTTTTCTTGTGTGTCTGGGCTTGAGCTGAGTTTGCCGTTGGCTCTGGCTTTAGCTGTGGTCTTGTACTTGTATCTTTGGCAAATATTGAACCGCTGACGCTGACGCTGACGCTGACGGGCAGTCCGCTGTTCTACAACAATTAGTACAAGATGGCGGACGGGGCCCGGCCCCAGAGCTGGGCATGTTGCCGAGCCGTGCTAATTAGCACTTTACGGCTCCGACCAAGTTCTAAGCGCGCGTTTTGCACACACACGAGCACAAGCACTCGCACACATGCTTAAATATTTTTAGTTATTTCAACAAATATGTATGTAAATAAATATGCGCAGCCACAGAAACGTTAACGATTCATTATAGCTTGCAAACAACAAAAACGCCAAAACATTGCAGCACAAAAACAAAAGCGCAAAAACTGAGCAAAGCAAAGAAAAAACTCATTGCCAATTTGCATAGGAAAACAAAAATACGCGTCGTTCGGCCATTTAACACGTTTTGGCAGAAGCAGCAACAACAAAAATATATACATACATATAAATTACTGACTCACTCACTCACCTGCCATTCTTCGTGACGATCATCTCATTGGTGAGATTCTGGAAGCGCAGCCACAGCTCACGATCATCCAGCGAGACGCGCAGGTTTCGATCCATTTCATTGGGGCTGCCGGCGCCACCGCCTCGATGCACACCAATTCCAATTCCGACACCGCCCCCGCCCCCACCGTTGCCAACAGGACCGCCTACGCCACCAGCCACCATACCAACACCACCGCCATGTCCATTGTGCACAGCATGCTGTGGCGAGCCGCCGGCTGAGGCCGTCGCATTGCCATTAAGAGTTGCACCACCGCCTCCGCCTCCACCTCCACTCAAGCCCGTTGTGGGATCCACGGCGGAAAGTATGTGCGATGTGGTCATATCTTCTGAAATGAAGGAAAAGGCAAGCGCATCAGGCAAATATACTTTATAAAGTTACCGCATCAAAAGCGTCTTTTATTCACCACTACGATGTCCAGACACACCGACGCACAATGGCCCCAAACCCACACCCATCTGGTTAGAAAGTAATGCCACTAGAGTCTAAGCAACTAACTTTTGATGACCAGTAATTTGAGCCTGTTTCCAATATTATAAAGAAATCCTCGTACAAAAAAAGTATGTAGCTCTTAAAGATTTTGTTTGGATTCAACTCGAAAAGAGAGTTTTAGTTCCGCTTTATTCTGGCTTAAACAAGATAGAAGACGGCTTTCACGTAGTTGTTCATTCTCCTTGATGTACAAATCTTAACTCGGATTGTGACAATTTATATTTTTCACTCTATACATACTTGTATATGAGAAGCGACTATTATTGGCGTCCTTTTGAAAGAGTTATCCAGATACGACTTAGGTGTTACTGCAGAGATTCCTCCATGATCTGTATTGATTTGCTATTATTTAAGTATTTCAATCCAAATTTAGAAAAAAATCTGATCAATTTGAATAGTCCAAATATGTTGTTTACAGAATTCGTTTTCTCTTATGATAAGATAGTTCAAGAAATATTCTTCTATCCTACTTATTTATCTCAGTCTAGTAGTAGGTTGCTCTGAAAAACCATTATCACCAAAAGGGAAACAAACAACTCGTACATCCACATACACAAAGAGTAAGCACTTTTATTGATTTTTCATTTGGATTTTTGATTTGGGACCACTGTGCGATGGGTCAGCGCCTTTTAAACCTTTTACAACAGCAACAAGAAAGAGCCGTCTGTACGGTGCTGTGATGTGTTGTGTTGTGTTGTGCCGTGCGGTGCCGCATTAGAAGATTGCCGTCTTGGCCGACTCTCTTGTCGGCTTTTAATTATATTGCACACTTTAGCTCCGGCTGCGAAGACCGCAACTCAGACTCGGAGAGATGCTGAGCTGGCCGAAACCGACCATAAAGCAGCAGCGGGCACCCTTTTTATTTATGGTCGCGGCAGCTCTCAACAAAACACCTCTGTTTGCTGCCAACCCGCCCCGAGCTCCGGCCACGACCATGAACCATTGTAAAAGCAGCCAAAGCAGCCAAAGCAGCGAAAAGATTTCAAATGAATTTCATTGCACGTCGCTTGGCTCTGATGTCTAAATTCTGAAAGTGTTTCTGGCAATGTTTTGTAATCATAAATTAACAAAGTGTATTAATTGTTTTGTATGTTTTTATTGTGCCACGAAATTGGATGCTCTTGCCGACGGCATACCAGAGTTTTGGCTCTTCCACAAAATCGAGGACCTTTTACAAGCCGTACATCTGGTTTTTACTTCCCCACATATTCGTTCTGTATTGTTCATAAATATTTCTGATTGAATTGTTCAGGCATTCGGAATTTGGTTTGTTTTGATTTATTTTTTTGTTCTGTCGATACCATCGCATATTAAAGAGGCTGACAGCCATAAACGGTTGGTCGCATAAATTTGTCACGCATTTAATTTGTAGACAGCGATGCTAGGTTTTAAATTATGTAAATTAATGAAATAAATCATATTTTATTGTTGCTGCTACTAAAAAATAATCAATCAAGCCTAATAGGTGCTTTGTTTATGATAGGAATCGTAGCAAATCCATCAAAAGTTTGGCAAAATTTGTAAGCCTGTTTTAATTTTTCACTTTGAAATTAATTTCGCAAAAAGACTGCGAATTCAAAACATCCTTAAGCATTTAAATGTATAATAGATATTGAATGAGCAATATAATTTTAATGGAAATGAGAGCAGGTGCCAAACAAAATTTTAAAATAACAATTAGGACCTAATACTACAAACTATTCTTTCTACACTTGTTATTACCTTAAGCTTAATTTTATATTGTAGAAGATTTAAAATATCAATTTTTAATAAAGATTAAATTAATAATAAAGATATGTCGACAATGGACCAGAAAGAGAGTGTTGCACTAAACGATTTAGAACGATTTATGAGCTGGATAGATTTGAACATGATATTACACTTTTCACATTTAAATTAAATATGAGAATGTCTGCGTGTATTTAGTTTCATGAATTTAATAGCTACCTGTAACAGATTCCTTTCTTCTAAAACCAATTGACTCCTATTTGTATTTGCATTTCCTAACGCCAGTCGCAGATTTAGCCACGTGAGCATATTAATTACGAATCTGGGTGTAAAAGTCTTTTCAATTGCTATGCGTAAGTTGTCTAAAAACCTCAATCACATCAGCTTTACCAGTCGATACAGCTGAATAGATGGAGCTCATGTGACTATGTACGTCTATACTATATACTCGTGTAGTATACATATAGTATAGGCATGGCACACAACCATGGGCATGTCGGGTTGGATGTTACCCTCATATTTGTGTTCCACTTGAATCCACACCATTCCATCACTAAGCTTAATGAAAAGCGGTTTTTGTATCGTTCATTGTATGTTTGGGCATATGTGTGCGTGTGTTTGTTAGTGTGTGTGTGCGCGCATGTGTGTGTACTTTGACTTTGATGGCTGCCATGCCTGTTTGGTGATTTTTTTCCCGTCCATTTTTCTTGTTGATTTTTGAATGATTTCGTGACTTTGATATTTGCTTTGACTCTTTGAGATTATTTTTTTGTTGAAACGATTTGTGTATAAAATATTCACGCTCATTGAAATCGAAGCGAAGCTTTTAGAAATTGTTTTGCACTGACAGTGTTTAATGATTTCAGGTGGAGGGTATTTTTGGGGCTTCTTTGTTAGGCGAACACGTTATTTAAGTGAAATGTTCTACACTCCGAACGCCTATGGAAGGCTTAGAATGCTTTGAAAGATATTTGGGACTATCACCATTGTCATGTCGTATAATTTCTATTAATACCTATAAGTAAAACAAATCCATTTGACGAAGACCCAAATATCTCGTAATATTGATGTTCTTTTAGTTAAGTGGAGACGGCTTTTTCTATGATTTTGATTAGCACGTCTAAATGTTAATTAGTTTTTCCTATTATTCATCTTCCCTAATGACATTTTATCACTTGATTTCTCTTTTTGATTGATTTCTTAAGAAGTCCAATTGAAAAGATTTTAATTAATTCAAATACAACATATTTCTATAGAAAAACGTTCCAATTTAATGTCTTGATTATAAAGATATACTATATGTATGTAAGTGGAGCATACTTTATGAACTTCTAGCGATTGGTTGATACGGTTTAGAGAAAAAATCAATTTGGTTTCTTACCGCACCTGCTTTTTGTATTATTTTCATGTATTTCACAATAAATGTACACATATAGTTTTGGAAAAACTAAGAAAACAATATTATTGAAATAATAAAAAATACATTTTCCAACTACATACTAAAAATAATATATTTTTAAAAATAAAAACTCCATCCAACATTTCCTATGTTAAGAACTGTTGATCTTTAATTTAGATACAACAATCCTATTCCCAAACTTTAACAAAATTATTTTTTATGTAAATTTATAAATCCGACGTGGGACCCATCTTCTAAAACATATTCATTTCGTACTAAAATCTGGAAACTGTCTTAGATTGATTTATAAAGCTTTTTTCAATTCATTGAACAGTAGTTTATTCTTTTCCATGGGATAGGTATAACATTTTTTAAAGATTTTTGATCTGTTATGTCACCATACTACTATTTTGAATTATTTCATTATATATTTAATCAAATTTCTTCCTTTGCCCCAAAATATTCGATTTATAGTATAAACGTGTACTTCATGAAAAGAACGGAATATTAAATTTTATGTAAATATGTCCAGCGCATTTCTGCTTTTTTCAAATATGTTGATATAAATTATACACAATTTTTTAAATCAAATATCTGCATAGTTAGGCAAATATGTGCCTTTTAAAATGTTTAATTTACGTAACATTCATAAACTCATAAACATTCAACGCTATAAATAACTTTATTTCCTTTTTTATGGCCCATTCATTTAATATAATATTCAAATTCATTTAATTTATGAAGACATTCTTTCTCGGATTCTATACGTATATTGTTAGATTTGAACATTTAATTCAGAAGCGGTGATGCGTTTTTCAAACTTTGACATTTCGAATGCTAATGCAATAAATGGAATTGAAAGTGAAGAAATGTGTAGGGGTATTTAATTATTGGCTGATAATGGTGAATCCGAAAATCTGCTTGTGTATTCCACTTCACACTTCGCAAGGATACTAATTCGGTTGCATTTCGCACCTGCTAAGGATGCTCGGCGCTGTTGGTTGCCTTTGGCAGCTTATCAGGGGCGATTAAAACGAATTTGCTAAATTTCACACTTCACTGCGCATAAAAATAAAACAGAATTGTTGAATTTAGTTCGGCAGGGAGCCTACCCGAGCCTACCCACGCATTCGAAAAGTGCTTCCCAATTCCCCCGGCGTGTGTCAAAACTGTCACCCGTAGAAGAATAAAAGATAAGGAAACAGTTCGACTCACACATGCGAGTGTGTAAGTGGGCGTATGTGGGTGTGGCTCACAATTGACTGACTACCGTTTAATAATTGTCACACTTTTGTCTTTGTTATTTTTATTCTGTACGTTTTTTTTGTCGCTTCTCTCGGGCTGTGTGTTTTGCACACTTGAAGAGCCCGAGCCCGAGCCCGACCCCGAGACCGACTGCCATTAATAAACGCACTTTATGAGTCGCGTACTAAAATTTTGTACAAACTGTAATTAATTAGTAAGCATTTGTCAAGTACTAAACGCGAGTCGCTTTGGGGGCTTCCTTGGGTCTCTCTTTTTATGTCTTTTGATTTCGTATTTAATAGGATAATTTTCACATGCTTCGTAATTGGATGGCTGTATTGGGTCTGCTGTTTAGTGTCTGTTTCTACTGTTGCTGTTGCTACTGCTACTGTTATTATTATTGTTGTTGCTGTTATTGCTGATGTTGTTGGCGGTGCGTGCGGTCTGATTAAAATGCCTGCGGCAGAGGCAGAATCCGTGGCAGCGGTAACAGCAACTTGGCAAATTCTTATGTCCCTACTAATTTGCGTGTGAATTTTTGCCTCGAACTCTGTGGTCGCGTGGGTTGCGTTGCGGCATCCGCCTCTGCTGTTTTATATTATTAGAGTTATTATTAGGATCATTAATATGAGTTTTTGTCACTTGGGCGCTGGATTTTTGGACAAGTGTCAAAATTTGTGTCTTGTGAATTTCGGCGCTTGTTTTCTATTGTTTAGATTATTTTGTTTGCTTTTCACACGTGTTATTTAAATAGCTTGACCAATTTGTTGGTTGATTGGATGCATTTCTAGTAAATACAGCTATTTATAAGCTAGTCGCAGCCAAGATTATGCAAACTGTACGCAAAGCAGCCAAACAGTCCATTTAGTGGTATAATTTATAATTTTGTGTTTTTATCGAGCAGAACTCTTGCCGATTACGTTTAAATTAAAGCAGTATCAATATTTGCAATTATGACTGAAAGACTTTTATTATTTAACATTAAGCAATACTTATTTATTTATATTAAAATTCACCCTTTCCAACATTTGAGCTTGATGGAAAATACAATACGCAGCATATTTAATTCGAATTCGAAATTAGTTTAACATGAAATTTAGGGGCCAATTTTTTCCATGATTTGTTTTTATTAAAGCAAAGTAATGAAGCTCTCAAGGATCTGGATACGTATATCGGCGTTAAAATAAAAACAAACTATGCGCACATCACTAAAGTTTTAAATTCGAGACTTTTTATATAATTTATTAAAATAAGAACTTTTTCAACACTCTCTGAATACAATATATACATAAAATCCTCCAATGCTGAACGGTCTGCCAGCCTAATTAAGTCCTAATGCATTGCGTGATATGCTCAGCCTTAACATATATCTCTATTATGTCTTATTTTTTGGTCACCGATGTACGTGCCGTCGGAATACTAATTACATGTGCAGCCTTCCAACGCAAGGAAGCCAATCGTATTGTTTTTCTCCTATATCTCTTTATTTATATTCTAGGACATGGTGTAATAACTGCCACACAGTTGACAGTTATATTTTTTGAATAGTTCAAATTTTTAAAATAATCTAAGTGTCGAAGAATTACGTCGAGCTCCTTTTATACATTCTACTTAGAACAACAAAAATGGGACTAAGCTGAGAAGTTAAGAAAGATTCAAGTTTATATTTAGACTTATTCATGAAATGAGAACATGGGTTCTAAACGTAATCAGAAGTGCCTTTTTTGTTAAACGATTGAACATACTACATTTTTAACTAGAAGAGCTAAAAAAGAGCTACTCGATTACTAGAGGAACGATCCAAACCACCACTAGAATTTGGCATTACTTTTTGTTTATGTTTGAAATTTATCTGGTCATATATTTAAAAATGAATGTGACTTTCTTTAATTGTTACACATTGAAAATCACCAGAATACTTACGGTGATGTCGCGAACCCAAGGCGAGTTCAGCAACCTTAAATTATACTTTTATTTGCCTCTATTTGCACTAGAAGCTCCATGTTTAACTTACAATTTTTAAATACAGGCGTATTCCTTGTGCTCGATGGGCACACTTTGCATTATCCTCTGGGAAATTGTTTAATTGCACAGAATTGCTGTGAAAGTTCACTAAAACACCGTTTTTCACAGTTTTTGTTACTTAATAATTTTACTTTTTGGAGGCTGTAGCCGTTCCAAGTTCAAAACACTAGAATCGCGCTGCGCTTGCAACGAATTTTCTTTGGGAACGTTTTCGAGTCACCGATTGCCGCACCGTCAACTGTGTTTGCGTTGCCACCGTTCCCGAGCTAATGATCGACGATCGGTGCTAATTTTTTCAGCCATCACTGCCACTGCCGCTGCCGCAGTCTGCTGTGTTTTCTATTTCTCATTGACCACATTGCCCATCTTTTTCACGCTTAATGCATTTGTATTTGGCTCAAATGCCCATCACCTTCAATGGCGGCAGCACTGATCCCATCATTGATGGAACTAGTGACGTCTCGCTTGCTCGCACGTGCTGTGTGCCTTGGCGATCGTTGCTAGACCACACCCACCTCTAATGCAGGTAGGCACGGGTGGCTCAGTCGCACCCGCTCGTTGCCCAAGCCGGCCATCATTTGGACTTGGCAACAGGTAAAACGAAGCATTCAGTGTGGCCTCAGGTTTCAGGTTTTCATAAACATGCAACTCAGACAGACGAACGGGCTATGGGCTCGTGCGTGATTGCTTAAAGTTGGATGTCTGCCATCTTTCGGGGCGCTTACACCGCCAGAGCTTTGTCGCTACACTTACTCGCCTACAAAGGGTCATAGCCTGATTCTCTAATTCTATTTTTCTCTTCCTTTACTTACTTGTCTGTTGTTCGGCGCTCCCGCCTAACTCGATTCGTTTTACATGCGCCAGAAATTAAGTGAAACGTGATTCAAGTGTGTACACATACAAAAATATAAAAACTAAAATCCACGTAACCTACTAAGTCGTGTTCGTATGTACCTGCCGCCAATGTGTATATATACATACATATGTATGTATGTATGGGTGTGTGTATATGTCTGGCCTGCCCGCTGAGTGACTGACTGGCTTTGATTTGTTTAGACGCTCGTTTTCTGCTTTTGTTTGCGCAACCAATTAAAACTTTGTATTTTTTTCCACCAGCTTTGTGTGTGTTGTTGGCCCGATGAGTGTGAGAAACTGGTTTGTAGTTCAAAAAGCATGTTTTTCTCTACTCTTTGATATATGTAGTATGTACCCACCTATGATTTATTTGAATTTTCAGTTGAAATCCGAGCTACAGGCACTGCACTGCACTCCACTGCATACATCAGCTCTCATGAAAATGTTATCCAAAGAATTCAAGAGGCGGGAGCTGAAACTGAATGGCAATTTAGGTTCTCATCTCGCAAATACGCCATAAACGACGCACTTGATATGATTTGATTTGATTCGCTTTGGTTGGGGTGTTAACGCTTTTACGGTTTTATTGAGTGGTATAAATGAGCACTTTCGATCGAATTAGAGAGAAATAAAGCGAAGCGCTTAACTCAGCAGTGGTTTCACCCAAATTATTACTGCTGCTGTATTTTGCAATTGGCTGCTCCCGAAAATGCCAATTCCTCAAAACTTAACCAATTCGGAATAACAGTCTAGTTTATATTTTCAATCAAAATGTGATTATAATTATTTAATTACAGGGTATTTTATTACCATGTACTCGTAATATTATTCGCTTTATACTGGATTGTCAATATGAATCATTATTGCGATATTAAATAAAATTGTGTGCATTAAAGGCTAGTCAATAAATTTTTCTCTTGTAAGCCTGTAGTACTTTAAAAATAGATTACAAACAATATTTTGTTGTTTAAGCTGCAGTTTTGAATAATTTGAATTGTGTATTTCGTTTCTAAATTTATTCATATATGTATATTTGGAAATAAAAACAATTAAGCAAACAATTGCCAGTACTTACTCCATTCAATTAAATCCGTAAATCACTTTTCAATCAATATTGTATCTGTCTTAATAAGTATTTATGAATAGTTTATTTTGAAGAAAACAAAAATCGTCTTAGAAAAATCTTAACAAAATCGAAGAGCTCTCTTTGATAGATAAATATATGTACGCTATTTTAAGACAACAGAAGCCTTGTCACCCAATCTGAATTCGGTATGAGGTTGTTTATTTCATATTAATTTACATAGACGAGCTGGCAGAGCACAGTTTTTGTGCAATAGAATTGCTTTTGATTTTATTACCTGTTATTGAATGTGGAGCGTAAAACGCGCAACATTATTGATTTAAAAATAAATTCGGTTTATTGCACTGCGTATTGTTTTTAATTTGCATGCTAATTGGCAGGTCAAAGTTATTTAAGCTCGGAATCATATGAATATTTTGTTATTTAAATACGTATAGAAATCGATCATGTTTACTGCCGCGCACTTGTCAGGCGATATTTTGTCATTTCGTCATGCAGTTAGATACGAAAAATAATATAAAGTGTAGTTTATAGAAGCTGTTCCACTCCAATTGCGAGCATAATGGTAAACAGAACAAAATATATTTGTGGCCCGTGGAAAGAAGAAAGTCAACCAAGCTGAGCTGATTGATGGGAACGGACAACAAAAACTACGATCAAGTGACTTTCTCGGATATCTGTTGTTCGTTTTTCGAATTATTTACAACTTTGTCGTGTCTTTTGGAGATCATGCGGCGTTTGGGCTGATGCTGTTGTCTTGGCCTTTTTCCCAAACATTTCTTTATACTCGCATGTTTTTTCTCAAGTTGCCGCCTCAAGTCATTGACTGTACACTGTTGAGGGGGGAACACAAAATAGTTGATCACTCTGTGGCGCTGAAAATCAAACAACAGCAAAAAAGTTCAACACATAAATGAGAAAAATCAACAGAGAATGAAATTCAATAAAAAAAAGTTATATACAAGTAGAGAACTAAAGAAATATAATGGAAAATACTGCGGCACGGCTCACATACCCAAGAAAAATAAGAAGCAGCAAATATCTAAAATTTATCTATTTTTGAGCGGCGCGTGAATTAAATTCGATTGGTTAGATCAGGTATCACCAGTACTCAGATATTTGCCGCGCTATCCCATCGTGCAGTGGTCATTCATTCAACGGCATGTGGTCGCCACAATTTCATTAAGAAACTAAACAGTGGACAGCTTCCAGGAAATGAAATCTGGGCTGCAACACACGCGCAAAGCTCGAATGGTGAATCCTTTTTTGTGACCTTGCTCTAAATACTTACCGCACCGCTTTGTGTCGGCGTTTTGTGCCGTTTTATGACAAGTCCTTTCTGTGTGTTTGCAAACAATTCGGTTTTATGGCACAGTCTAAGCGAATTTCCCCGCGCCTCAATTAGGCTGAGGTTGTAAACTCATAAAACAAACAAGCGAGAAAATTGTACCTAAAATGAGAAACGGGATAGCCGACAGACATGCAGACATATAGACAGGCGGGCAGGCAGGAAAGCGGCACTGTTCGTTTACAAAGGATGCGCAAGGATCTGACCATTAGGCTGCTGTCGTCGGTAAAACCCAAACGAAAGACTAACAAAGTTTTGTGCGCATTCTTTATTGGTTCCCTTTTGAACCGGGTTCGTGTTCCAAGTCTTTCGTTTCTTATCATGTTTACATACACACACACAGATGCACACTGGCAATCTACAGTAGGCCGTGTCCATTTACCTTCTACTGCGCTGTCACTCTGTTATCTGCTTTGCCTAGTTCCACCCCCTTGGCCCATCATTGACGCCGGCAGAGACATCGGCATTGGCATCAGCACCAACATCAGCACCAGCATCGGCATCGAGAGTTGCGCCCGCTGGTCTATTTGCCTTTTGTGCTGCTTCTTTGGCCAGACTCATTTGCATATTTGTGCCCGACATGTTTGGATTTCTTGTGCCCTCGGCTTGGCCAGTGCGCTCGAAAAGACTGTAACTTGTGTTTTCGTTTCGCTTAAAGCATGTTTACATTTCCCGCTGCCGCCCTGCCGCCCTGCTCGCCTTTCCAATCGCTTGACCAACCGCTCTTTCTTCCTCCTCTACTACTATGTATATATATATACGCACAGATACTCGTACTTTGCTGTTTACACAAGCAATCTGTTTGCAGCGCTGTGGCGTTGGGTTTTCGTGGAAATTGCCAGCTTTTAGTTAATAGGCTACGATGCTTGTGTGCGTCTAAAGTTAGGAATGGCGATAGCTGTCACCAGAGTATTGCACAAAAATTAATCGTCCACGTAAAGTTGAACTCTGAAGGTAGAATAAGAGTTGAGTTGAGAACATATCATGCAGTGTCGGAACACTTTGCATTTACATATATGTACATATATGTGGATAGCTAAATGTGTTTGTTGATGTCAAGTAAGTTGGCTCCATGTTGGTAATTGAGTTTTGAATTTCAGACAACTATGTACAATCTTTCATCCATTTAATCTGTCATTTTCTCTTAATAAACCGCAAATTGTAAGCAAAACTTTCACCTCTGGGTCTTCATTTATATGAATTTTCCAATTCTATTTAAACGTTCTATTTAAAGGTCGAAAATAAGTTAAATAGACTTCTAAGGAAGATAAACCACTGGTTTAGTATTCATTTTCTTTTTAATTCAGAAAATTCAATTTTAATTTAATCACTCTTTTTAAACACATTATGAATCTACAAGTGAGGTAAATATATGTATCTTAATGTTAGCTTTTCTACTGCATTAAACAATATGGAGAAATAAAAAAAGTTAATGAATTGAAAATGAAAGGCGAGAAAAATTATTAAAAAACATAGCCATTAAGCTTTAATGACTTAAACCTAACATAATACTACACCCTTTTAATTCAAAGTCTGAAAAAATATTCTAAATACTTGTGGTATCATGTTTCAAGCTGTCTGTCTTTCTTGTTTCAAATGTGTTCAACAGTGGAAAGCTTTTAAATAGATTTGTGAAGTGTTTCATTACAAGTAGATGCTACTTTTTTCATTTGCTAATTATTTTCTTGACATCTTCATTCATAATCGTAGATATTTATTGTAACTAATTGTTACACAAACTTAGACTTTATCCCTTTATTTGGCATAATAAAAGATTGATACTGGCCTCTTATATAAAGTATTAATGCGGAAAGGTTTTTTCTATTTTTATTCTACTTCTACTTAAAAGTTTACTTGACTTTGGTTTCTTGATAGTTTTTTTTTCACGTTTAAATTTGCATAAATAAATAACATTAAAATCAAATTTAGGTAAATAAAAGAAATAAAAATAGAGAAAATTCAAAAATATTCTATTCCATTTTTAACACTTAGTAATCAATCGTAATCCATCAATGTTAGATTAGTGATTAGCACAATGGGTTTTGTACACCAGGTCTCCAATTTGTGAGGAGGGAATGCACTCAGTGTATATAAATAAATAAGTTTAATTACATTATATCTCAATAGCATGGATTTAAAACAATCAAAACGAGATAAATAATCGATGGACTTCAAGTTTGAAAAGACCATAAAAGGAAGTTCTCTTTTAAGTTTTGTTTGATAAACACAAAAAATAGATAATTAACATCCCATCGTAGATTTATTTGTCACTCACCAGTTTCAAGTAAAAGTAAATATTTGTAGTAATTGTAAGAAACGGGACTTGTGCGATATTTAACTTGGCCTAGATACCGCTTACGATGTATCGCGCCAGTGCTGTTGGCAAAACTGTCCGCCAGGCCTCAAAATGGCTGTACGGATGGCCCTTCCGCTATTTCCATGCGAGTCCGGCAAAGCGGGACGAGTACTCCATGTGTGACCACAACTATGACGCTATTGTGATTGGGGCGGGTGGAGCCGGAATGCGGGCCGGGTTCGGTCTGGCCGAGAAGGGATTCAAGACGGCATTGATATCAAAACTTTTTCCGACACGCTCCCACACGGTTGCTGCCCAAGGCGGCGTCAATGCAGCCCTCAGCAACATGGATAAAGACGACTGGAAGTATCATTTCTACGACACAGTTAAGGGCAGTGACTGGCTGGGGGATCAGAATGCCATACACTACATGTGCCAGGAGGCGGAGGCGGCTGTGTACGAACTGGACCATTACGGCATGCCTTTTTCACGCAAAGAGGATGGCAAAATCTATCAGAGACCGTTTGGGGGCCAAACCCTGGGATATGGCAAGGGTGGAGTGGCACGTCGGGCCTGTGCCGTCGCCGATCGAACTGGACACGCTCTCATACACACGCTGTATGGCCAAACACTGAAGTATGCCGATCTGTGTCATTATTTCGTGGACTATTTTGTGCTGGATCTAATTATGCAGGACTGTAAGTGCGTGGGCTGCCTGGCCTGGAAGCTGGACGATGGCACATTTCATCGCTTCATAGCCAAGAACACGATCGTTGCTGCTGGCGGATGTGGTCGTGTCTACTTTTCGACCACAGCCGGTCATACGTGCACCGGCGACGGCAATGCTTGGATCTCTCGCCAGAACCTTCCGCTGCAGGATATGGAGTTTGTGCAGTTTCATCCGACGGGAATGTACGGTGCCGGCTGCCTCATCACCGAGGGAGTCCGTGGCGAAGGTGGCTTCTTCATAAACTCTAAAGGCGAACGTTTCATGGAGCGGTACGCTCCCGAAGCTAAGGACTTGGCCTCTCGCGATGTCGTCGCCCGTGCTATGACGCTTGAGGTGCTCGAAGGCAACGGCTGTGGACCACTAAAGGATCACGTACACTTGCAGTTACACCACATCGATCCCAACATAATCCGTCAACGTCTGCCGGGCATTGTGGTCACCGCCAGGATATTTGCCAAGGTGGATGTGACCAAAGAGCCTGTGCCGGTGCTGCCCACAGTGCATTATAATATGGGCGGCATACCAACTAATTTCATGGGCAAGGTGGTCACAATGGGTGACGACTGTAAGGAGAAACTTGTTGAGGGCTTGTACGCCTGCGGCGAAACCTCTTGCGCTTCGGTGCATGGCGCCAATCGCTTGGGTGCGAACTCTCTGCTCGATCTGATTGTTTTTGGACGCTCCTGTGCTCTGGACATTGCAAAGAATGGCTGCCCCGGCGAGGATCCCCCAAAGGTGGATGAGAAGGCCACTGAGAAGTCAATGGACAATTTCAAGAAACTACGTTGCGCCAACGGCAAAACGCCTACGGCCGCACTGCGTCTAGAATTGCAGCGCACTATGACCAAACATGCGGCTGTTTTCCGGGAGGGAAAATTGCTCAAGGACGGTCTGCTTAAGGTCGCCGAGCTGTGCCAGCAGTTCAAGGACATTAAAGTCACTGATCGCTCAATGGTCTGGAACACAGATCTAATAGAAACTCTTGAGCTACAGAACATGCTTGTAAACGCAGTCCACATCATAACCGCCATGGAGAACCGCAAGGAGTCACGTGGCTCGCATGCCCGCGAGGATTTCAAGGTCCGATTGGATGAATTCGACTACAGCTTGCCTTTGGAGGGGCAGAAGAAGAAGAAATTCGAAGAGCATTGGCGCAAGCATACACTGACCTTTGCTCAGGGGGATGAGGGCTGTGCCACCATCAAGTACCGTGAGGTCATTGATAAGACTCTCGATGACAAGCTGCCGTCCATTCCGCCAGCACCGCGCAAATATTAGAAAGCAACAAACCCGAAAACCCGCGATTATCTGTTAATTTTAATTTTTCCAATCAGCATTTCTACCAATTTAAATATACATATAATTATATACACTACAAGTAGTACAATGGCAATTAGTCTTCGTGTTCCTTACAGTCGCCTGCCTCCAGCCCTTGCTCCTCCCCGCTGGAGTTGTCATCAACATCAATTGTGCCTCCGACGTTCCTATCCTTCTCGTCTCGGGCATACATAACTTTTACTATTCCCGTGCATAGGCGCCAAAGCAGGTAGCTGAGGATCCAGGCGGTGCTGAGCAAGCTGGAAAACAAGAAGCACATGCACCAAGTTGCTCGCCGATAGTCATTGCCGACGGCGCCCGATCTCCATAGCTCGAGTGCTGCTTTGTATGCGAAAACAGACAGACAGGTCCATATGGAGGTCGGGTGCTGCCAGAATGGCAATGTGGGCATGCCCATCCACTCCTGCTGCTCAACCAGTCGGCGCAGTGTGTTGACATCATGGCTGCCCGCGAGCTTGCGGAACGCTCCATCCTTAACATGATAGATGGTGGGCAGAGCAACGACAGAGAGGCGGCGGAACAGAGAAGTTTCTCGCGACAGATTTACGAGGGCCGTGCCGATATTCAGACTGCGACCCACACTTGCCGCCAACTTGTGCCACATTAGCTCCAATCTCTTGCACTCGTCCCGATTCAGGGCACAGACACTAACAAGCCATTCACCATCAAGCAGAATGTCCCAGTTGCCTTCGTCGATCTCGATAACGGGCCCCTCGTTCAGCCGACTTGGCGGACCTCGCCCACAGGCATCGTTTCTGCCCTGAAGATTGTGATAGTCTAGCGCGCTAGAGAGCGCAAGTGTAGGCAGAAGAAGCAGCACCAACGCCTTCAGCATTATTCAAATACAGAAATGATAATTTCCTTCTTGGCTGATTGGAAGAGAGCCGAAATCCTTTAAATTTTTTGTAATATTCTCAAAGCAAAATTGAATCAAAGGAATCAAACTCACACATACACTTAATAATTTACCTTCAAAATATTACACTTCAGAATTGCTTAGCTTCCAGGTGGAGATCTATGACCACCTACCCTCTAGCAACCATCCCTTTGTCCTTAATATGTTAAAGGTGAAACTTAATACAATCCAAGTAAATCCAAAATGTAATGCATTTCCATACCATTCCATGCTCGTCTAATAATTAAATGGTAGTATTAATGCTTTTTCCATAAAACGAACAGCAACCAGTCTGCGTGATAAGTGATAAGTGACTGGGTAAATATTTATAAAAGCAGACTTGTCGAAATAAGTATTGGGGCTTGAAACAAATGTTCAATTGTAATTTCCTAATCTAAGCATGTTTTCTGCCATGTTCTTATTATAAAACTTGAAATGATTTAATTCTATAAACCTTTAAGGGATCAACCTGCTTTTGCAAGTACCTGTTGAGACAACTTTATTTATTTTTTTTTTTAAACAAAAGTATATTGTAATATTTGAAAAGGTCCACAACAGACATAGTCTTAGCTATGATTAGTGTAGACTTGTTTGCAATCATTTTTAAAATTAGACAATAAGTCGTACAGCCTTGTTGCTTAGGTGTGTTTCAAAATCTGTTCGATTTGAATTTACGAAAATATACTAAGTATTAATTATAGGTCGTGGATGGCTTTCAAATTCGGAGACGACGTTGCAATACGTGTAAACATTCTTAAAATTTTATAAATATTTATATCAATTTATTTTATAATATAATAAATACATTAATAATTTCCCCCAAAGTATGAAAGAAGGGAAATATTTGCCCATTCTTCTAGCTATGATTCAGTTGAGACTATTGTGTAGTCAGACATGATTCCGGTAATAATTGACTTAACCAGTAATTCGAATCCACTCTTAGATGTACTTCTTCAAAGTGCAATTAATTTGCAAAGTAATGGAACTGTTCTTGATTTGTTTCTGCTGTTCTAGTGCATTATTAATTCAAGTGTTTTGTTTTATGCAATAACCCCTGAAGAATGCATGTAGAACAAACGCCCACACGCACACCGGATGTGGGACAAAGGACGCAGGACACCATTGGCGCCCAGGGCCCACGTCTGCGACTGCTCCTAATGACCACAATAAATTATATTCATTTAGCAGCATTTAACATACGAAAAAGGAGCAGCAAGCTCTTGTTAAAGAAATAATTTATGGTTGTTGAAAACTTAACATGTTCATTTCGGCGCGCGTGTTTGTGTGGGTGTTTGTGTAATAATGGCGCTTGTTAGGGCATTTTGATGTGTATGTAGTAGTTTTGTGTGTGTGTGTGTGTGTGTGTGCGAATAAAACGCCAACAACAAGCCACATAAATACTTGCCTACACAAACAATAACAACAAGGAAAACGAAGCAACCCCAGCAATTTTGCTGCCTACAACAAAGCAATGGAAACTATTTTGTATGCTATGTGTGTGCTCTATTCTATATACAAACATATAGTATAGTGTGTGTGTGTGGTGTCCACCATTTTTATTGTTGTTTCTGCTTTTGGCGGCACAAAATTACTGTTGCACACACATTTGCCTGCGTTAAATTGTCTCACAACCAATACAAAGTGACCTTTTCATTTATTTTTATGATTGTTGGGGCGCCCTCCTCCAACAGACTCCTCATCTGACCAGAACCCAGAACCATAAAAAATGGCGCGCCAGCTCAACTTTGCTGTGGCAAAAATTGTTAGTTACAAAGCCGAAACAGCAAAAGTTCGTTGCCGGTTTGGTTCGCATTTTGTTGAGCTATACTTTTTGAGGTTTTGTTTTGTGCTCAGCTCGGTACGAATATGATACTTTATGGCTGGGTATTGCACAATGGAGGAGAAAATCGAAAATTTCGCTTTGCTGCTTTTCTGCTTTTATCTCTGTCAGAAAAGGGTCGTGTCTTCAAAATTCATATAAGCCGTTAAGCACAGCACAGACAAAAGGAGCAGACTGCGATGGAATAGAGCAATGGGGAAATACCAACACTACTGTTTCTGCAACAAGTTTTACTATTAGTTGTATCTTATTTTATTGTTTTAACATGTTTATTAGTCTGTTATCAAATATAAATGATTGTACACTTATTGGCTTCATTCCTTTACTGTGGTAGCTGTGTGTAAGATGCTTCTATTCATTCAGGCAAATACTTTGTAATAGAATGTGGACTCTAACTTCTTTGAGAGAATTGAGTAATTATGAAAAGATTTAAATCACTAGGTTGTTGGGAAAGTTGGAAATAGTTGGTATGTAGTATAAAGTATATACACTCTTGGCTAGTTTTAGTTCAATTCAAATACATTTAACAAAATTGTGTACTCTCGTTGTACAAGAAAAGTTTTACGGGGAAATGTTTAGGGCATTCCAGTGTCTTCTGCATTAAAGACTTTGACAATATTCCATTTGGTCCTTTTTATTTTGTCTGCTTTGCAGCTGTGCGTGTATACATCATATTAATTTATGCCTTTGTCTTCATCGCATGCTTTTCGCCGTCAACTTCATAAATATATTATACTAACGAAATTTTATTGTTAGCCTTGTTATAATCTGTACTCAATAGCCAGATGTTGGCGCACGTTCATCTTAATGTGAATGAAAAAGAGCTTCAAAATTCGCCTTTATTATTGGCCACATTTTATTTCTTTTCTACAACTATTACTATTGAAATGTCAATTATTATTCAATTATTTAGCAAACATTCTAATTTGATATATGTATTCTTTGTCTTGTATTTGCAGGTAAATTTTCGAAGCAACATTTATAATTATGGTAAGATTGAATTGAGACTACAGGGTGGGCCATCTTTTATGTCCGTATGTAAACATTGAATATCTTTGAAAATAAACAACCGATTTTCAAGTATGAGATATTTTTATTTAATTTGGTTCTGTACAATTTCTTGAACTGAGGTTTTCAACACTGGTCTACTCAAGTCAATCGGTTCACTAATGACAAAGTTATTCAATATTTACATACCGACATAAAAGATGGCGCACCCTGTATACTTATGACTGGCAGCAATTTTTTCTCAAGTTTCATTTAGCTGCGATTTTCATAAATGCAATTTTTTCAATTGTACTCGAATGTTTTCTGCTAGAACAGAATTTGCGGCCAATTGTTCATTTTCCAACATCCCTAAAACTATGCAATGGAAAATACGTACTAGTTTGTAGGATTGGCAGTCTGCATCAAAAAATATCAACGTTGTTGATGTAGACAATCAATAAACGGTATGCATTTTGTTTAGTGGCATGCCGGAGCTGAACTGCTGTACATAAGGGTAAACAAATTGGTTTCTAATTAAAAGCCGAGTTTGTTTATAACAAGTTGATGAAATATTTGAAAACCATTTCAATTAAAGCTATCAAATGAATAAGAACACTTTGAATTTCTTGTTGTTTGTCCATGCTAAGAAATTTCATTGTTTTCATTGTGTGTGCTGGCAAGTCATTTAGTTGCCAAAAATAATTTACAATTTACATGTAAATGGTTTTATTTATCAAAGGCTTGCTCAAATTAGAAGTGTGGAATCCATACACAGACTGTATGAATTCAATGGAAAATGCCAAACCACTGCTGAAAATAGTTCAATTGTGGATATTAAGCACAAACTTTGAGTTTGCATTCTTTTCTGTTGCTCAAAAGAAGTGGAATGTTAATTTTTCTGTGCAACATTTTGTGGAACAAACTTGGCAAAATTGTTGCATTGCATGACTTCTGTTTCACTCGCTCTGTTGACATTCTGTACTTGTCTTTGCTCGTTTTGTGAAATGAATTATGCATAAATACAGAAGGAAATGTTCTATTGCGGAGTGGCATACGCATCCGGTAGTCATGTCAGGTGCACGAGGCAATGAAAAAGTTGCAACAAACTATAAGCTGTAGGAAGAAATCTGTACAATGTTCAAGTCAGAATTGCATAATTGAAGGAAAACATGAAAAATGAGCCAAGCCAAGCTCTCTCTCTCTTCATAACTTTACGTGTTCGCATGTAATGTTGGCCTTAAAATTATGTTTTGTCTCGGCTGCTCACGTTTTTATTTAACATTTTGCCCTAAGTTTGGACTTATTGCTCCAGCCGGCCACCCCCTGAATGGTTCCGGCTTTTAAAATTAAAATGCATTTAGCTGTATGCACACGTTTCTCATTTATCATTTCATTATGAGAGCAAAAAATAGAATCGCAACAAAAGTTGCCTTTCCGTTGCTTTCCTCCGAAACGAGGAGCGCTTTCCGCGTCGCGCAACATGACGTATGAGTAATGTCTGCTGGATTCCACTGTAGGACGCGCCACAGCAACACAAAACTTGACCAACTGTTTCACTTGCCGCTGGCATCCTCTAGCACTTTCGGCACTCGTCATTAAACGCTACACCGAGCGCATTCACATTAATGACTTGGCCAAATCTTGCTTCTCCTTTAGGGGTAGACTTTCTTTCTTCCGTTTGTTTTCTTCAGCACAAACAAGGTGAGCACGAAAAGAATAGAAATGGCCGTAGTCGTAACTACAAGAATATGTGTGGAGTTTCAGTTTCACAGAAGTGGCCGTTAAGTGCCGTTCAAACAATGAACAAAGTTAAGAAACTCGAAGCTAGAACTAAAATTACTTGAAAATTTGGAATGATAATAAAACATGATTTACTTAGAGATCTTGCGATTCTTGCGAAAATATAAATATAACATGACAATAGTCTATGCTGTAGTTTTTCAGAAATAAAATTGGAATTGGAATTGCACACTGATTTCGATCCGTTTCATTTTTCGTGTGAAAATGTAATTTAACTAACTTGCTAACATAAATGTACTTGAGGACGTTCTTGTATTAAATATACAAGTATATATACAAGTATTTATCAAGTATCCCAATAGGAAGTTTCCTTGCTAAGCCAAATAATAATAAAC